CGTTACTTCCTTCTAGGAGTCAAAGGCAGCCGTCGCAAGACCGGACGGTAGCAACACCGGCACAACAGGCGCAGCAGAAAGCAACAAAGGCCGAGGCACTGCATGCTTGGGCGCTGCATCGATAGGAGGAGATGAATGAGGGGAGGGGAGTTTCGGAAACGCAAGGTTAATCACAGTGACGCAGTTGGTGGTTTTGGTTATGCATTGCGACGGTGGGCCTTGCACGCATGTTCTACGAGCGCGCTTTTACAACCGATGAGTGGGATGAATGGTATTAATAGTAATAGACTAATTTTCCCTCTACGAGCAAATGGTTAGTATAGGGAAGCTTAGGAGGTCTACCGTTCTTCCAGTGTTTATTAAAAAGTCTGTCGAAATTTGGTTGTTGTAACCCTTTGGTATAGATTTCAATGTTTTTGGCAATTGAATAGCGTTTGACCCAACACGGATATACTTGTTTCCCTGATTAGTGTGTGGTACCGGTCGATAAGATGTTTATACTAGGGATAGCAAGGTATATGTTATTATATCTTTTATGCCAAAGTTCAGAAAGGGGGCGATAGAAATGTTAGACGTGGTAAGGCGTATAGATAATTGTGTAAAGGGGGAAGGCGCGTGCAGTTGATGTCAGGCGAAGCCGATGGCGGGGATGGGGAGGTGTGGTGCAGAGTAGGGGGGAAGGGAGTGGAGAAGAGGGTGGAAAACGTTCGCGGGATCTTGTGTTTTGACAGATCCAGGTGTATGATAGATGGAAAGGTGACATAGCTTAGTTGTTACAACCCTTCCATAGATCAGTATACCGACCATTATAATCATCTCGCACGTTCATCTTCAAGTGATATAGTCAATCCTGCTCTCTAAGTTCCTGCTATCGCCGACTTGAAGACAAACATCCCAGAAACCCGAAAAAAAGTATTCCATGCCCTTGAAAACACAATACCCAGGAAATGCTCCGACATCAACTACCATATCATACGTTAGCAACGGAAACAATGCTCCTAGCCTTGAACAGAAAGTCTTCGATGACCAGAATTTGAACCTATGCTGTCGTTCATCTTCGCATTTATCCAGCTCTCCGGAACTCACGGTTACCGTCGAACTATTACCAGAGGAACTTGCCAACATAACAAGTGAACTTTCCGACGGCGTCGCCGCACCGTAGTGGATCGGTGAAGCGTGTCGAAGTAAGGGGTTGCGCGGACGCTTTGGAATGTGGTATGATCTATGAGACGCCATATTATTCAGAGACAATGAGTCTGTTAAGTGAAGAGAAGAGATGGACGCTGCATATGGTTGTAGATTTTAAATCCAGTCAGTCAGTGTTTGCAAGTAGCAACTGCCACGCATGAACGATAGGTACATTTGGATTTTTGGCCAGCGCATCTGTACAACAGGGTGATAGCGGACTTGTACCAGATACCGACAGTTCAGTCAGGGGTCCGTCTATATGTGGGTACCCGTAGGTAGAACGAGGGGCAGTGTATAGAGGCAAAAAAGAAAGAAGGATGTAAAGATTTAAGTATGTAAACTGCATTCTCCATTCCAGGTAGCAAAAAGGGCAAAAAAGGAGTTATAGCTGAAGCACGTTTCGATCGTGCGTCCTCCGGGTTATGAGCCCGGCGCGCTTCCGCTGCGCCATTCAGCTTTGATACTCAGTAACTATATGGAATGTTAAACATTACAAACATTATGAGGTCAATGTCATGTATGCTTTCCCTATGTATGCCCTTGAAGAATTTGTATGGTTGAAAATGCGGTCCAGGGACAAAGAATGCGGGGACTGATTCGTATGGTAGCGGGGCCCCTTGACAGAATTTTACTCTTCGCTTCCGCGAAATGTACGACAGCAGTGGAGACTGTGCTGTACCGTACCAAAGAACCTGTCTCAATGTCAGGCCATTCGATGCCTGAGATGGATGGTTGGGGCGTGCGACAAAAGGGTGCTTCTGTTGGCGGGGGTTCCGTGAAGCGATTCGGCTCGTGAAGAAATTGGGCCGAGCCCCTCATGACGCGCTCTCCAGACATAGAGCTCGATACCAATAGACCAGAAAACAGAAAGATCTGATATCCATGATTAATTACGATGGAGCATGTTTGTGGTTGTACGGTAGTCGCTCCGTCATGTACAGAGTTGCTGGGATCAGGAGGATCTGATAGACATGGAACGATACCAAAAGCGGCTAGCAGCGAACGCGTTACAACGCGACGCGTCTGCGGTACTTTAGATCTCGACACACGCTCGATCGCCCACTTTCCCTTCCAATAATGATACCAACACGCATCCATGAGTAGTTATTCAGACATACCTACCTCGTTCGACCCTGCCCAATTTCTATCCGACTTCGATCTTCCCCACAACGACGCGCCCGCCTCGCAATCCCATTCCGACGAACTCGACGCATTACAGGAGTGCATTGCCGAAGACACGCAAAAGAAGAATAGTGCAGGCGTTGTTATCAAATACCGTGCTTGGAACGTAGCCGATATATTCCGGAGTGAAGAAGTGGTTATTGGTACTGCTGGCGTACACACGCTCTGCGACCAGTACTAATACCGGCAGAAACGCCTGCAAAGCGCCGGAAGCATTCACCAGTCAAGCGCATTCCTACCGAGTCGTCAACAGAAGGGCGATACTTTCCTTCCTCGCCTCCAGTTTACAACATGCCTTTAATCTCTTCGCCCATCGCATACCCGCCGAGCTCGTCGATGCTACAACCCCCGTCGCCAAAGAAGAGGACTCGCACTGAAGATGCGCGGGAGCCGTTGAAGGATGTGGCAAACAACAATGCGAAGCGCAAGATTGGAGGATTCTTGGACGACTCAGATGACGAGGATGACATTGAAGCGCTCAAGGAACACACCCTCAAGAGGCGGGCGGTCAGCAGCATCAGAGACCTACCAGCTGTTCCAGAGGTCCTAGCAGACTATACACCACCTGCGAGCCAGGATGAATTTGCAGATCCAGAATCGATACCTGTAGACGAACTCGACAACTACAGTTTTAAATCACAATCACAATCGCCGGTCAAGCGACCCCAGACATCACACGAACCCACTTCAGCACAACCTATGCGCGGTGTTCTGGCCCGTAACGCAGCAGGAAAGGCAATCTACATACCAAAGAAGGCGAAGCAGGAAACTCAGTCCTACGAAGAGATAATAGCGAGCCGCTCCGTAGCAGTAGAAGGAAAGGCACGGACCAGCTACTACGGACTCAATATCCACCAGCTCATGGACGAAGCGAAAGCGGCCGATCAAGAAAAGGCCCTTAAATCACTTTCCGTCAATGACCTACCGCAAAAGTCCGTCGAGCAGCCAGTCTGCAAAAACGGAAAGAGCAATCGCACACTCATGTGGACGGAGAAGTACCGAGCGAAGAAGTTCACAGATTTGGTTGGAGACGAACGAACACATCGATCAGTATTGCGCTGGCTTAAAGCATGGGACCCAATTGTTTTCCCCGGTGCTAGCAAAGCCAAAGTGAAGAAGGCACCCAAGGGTTTTGAGGAAGATGAGCAGAGACATCGCAAGATTTTGCTCTTGACGGGTCCACCTGGACTGGGAAAGACTACCCTTGCCCATGTTTGTGCGCGACAAGCAGGCTACGAAGTTCAAGAAATCAATGCGTCCGATGAACGTAGTGGGAACGTTGTAAAAGGCCGCATCCGGGACATGGTTGGCACTGAAAATGTACGTGGTGTCAACACGAGCACCATCAATGGCAAGATACGAAAAGCGGGCAAGCCAGTCTGCGTCATCGTTGATGAGGTAGACGGTGTAGTGGGTGGCAGTGGTGGCTCAGGCGAAGGTGGTTTCGTCAAGGCCCTGATCGACTTGGTGAACTTGGATGAGAAGAACTCGAAAACACTGGGGCAGCAACAATCTACGACCAGCTCAAAGAAGAAGAAGGGCGACAGGTTCCGACTACTACGCCCGCTTATCCTCATTTGCAACGACGTATACCATCCATCGTTACGGCCTTTGCGACAATCTTCAATGGCTGAGATCGTTCACATTCGTAAACCTGCGCTCAGCATGGTCGTCTCGCGCATGCAGGATATCTTCACAAAGGAAGGAATTCAATGTGATTCTGACGGAGTACGACGTCTATGCGAAGCCACTTGGGGCGTGAGCACGAAGAAGGAAGGTGGCACCGGCAGTGGCACTGGAGAAGGAGACATCCGTGGCGTAATGGTCGTTGCCGAGTGGATAGCAGGACGGCTACGTTCTTCACACGACTCCAAGTCGGACGGCCGACCACATTTATCACGGAGATGGATAGAGGACAATCTCATCAACGATTTACAGCACGGTGGTGGAGCAGCCCGTAGTTTAGGGCGAGGAGGCGCAAAAGATGTCGTTGACCGTGTGTTCCGCGAGGGCGCCGGCTTCCCCAAGCAAGCCGAGACAATTGACGCCAGAACAGCTGCTGCGCGGGCAAAGAGCGGCGTCGTCGGGGTAGCAGAAGCAGGGAAGCGGCGTGCTATGGACCGTCTTAGGGAAATGGTCGACACGAGCGGTGACTGCGACCGTATCATCACAGGTAAAACTTCCTAGCCCCTTATCTCACCTCCCACAAATCCACTAACACCCCCTCAGACTGCTTCACCGCCTACCCCGAGAAGCCCTTCCAAGACGACACGCTCCTCAGCAAGCCCAGCGCAGCCTACGAATGGCTCCACTTCCACGACACGCTCAACGCCGCCGTCCACGGTTCCCAGGAATGGGAACTAGCCCCTTACCTTTCAAACTCAGTCCTCGCCTTCCACAACCTCTTCGCCTCGCCCATTCGCTCATCCTCAAACCCCGCTTCAGATCCAGATACCCAGCCCACGCCTTTCTCCGGCCCCGGCGCCAGTTTCGCAGCGTTTGAACAGTACAAAGCGAGTAGGAGCCAGCTCATGTCTCTGCAGACAAGTCTGACACTCCCGCTCACACGCATGTTCCGCAGCCCAGAGGAAATGGCGCTGGAACTTATACCGTACGTACTACGCATGCTCTCTCCAGATGTCAAACCCGTCCTCGTAAACACGGGTGCAACAGGTTCCAAGTCCTTCGCCACAGCCTCCGTGCGCAAAGCATCCGAAAAAGAGCTCGTGCGCAGAGCCGTCGACGCAATGGCCGCGACGGGTGTGCGCTTCGAGAAATCAAGAATAGAAACAGAGGACGTGGCGAATCGCAGTGCGGGCTTCGTGTGGCGTATGGAGCCTGCACTCGACGCGCTGGCGAGCTTCGAGACGCTGGGCGGTAAAAAGGACGATAAGGTTCGGTATGCGGTGCGTAGTGTGCTAGAGCAAGAATGGAGGAAGGAATCTGCGTTACGTGAACATGCGAATCGGAAGCGTAGGGGTGGCCAGGATGAATTCGACGACGAGGTTGATGCGGAGAAAAAGGAGAAGAAGACTACGGAGGAGAAAGTCGCAGAGGCGAATAAGAAGGCTGTGAAGCGCGACTTTTTCGGTCGTATCATCCAAGAGACGGATGCGACGAGGAAGGAGGCGAAGCGGAAGTTGGATAGTGGAGAGATGGCGGGAAATGTGGGCAGGATTTGGGTGAGCTTTCATGAGGGGTACTCCAATGCGGTCAGGAAGCCGGTTACTATTGATGATATTATGCGGGGATTGTAGGTAGGGGTCATGTATGGAATTTGGGTGAGATGTGTATATATCATGTAAAGGGGTTCAGGGGTGGTGAATAGTATATCGCCATCTCATTATTACCAACTATCCATGCTTCATCTATCTCACATTCCCACTCCTAATGAACAGCCGTCACATTCGTCCCAGCAAGCTGTTTCTTCGCCGCACTGATCCTCTCCAACTCAATAACCTTCTGCTTGTCATCCAAATTATCCGGCAGTATACCCAACGCCCTCTCTCCAAACAGCAAATCAATCTCCTCAAGAGTAAGCTGTTTCGTTTCCTGCATCACATGTCAGTATTCTCCTTCCTCCATCCCCCCAAACCACGCATAAAACGTACCTTGAAGACGAAAAACACCGTCGGCAGCGTAACCAAGAGATTGAATGCCACAAAAATGAAGTAAAACTTGTACGTGATATTCCCCAACCCAATCGGTGACACTTGACTCCAAACTGTCCCCACGAGCCAATTCCCCACACCCGTTGCAAAGGCCGAGCCCCTCCCGCGTATACTCAGCGGCATAATCTCCGACGCGTAAACCCACGAGATGGGCCCAAATGACATGCTAAAGATGCACGACACCAAGAACAAGAAGAAGACACCAGCAGCTGACAGCGAATCACGCCGGGAGCCCGTGGCGTGCTCGACCTGCGAACCGATGATGGCTTCGCAGACGAGGGCGATGGAAATGCCGATTGTGCCGAAAAGAAGGGGTTTTCTACGGCCGACGCGGTCAAGGAGGAAGATGATGAAGAAGAGGTTGAAGACTGGGCCGACGATGTTGTAGATGCTTGTTACGAGGAGATTGCGGTCGCCGACTATGCCGAGGTTGTCGTAGAGGATTGTGGAGTAGTATCCTATAACGTTTATGCTTTGGGTTGTTAGTCTTTTTGCCATGTGATTTGGTGTATAGAAGTGATGCCAACGTACCCAGTCATTTGCGTAAACACCTGTGCTAATGTAGCATGCATCAGTCTTGTCCTATACACCGGCACGGTAAACATGATTCTCCATCCTGGGGCGGAAATCGCCTTCTCAGCGTCAATAGTTAGTCTGATTTCGTTGAACTCGGTTTGGATCCATTCTTCGTTGCTGCCGTCGTAGTGCAGTTTGCGGAGCACCTTGAGCGCGTCTTCCGCGCGATCGTTTTCCACGAGGTAGCGGGGAGATTCGGGGAAGAAGAGTATGCCGCAGATGATGATGAGGCAGGGGATACATTGGAAGGCGAGCGGGAAGCGCCAGGAGAAGGAAGAGGTGGCGGGTACTTTGGAGGACCCGTATCCGACCCAGGTTGAGATGATGAAGCCTACGCCGATCATTTGCTGGGTAATACCGGTTATGAGACCTGGGGTTGTTAGTGTTGCAGATACTGAACTAGGTCTGGGACTACGAACCGCGGATTTTTGGGTGAGCGCATTCTGTTTGGTAAACGGGTACTGACATGGATAAGATACCGACGGCCCAGCCAGCGAAGATGCGACCGACGAGTATCATGGCGAGATCTTGAGCAGCGCATTGAAGTATAGCGCCGATGAGGTTGATGATAGCACCGATCATGATGGTTTTCCTTCTACCAAGACTATCCATTGTGAAGCCACCCCTTCACACTCATTAGTGCTGCGGTATAACATGTTGGATTCAGGATATACGCACATCATCGAGCCAAAGAAGGCGCCTCCCGAGAATGTCGCATTGATTGCTCCTATAATCGGCGAAGTCTTGTCTGTGCGGAAGAATTCGAGAAAGTTGGGTGACTGGATGACAATTGTCATGACTCCCGAATCGTAGCCGAAGAGGAAGCTGCCCGTGCCCACGAAGATGGCAAGAGCAACGTTAAAGAAGAGACCCATCGTGGCTGCCTTCTGCAAGTCTACCAGCTCGACGAAGAAACAAGACACTGGGTTCTGTAAATGTCTGACAGTTCTGACAGGATGGTAGCTTAGGTATATATTTACCCGAGCCAGCCATGTCACTGTACCATCCACGCAACCCGATCATACTTCATCCTGTATATGATCCCACCAGCCTCGCCTAATACTTATTCACCCGGAAGCCCGTCCCTAGTTTCCACGGGACAACTTCAGACAAGCTTTCTCTCATGCTTGTTGGCTGAATGCCACTCGAAGATCATGCCTGAATGAATTCTGGGGGACAGGCGAAGGATGTTGGGGTACCATAGCGTGCGGGGCAAGGGTGTATGTTATATTTCCGCCAATGAATACCCTGTGCTGCTGGAGCTTGGCTTGCTCGCTTCGCACATGGAGCTGCTACTCTATAGGAGTGCAGCGCATCTGTTCAGGATGCGTGACCTCTCGAGTTCAAGAATTACCATTCTATGCCACCTCCGACACCTTCCAGTCTCCACTTAGAAACTCCATACCCTTGAGCTCTCCCGTGCCGTCCATCTCTAGTACACCCTTCTGAACGCCTTTGGTATCCACCAAGACTGCCTTGTCACCTTTCTTCACACCATATAGTCTGACCAACCCACCAGAAGCGAGCCAATCGTAGCCAAACCCGCCCTCGCCCTCTGTTCTCCCGAGCACCAACACAGTGCCTTCTCTCACAAACAACGGTAACTGGAGGAAGCCATACTTTTCCTTTATCCACCGGCCCCCTTGGACTTCTGTGCCATCCCAGAAGCTGAACCAACGACCAGGTGGCAGGTAGTACTCCACACTGCCATCTTCCTCAAAGACCGGTGATGCCAAGATCTGGCTGCCAACCATGAACTGGCGATCGAGATGCCAAGATGTTGGATCGTCAGGGAATTCCAGGGCAATTGCTCGCACGCTCGTGGGCCAGCCATTGGCAATGCTCTCCTCAGCCTGCGCAAAAAGGTATGGCATAAGGCTGCGCTTAAGCTGCACCCAGTATCGCAACACTTCGGTGCAGTTTTCAGGTTCCAGAGACGAATCATCGACTAGCCATGGTACACGGTACGAGCTTGAGCCATGCAGACGACTATGCGAGTTGAGCAGTCCGAATGCAACCCAGCGCTTGTAGATCCAAGGCGGCGGTTTGCCTTCGAAGCCACCAATGTCGCTTGTCCAGAACGAGAATGATGCGAGCCCTAGACTCAGACCACCTCGTATCGACTCTGAAAGTGCGGCGGGCGTAGACTCGCAGTCACCGCCCCAGTGGAGTGGGAATCGTTGTGATCCCGCACATGCAGTACGTGCAAATAATATCGCCTCGTGCTCTCCATATCGCTTCTGTACTGTTTCGTAGACCAGCTTGTTGTACATGAAAGCGTAGTAGTTGTGCATTCGGTTGGGATCCACGCTCTTATCGTGCCATTGGACGTTCTTCGTCGGTATACGCTCGCCGAAGTCTGTCTTGATGGAGTCCACGCCCGCATCGAATAGTCTCTCGAGCCAGTATTGGAACCACTCGCATGCTTCTGGATTTGTAAAGTCAACAATACCCATGCCAGTCTGCCAGAGGTCCCATTGCCATACATCTCCGTTTGTCTTCTTGAGTAGATAGCCTTTGTCGGCCGCATACTTGAATACTGGGCTTGCTTGGCCGATGTAAGGATTGGTCCAAACGCTGACCTTATTGATGAGGCCATCTTCTTTCATGCGCTTGATCTGGCCTGCAGGGTCCGAAAAAGACTCTGGATCCCAGACGAAATCGCACCAGTGAAAAGCGCGCAGCCAGAAGCAATCAAAATGGAAGACTTCGACGGGGATCTTGGAATCGGACATCTTCTCGACAAAGTGACGGACAGTTTTCTCATCGTAGGATGTAGTGAACGATGTGCTCAGCCAGAGGCCATATGACCATGCTGGGACACGATTCGATTTGCCCGTGAGAATGGAGTACTTGGTTAAAACTTCCTTGGGTGTCGGACCGTATATGAGGTACCTTGAGGAGTCAGTGAATGAACTCCCTTGATCACCAGAGTACTCACCACTTTAGGCGCTGCCCCTCAACCGTAGTCTGCAACCTCGAACATCGCTCACTTCCAATCTCCATGTCAATCTTATCGGGTGTATCAATAAAAACACCATAACCCCGTGAGCTCAGCCAGAAACTGATGTTTTTGTAGGCCTGCTCGCTTGATGTTCCGCCGTCCTCGTTCCAAACCTCAACATTCTGACCAATCTTGTTCCAGGCACCAAAACGCTCACCAAGTCCATGAATGGTTTCGCCGACGCTCAGTTCGGTTTGCGTAAAGACATAATGTTTATGAGCACTCAGGTCCTCGACAATCTTGGGCGTGCTCAAAGCTGGCGAGTATGCCAGCCCAACACTTCGGTTAAGCAGAGAAGTCAGCATTTTAGATCCATCTGTAGCGTGAAACTTGATGTCGAATGTATGCTCGTCTGAGCTGACAGTGGCGCTCAACCCTCCCGAGGTGACTGTGGTACCCTTCTCACTCTTCACTACCTGACCTTCTGAGGCAGGCTTGCCGTCTGGGAATACTTCAAAGTCGGGACCTAGGCGTCTTGCACCGGCGAAATGGGTTACTTCCAGTGATATAACGCCATCAAACTGCGCCTCAATCTCGACAGAGAGAGTGCTCAAATTGAGCGTGTCGCCCCGAGAAAGAATCTTTCTGGTTGGACACAGGAGCGTCACCGCTTTGTTGTCTTCTCGGGGTGTGACGGTGTATACCTCTTCCGCATGTTGGACTGTGAAGCGGTCATTGACCAACCACATGCCTGTTGGAGATCAGCTTCAGCCATGGTATCTCTATCCTAGCTCATACCATCGCGAAACTTCATGTTTGTGTAGGTACCCAGGCCCAGATGGTTGTGTGAACGATCTACGTAGCCAGGGCTGATGAAGGATCAGTTGAGATAAGACTGCCACCTTGGAGCCCAAATACTGCAAGACAGCCAGATACGCCATCATGGCCTTCGGCTTTGCGGACCGAGCCGTAGACGGTGGTGGTAACAGTGCTGTTGTGTGGACGGATTATTCGGGGAGATTTGCTCCGATGCCCCTCACCATGCGGGGTACAAGTCCTACCTCAACGATGCCCGTTAGTCTTATAATTGACAAGGGCACCCTTCCAGGTCGCTATCGTGTCGAGAAAATTCGAGAAAGTGGTGCGAGATGATGAGCCCAGCGTCCTAAGGAGTTTCCCGTTCCCCATTCGGCCCGGCGTTCTGAGCGACGAGCGGTTCCTGCACAGGCAGGTGCGTGCACGCATCCCCAACCTTCCAACCCGGCATGGCCCTTGCCTTTACGCTTAGTGGGGTATAGTTCACGACCTGTTGCGTCCCAAAAAGGCTCTGTCGCAATTCGCCTGAAGCCCCCGATTAAGGGGACTCCCAAGCATAGCGGTCTAAGGAGTGGTCATGAAGCCCCACATCAGCAGCCATCCACCAGTAAGCATCTCATTGCTTGGCCGCTGTACAATAGCGGCGCCTACCGACTTCACTTTTTTCTGGACCACGTGGCACGGGCGTAGGAGCCGCGACCCCAACGCATGAATATGGCCTGAGTATTAACAGCAAGGAGATCCAAAAGGAGAGAATGAAAGTCGGGATCAACAATCAAGAATATCGTCTGGTCCAAGTGCACTCCACTTACCCCCACAACCCGGTGTCTTACCCAGGACACAAATGATAGGAGTCGCTGAATTAGGCTCGGTACGCTTGCAAAAGCTTCGGCGCGGTCATTACGTGTCTCAAGTCTGCGCATATGGCTATGGGACGATTGCCAAATTAATGATAAGCAGACCCAATCTGACTCGCGAATCATCTAGTTAAAGCGCCGTGAGGGTTTAAGTTGGCAGTGACAGCACACTAAGCAACCCCTCCCGACATCTCTTCAACATTTTGCCTTGACAAACCCTTCTTACCACTTCATTCCCAACAACACCCAACCTCTCTTGTCGCGAATCTCTGCCTCGCACGAATATCTACGCTATCCAACCACCCTCGCCAAGATGCCCATTTCCATCCTCGCTTTCTACACACGTGACCCAGATCTGAGCCCGGAGGAGTTCCAAACTTACATGGAAGGCACCCACATGCCGCTTGTCAAAGAAATATTCGGAGATCAGGCTCCCTTGTCCTGTACGCTGCGCTTCCCGGTGCGCGTCAAGTCTGGAGCTGGAGATCGATTAGGTGCGCCGACGTCAACTCAGAAACGAGCCGATCCAGATGCACCAGTCGTCCTCGTCGGAGAGCCGAGTGACTTGGAATGGGATGCGATGAGCGAGTTCACGTTTCGAGATGAGCTGCATGTACAGCAGTGCTTGTCCATCTTGAACAGCCCAGATGGACAACGGCTGACAGATGATGAGGAAAAGTTTACGGTACCGGAGAAGCTTCGCGTGGTTCTGATGGGCAATATGGGCCCTGCGATGCAGATCTAGTGCGAGAAGACATGTACGATGCGGGGTGTAACAGTAAGTCCCCACGACTACCTGAAAGATAAATGTATACTAATTTCAACAATAGATACGGGACGAACTCAATTGCATAATCAGGCAATACTAGCGGTTTTATTGGGGAAAATTCATTGACGTTGCTGGGAACCACCACATTTGGAGTCTGGCAGGAGTTTTTTTGGTGGCGGCGAACATGGGGGGCAACGATCTGACTCGCCAATACCAACCCCGGGCCCAGTCAGCTGCTAGAAACCGCTATACGAGATTTTGAAATTACTTGTTGATAGAAAAATTCAAGTCGCCAACTCCGAACCAGCTCACCCCAATCCAGGCTACAGAGCTCGCCGCTGTACACGTAACCCCCAGTTCATTCGTTCTACCTACATACTTTCGCGTGTAGCCCTGGTCCCTGGAAAATACACGGTGAGACCGTTCTGGTCCTGTTGCATTCTCCTGCCGCGCCGCTAGGTGTCGATCTGGATTAGGGTTATCCGCGTCGTGAGACGCGTCGCAAAGGGCGGCAAGGCCAGCCGCGCGCAATGGGAATCCTAACCTCATGTATGATTCAGGATACTTATAGGATAGACGTTTTCGAAATTGCTGTGGAGATCATGTTGCGCATGCAGCGATGCGCATAAGAAGGGGTCAATACATAGGATTCTGCTTTGGCGACGGGACATACCCACCTAGGTAGGTACTTTGGTATCGGTCCGTAAGCACGACTCGGCAGTCGAGGCCAGCCCAGCCCGCTCTCGCTAGACGGAGGCGTCTGGACAGGAGAGGAAAGCCAGAATATCGAAAGCTCCTTCTTTACTTCTCGCGCACATCATACCCAGCTACTGGGTTGTGCATATCTTTGCTCACAGGGTCATCGAAGCTGAAGGTTTCAATATCAATTCGGCCAAAACTGAAGCATGTTGGGATTTGCGTGCGTGTATGGCGTAGCCGTGCTCACTTTGGTAGCTGCGGCGCCTACACAAGGTTCGGGTCTTTGCGAAGGTGTGCCAGGAGATGCGTCTTATGACTACGTGGGTATGCTTAGTTCTTCTTCAAACACCGAACACGCCTAGCATGCTCCTTGTTCGTTCAACTTAGCCTAACAACACAACAGTCATTGGCGGCGGCACAGCGGGACTCGCAATAGCTTCACGGTTGTCTGCGGCTGCATCCGTGGCAGTTGTGGAAGCCGGCGGGCTCTATGAACAAGACAACGGCAACCAGTCAGTAGTACCATACTATGGTCTTGTCATGCCTGTCCTTGCAACCACCGAAGAATACCCGAAGCAACCTCTTATCGATTGGGACTTGGTGACTACAGCGCAACCTTCAGCTGGCAACCGTCGCATCCACTACGCCCAGGGCAAAACCTTGGGCGGAAGCTCAGCTATAAACACCATGGCGTACCACCGCGGGACTCTTGGCGCTTTTCAGCGCTGGGCAGATCAAGTTGGAGATCAGAGTTACGTGTTTAACAAAGTCCTTCCCTACTTCAAGAAGTCATCTACACTCACCCCACCAAATTTGGAGAAACGCAAGACGCCAAATGCGACTGTACGATATGATCCCAACGCGTTTAATAACGCTTTAGGCGGGCCACTGCAGGTCTCATGGGCTAACTGGGTCGATCCAGCCCAAAGCTGGCTTGTGCGTGGCTTGCAAGCAGTTGGGCTGGAATTGAGCACCAAAGGATTCAACAGTGGAGAATTGAAAGGCGGTGCATGGGTGCCAACGACAATTGATCCAAGGGACGCTAGAAGAAGTACTTCCAAAAGCAGCTACCTTGACGCATCGTCAAAGGGCACTTCGCGTCCGGTTGTCTACCTGCGTTCACAGGCAAGTAAGATAGTGTTCGACAAACAGAAAAAGGCGGTAGGAGTATCCGTCACAACTGGGGGAAAGACGTACACGCTCTCTGCAAAGAGAGAGATTGTACTTTCTGCAGGCGTGTTTCATTCACCCCAGCTTCTTATGCTCTCGGGTAAGATATCCCCCAATCTTCATAACACACGTGCTAACATGGCGCTAGGTATTGGACCCGCTGATACCCTTGCTTCATTTTCTATTCCCATCGTCTCCAGTCTGGCTGGGGTTGGCAAGAATCTGTGGGACCAGATCTTCTTCAATGTGCTCCGCGGCATTACTGTGCCAAACACAGGGACATATCTTGCGACACCGGCTCAACAGGCTCTTGCAGTACAGCAGTACACATTGAATGCTTCGGGGCCGTACAGCTCAGGAGGAGGCTATCTCTCGTTCGAGAAGTTGCCACAGAAATATCGTACTGGTTTTTCTAGCCGCACTGCCAAGTTGCTCAACGATTTCCCGGCTGATTGGCCCGAGATTGAGTACATCGCGTCTGGATTCCCTAGCGGCAGTGCAAACTACTCTACTATTGGAGCCATTAGTGCGACGCTGCTCACCCCTACATCGAGAGGCAACGTCACAATCAGCAGTGCGTCGGTTTCAGACCCGCCAGTCATTAACTTGGGCTGGCTAACCGATCCCGCCGATGGAGAGATCCTGGTTGCGGCTTTCAAGCACGTACGAGAAGCTTGGGCTACTTCTACCCTTTCTGGCGTTGTGTACGGCCCAGAGATCGCGCCCGGTGCTGCAGTGTCCTCGGATGCGGATATTTTGAAATTTATCCGAGAGAATGCACAGCCCATATGGCATGCAAGTTCGACATGTGCAATGGGCAAATCTGCCAAGGATGGCGCGGTGGTGGATTCCAAAGGTCGCGTGTTTGGTGTGAAGGGGCTGCGTGTGGTGGACAACTCCATCACGCCCTTCAGCGTGCCGGGTCACCCGCAGAGCTCCGTGTATATGCTAGCCGAGAAGATTGCCCAAGACATGCTGGTATGATAGCGCTCTAAGATATTATCAATTCACTCATAGAGATTGTGACAGCGCTGAAGTGACCATTCTCGTACTTTCCATGAAAATTCAATATTACAATTAGACTCCGCAACAATCAATTCAATCCGGTCACTCTCCTAGACCCACTTACCTATCTAGGTAGGGCTTAAACTCCTATAGGTAACTACTAGGCTTAAAGCGGTAATCAATCAATCCAATCTGAACCTTCTAGGACCCACTTAATTGATTGTTGCGGACTGTGATTACAATCATGATAAGTCGTCGGGTCTTTACAGCTATCGCTATAGCAATTACACTCTGCTGTCCAGTGATCTCCTGGATTCCCCATCACACGATGAAGCAGATGCCAAGGCTCTCTCATCGCATTCGATAGACCGAAATGTTGCAAAATCGTGATCGTGATTCTTGGACTCGGACGTCCTGTCGCGCGAATCTTTCATTGGACTGCGATTTGAACCAACTTCGAGGGCCACCCAGTTGACATTCTGGACTCCAGGGGTAGGAGTAGGCACCGGCGCACAGAAGTACTTTTTGACGAACGTGTGGGTCGTAGGTAGACAGGTGCAGATGATGCCCATCCACATCTCGACCAGACTGTGGATGTTAGTGTGAAAATCATGTGTACGTTGGAGGATAGTCTTACATCCAAATGAAGTTCATCACCATTGCCCAGGTTCCGTCCGTCGCGATCTTATGCATATCGCGAACGACAGCATGAACTCTGATCAAGCTGACGACGCACACACTTTCAGCTGTTTAGTATCCGTGCTGTGCCATAGTCACTGGGTATAACTTACAAGGAGCCAGTCATGAGCAGCAAAGCTGGACCAATCTTCCGTTTCATAGGGAGTCGCAGGTCTTTTATGATGAAAAGTGGTAGTACCAAGAGTGCCAGATCGGTTGCTGCGTTTATACAAGCAGTAGCCAAAAAGAAGGCGTTCAGATCAATGCAGGAGCCCGTTGTGATGCTGAAGTCCCAGTATTTCGCGATGGGTTGGCACACCCATAAGAAACCAAAGGCAGCTGGAACGCTATAAAGGACGCAAATGGCCATGACGATGTAGACGATGCATCGGAAGCTTCTCGATATCGAGAAAGCGCAGATAGAAGAAGCATAGAGATGCTTTGATCGCTAAAGTCGAGAGGTTGTAGAATATCGGGCCGGCGATGTCTCCAATCTGCGCGTTTTGGGTCAGCCATGTTTGCTTGTTGGCATCATGCCGGTCGACTAAGTGGTGCTTACCTTCATGAGTTTATTAAAATGGTAGTCGCTGACATCCCATCTGTGCTTTCCAAGGCCATTCGTCGTTTCTTCATCAAATTAGTTGTTGTAGTCTTCCTGACAGCAGCGGCGATACTCACGGTAACCGGTGACGATCGAAAACGCTAGAGCCAACAGCTACGCATTGCGTCAGTGATTGACCGTGCAACACGGGAGCCGCAAAAACGGTGCGATTATCCTTACCGTAGCTATCGTAATGGAATCTGCTCGGTCGGTCAGTTGGAGATCTCAGACACTTTTGGGAGTAACTAATTGCTTACAATCGTCGTAGCCGGTGTTACGCAGGATGTAGCGCTTCGTGTAAAGACGCACGACACACAAAGGTATGGCAACGACAGGCCCAAGAACAGACGCGATGATCACTCGATACGCGATAGACTCACCCGAGGATTTGTCTGAGGCCATTGTGGAGGATGTCCATGAGAGCGATCAGGCCCATCATGAACATCCTCAAGTCTTCAGCTCAGATTACCCCGCGGTAGGCCCGATTGCGGCTCGGCCAGTTTTGTATCACAAGGTTCCCGCCTCCCCGCCACGGGACGCATACCTCGCGATCACGGAAGTCTGTTCACGTTGCCCGCAGGCAGGCGGCAGCCGCTATGGCATGAGGTGTGGTATGAATGACTCAGGTGCTATCAGGTCTGGCAAAGTGCGATAGCCAAGGCATGCAGCCGTTGACAGCATTGACGATGTTCGATGTGTGTGTCTTTAAGGTTTCTCGTTATGGCTTGGCCATCTCCAACTATATCCAACAGGGTCAGTCTTAACGAGGAGGTGGTGCTGCGCCTTCATAATCCCGAGCTTCCTGGGGTATGGACTTTGGAAAGTCCGCTTGACTAACACATCCGGATCGACCGGTCAATGTTCCGCGAACCGATGGTTCGTGGTGGTGCTCAGATGGTGCCTGAATGGGAGGAAAGCTCCGGTTCCATACTTCGAACACGAACGCGAAGGCGACACGCTAAACTTACACGTGACCTTTCACAATCGTTAGGCCTCCCACCACCCCACTGCGCTGTCCGCCCTTTTTATGCTTTCGACATGAGGCGGACTGCGCCGTCAGCCACCCGGTACTGTCGACCGGGAGCCAACAGGAAACCTAGTGTTGGATAGCCGGTGGTGGAGATCGTTTGAGTCACATGCGACGTGCCGGAGCTAGAACGGCAACCTCGATGAGCACCTGAGTGCAATTCCATCACTCTATCATCGGAATTTCTCAGGAGCCTCAATTGAAGATGTCAGAAAAAAAGCGCTCTTCCAACCTGACCATACAAACGATGCGTCTATAGCCTGCTCAAACGCCCGATACTCTTTCGATGCCAGCACTGCTGACGCGGAGGGCCTCTTGTCGGGATTGGTGACCAAAATGAGACTAAGGAGGTCCCCCAGCTGCTGCGGCACCTCCGCTTTTTGCGTCTCTTCCTCGACAGACGAGATCGCTAACATGGGTTCCTCCTCTTGACTCATACACCTGGCAGACCTCACTAGAGCTTGGAGAAGTCCGCCATCGACCTCCAGGAGCCGGTAGTTCCCAATCAGGAAAGAGTCGCTTGATCTTTGCCATGCACCAGGCCTCATTAAGGACAGGATGAGGACAATCCCAAATGCCCCAGACACGAGGATTAATCCAGCAAAGCAGCGTCGCGGCTACTGCCCAAACCGGCCCGGGTCCATTGCAGGAATGACCTAGAAAGACTTCAGGCGCACGCATGGCGTATGGTTGGACTTCGATGACACTGTCGGAGGGATATACTGTGAGGTGTTGGTAAGAGCTTGACTATCTCTTCAATCAACATTTGCTCACCGAGACCCAAGTCTCCCACCTCAGCCGTTATCCGAATCGTTTCATTGCCAGAAAGCAGTATATTGACAGGCTTGAAGTCTAGGTTGATAAGCAGATGCTGATCATCGAAGAACATGTACTTTACCTGTATTTACGTATCCTTGGTCATCTAGGACAACACAACTGGCCAGAGCTGCGTTCAAGCATGCCTTTATGATAGCGTATATACGCATTTCAGGCCGGTATCTCAAATCCCCAAGAGTAGTCTCTAGCCATTCACAAGCAAGAGTGCAATCGTCAATCTCATCGTACAGTTTCCGGAAGCACGGAGCCGAGGAGACGCCAGGTAGGCGGTAAGTTGCACATTTGCGGCCTAAAGCGCTCATGGCGCTTTCATTTTTAGAAGAAGCTGTTTTGATTACTGTCCTTGGTGGCAGAGTCAGCCTTGACAGTCCATAGAGGAGTCACGACGCACGGACCATTGGGGGAATCGGAGACGTCGGTGCGTGGATGAACCTCGGCTTTGTACACGGTAGATTGGTGAGAGTTATCTCCCTTGATAGCGTTGACAATGCGATAGTCCCAGCGGGCGCCTGCAAGGGTTTGACCAGGAGCAAGGCGGGCGAGCGACGACATTGTCCGTGACAGAGGGGTCCGTGCAACCTGGGTGATTAAACGGCCCAGTAAATACATCGTAGCGACAATATCTAGAGTTCAACGGAGAGATCAAGACTTCGGAGGCGATGTGCCCCCAGGACCGGGAAACTGGAGAGTCGGAGAGTTCATGTGGAACCCCGCACCCAAAATCTTCAAACGTTTACAACTACGCCGCAATTATACATTAGCAGGACTACCTAGACACTCATATGGAACCGACGATCTTGATTCAAAAACATTACGAAGATGATGATGATGACGATGACGATGAAAGCGAAAATGAGGATTCGAAAGAGCAAGACACAGAGATTATCGAAAGTCAATGCTTTCCGAATTAGGCCTTCCTATGTGTAACCCTGTTACTCAGAGAAAAGGAAAAAAGGCCTATCGAGCCCAAGGTCTCACAATCAACGCACACCCACAGCCCAATATTTCCCACCTCAGCTGAAAAGCAGATTATTTTTGGACACAATGAACGCCACGGTGGCGCGCCCGTATCCGCATCCGCACCCATCCGCCCCCCACCCCCACAACCTCCACGATACGATACGAATCCCGATAACTAGCGGTACCAGTATCCTTCCAGTCGGCACCTTTCCCCCAGAAGATTCGTCCCGAGAAACCCTTCTCACCTATCAAATTCACGGCTGTAAAGACGCAACACCTGCTTCTGGAGTTGCGCGAGTTTAGCCGGGTGCGCAGTCATTGGCCGCCTCCCATGCACGGCGAGATGCAACTTCAATCATTCCATAGTGGGGACACGCGTACTAGAACGCGACCGATGCATGAGAAGGAAAAAAGGCCCCCATCATCAGTTCCGTTTCGTCCGCCTCCGCGGGCACAGCCGCACCTGAATGGCGTTTTGGAGACTAGAAAATGCGGGCTGTCAAATAAGTTAAACACGGTGCCTTCCCCAGCCTAGCCTTGGCCTGCTTACTGCTTACTCTTGACACCTCTCATATTTGTAGATTTTTCCTCTTCTGCAAAATCTTCAATTGTATCTTCACACACGATGCTTTTCGCAACTCTCCTCACCTTGGTCTTCGCGACTACCGCGCTAGCATCCCCCCATGTCTTCGCGCCTAGGGCTAACATCGTGCTTTCCGGCAGCGTCGGCCCGCGCAAGCACAACCACACGCGCCACAAGGAACATACACCTACCTTGAAGGAACCTTGCAAATGCCAATTGCCCATTATACCCGCCAACCTGCTCAGCGCAAATGAGAAGTGCTTGATGAAGCACGCGGCACAGATGGGATGCTTTATGAGCACCAATGGAGGATGTCCTTCACCTGCGCCTGCGGTAAGTAGCAGTGAGAGGGAAGTGTGAAGATGAACTTGTGCTAATGATGAGTAGTGTGGTCTTGGACCTTTGCCTACATTGTAGGATAGGTGTGGTGGAAGTGGGTGTTTGATTGTGTGAGATGCGTGTGAATGGATCGGTGGCGGAAAATCGGGGGTTAGATACACGTTGGTGTTTAGGAGATTTTATTGCACAAGGTACGATTGCCTATGGTATATACGCATCGCAGATGAGGATTAAAATAGAGATGCATTCGTAATCGCTACTCATTGAATTTCACTGTCGTTACAGACTAATTGTTCGATTGGCATATTGAACCATAATATAGTTTCTGCCCATGAAATAGCACCGGTACGATTTTATCCAAGATGATATGGCAGATGCTCTCGGTACTCATGTTGAGTATACTATACGCAGCATCGTATGCAGGTCATAAGCACACAGCCACTCGAGACGAATCGCGGCATCGGTCAGCCCTGCCCATAGTGCAAGACCCCAACCTGCCTTCGCATCCATGTCTCAACTAACTCGACAATCCCAGGTAAGAAGACTCATCTCCCTACCTAATTCATCCTCATCCTTTTGGGGTGTTTTTCCTCGCTCGCCTCAAGAGCCCTCTTAGCCAGGCCAGCGTCCCTAACAACCCTCAACCTATCCTTCTTGAGCGCCTCAGCATGCCTCTTCACAATCTCCTTGTCCGGACAGTCGTTTTCGCCTGGCTCAATCGGCGCTTCAATTCCCGCTTCCTTGAGCAGCTCCGGCACATCGCTGAGTAGGACCTGGTAGCGCTTCTTCTCGCGGCACCAAAGGATCAGTGCAGTCAGTGGACCCGCATCAGGACCCGATGGCAACATCTGCAGACCGTGTGCGAGTGCGAGAAGCGGGTAGTCGATCTTATCCCACACGTTGTATGTCCATGCCTCGGCAGTGTAGTTGGTACTGGTGTCGATGATAGAAGCGGGCATCGGTGTAGATGTGTCTTTGCCCACTTCATCGATATCGACCTCCTCAGTCTTTGCTACATCGCGGCGCCTCGCAGCCCTAGTAGCAGTGCTCATACTGCCAGACGTTATGACCTCATCGCCTTTGAGCCCACGCGTCATGATGATCATGTCGCGGATTACAGTTGGACCCACACCCGCTTGCGATAGACGTTCTGCTGCATGACCCCAGTTGTAATGTTGAGGGAAGTAAGACAGCAGTTCCATCAAAGTAAACTCTGTCTCACCGAGCAGTGCAATATCGACGTAGGAGGGGGTCGCGACGCTCTTGAACGGGCAAAAGAGGTTGATGGTCTTCAGAGTGTCCTGGTTCTGTAGTAAATCGCTGGAATCCTTCACGGGCGATGACTCTGTGGGCTTGAGCGCGAGCATCATAAGCTCAGGGATGGGTGACTTGAGCTTCCTCTTCGCACGGAACGCGCCTGTGCCGAACCATTTCTTGTCTGGAGTTGGTACGAAGTCAGCCATGGGGTCGGTTTCTTTCACAGAAAGCCAACGCCAAGCATCTGACACGTCGAAGATCAGGTTAGGGCAGTCACGATGCTCTCTCCACGGATAGGTGATGGCGAAGACTGATGTATCAGATGTTGTAGAGTCGAAGCGATACTGATCGCAATAGTCGTTGGTATCTGATGGGTAGAAGTTGATGTTGCCTTGCCAGGGGAGGGTCCAGTCTACGCCATCGAAATTGTACACCTCAGCATCGCTTCCATCGCTGAACTTCAGCATATCCGGTAACACTCCGTACTCGGGATGTAGCTCACCACCTGGCACATACTTGTGTAGGCCGCCTTGGTGAAGCTCCTCGCATGTAAGTGGCATGGGGCCCACCGGGGTGAGCTTGAAGGCTTGCTGATACGGATCAAAGGCTATAGGGAGTAGTCCAAACCAGGAGACATGTTTCCAACCCATTGGAAGCACAAGATCGGGAAGGCGCTTGACATCCGGTAGGCCATTGATAATGGGAACGTAAGCTTGATGGAAGATCAAACGTGGGTCGAGATAGGGGTATGGGTAGGATGGGTGCGTGCTTCCACCCGGCGGGTACTGCAAATCCCAGTTTGTTGAATGTAGACTCGGGAGGCCTTCGAAGGATATCGGGTCAGATTTGATGGTGATGATACTGAACTCTGCCTCTGGTGGTGCGATGGGTTTTGAGGGTGGAGATACTTTTGGGATGGTGCGTGGGACGGCAGCGATGGACGGTTGGAGGTTGTCTGAATTGATGATGTTAGATCAGAAAATTGGAAAGGCTTGTAGACTTACAGGTTGGCTTTGGTAGTAGCGTGCGCAATCTAGTGCTGCGACGCATCGTCGTGGAACTGATTGAGTCTCCAGGCTCCTGCGCAAGCATCGCATCATGCTCCATGCTTGCATGAGCTGTTGCCACATCTTTGCAGTTGCTAGAAATGGAAGAAATGACACCATAATCTTTTTGGATACCACGTGCATTGTCTGTGGTCTTGCTCACATCCGCCGATGACGTAGCATTATAAGGGTATTGTGAAGTGGGTGTATCTGGCGATGGCATCCCATGCCAAAGATTGCGCGATTGCTCCTTCTTCGGGGTTATGGGTTCCTCGGAAAGATCTAACAATTTGACGATATCGACGGCATCTTCGAGATCATCAGCTTCTGGAGCTCTCTGTGGTGAATTGACATTGCCTGTACTCGATGTTAGCCTCATTCCTTGACCTTGTATTCTACTCGACCACGACATACTGGAACTGATGTAACCGCCCTCCCTACCGCGTGACGGTGTACGGCACGCTCTACCCATACTGTTGATGTCAGTATCGGTATCGGTATCTGAATCGATCACCTTGTAGTTAACTTAGGCTAATCTGGCGTTGTTCAAGTCGCTTTTCATGATTGCGGATTGGGGTTAATACCTTAGGCGTTAGCGTGGAGTGATGGTGAGTAATCAAAGGTAGCAAGCTCCTGTATCAAAGCGCGCGATGATGAAAGTAGGACATCAGCAGAGGAAATATGAGAGCGGTGATTAAGTTATATGCGTGTGGAGAGGTGAGCGGGGCATCTCCGCCCAGGTGAACGAGGCACCTCCACCCAGGTGAGCGAGCCATCTCTGCCTGGGTGGAGAGGTGAGCGATGCATCTGTGCCTGGGTGAAGATGCCTCGCTCACCTTGGCCTCGCACCTTACCTTTAATGCACGGACGTTGCACATTGAAGATTTGTGGACACACTATGACAGCGAGAGAACTTTGACAGTTCAGATTTGCTCAATGTGCATCTTCAAGAAAATTGGTGATGGCTTAAGCAAATGGAAGGACAAGAGAAATATTGTAGCCGCCTAACGATCGATACTATGTTGGTTGAGTGGAACACTGTACTCCAAAGCTATCAGCTTATTATACAGGGTTATCCAACAAGTCAATTAGCACCTTTTGACCCAGCTACTGCTCATGCGCGGTAGATATAATCTTATCCAGATGCAAAACGAAGCCAAAAGCTCCTACGCATAAAGCATTTCTTTGTAGACAAAAGGGTAAAGAATCACGTACATATAGCTGTTCTGATCAATGTACAGTACAATGCCTTGTTGGTTACAAATCTTGCCCAGTGCCATTTGCATGCCATCGGTTTCGGGTTTATTGCTGGGTTGCTCTCTCTTTTGATCCATCGCACATGGGTCCATTAAGGCACAGTCAGGGCTAGAGTCCCACTTGATCATTCTTGGTGATTGAGAATTTTATCCAATTTCTAGGTCTCATAGTTGCCTAGCTGTTGCGTGCACCGAGACCGAAGCATGTTGTATTGCGATTGGTAACATGTCACAGCCTTCGTAGGCCGCTCCAGCGTTCAGTCTAGGTGTCCTAAGAAAGGATCTTATAGTGCGCACCACCAGGTGACATGCTATCCATGATGGATCAGCTTCAATCTTGAAACATAGATAAACAGACATCCACATCCCATCGGCATGGTAGCTGCCAAACCAAGATCTTTTTCACACTTATCTCCATCTTCCATACCATTATAGTGTCTTTCCCGGTCCTTTTTAACATTGCGCTCTTGAGTAATGGAATGAACCAGATCTTCCTATAGTGAGAATTGGATCCTAGTGCATCAAAGGCATCGAGTTGTCCCGGTGTAATAAGAACTTCCCGAGCCATTGAACTCATTCAACATCATATGAGGCACTGCAGCTATTGCCTATTTTGCAGCAGCAGACGTGAACCAACAGCTTCAAGGCGGCAAAACTCGTACCCATCGAACAAGTAGCAAATGCAAGCCAAGCAAGGTTATTAAAAGTTGCATAACGTAGTGCCTTGAGGCTTTGTGGGGGATACAATCGATGAACGAGTGCGATGGAATCTCACATCCGGGCCGCTTTCTATATCACATTCGAACTTCTCCAGCTAACATGATGTAATTTGCTGGTGTAGTGTGCGCGTTGGCTCCGTGAGCCATAGAGTCATCGTAGTAATTGCGTAGCCAGGCCGTAATATCCGAGGGAGAATGCATGTCCTTCTCTGGCTAGTACATTTGCCCAGAAGGAGTGTCGTGAAGAAACAAACGAACTCTGGACGTGTGGAAACGTGTGCGGAACGCGCTGATGAAGCTAGATCAGAGCTGGTTTAGCGCGTCTGGGTCGACCGTCCCACGCCAAGCGGCCGTTGGAACTTCCCCGTCTCCCCCACGCCTTTCTGCACCGTGCTTTTAGCCCTCCTCTGATCAATTTTGAAGAATTGCTCAAGATGAGCATAACACACTTTCTTCTGGACAACTGCTACATGCATCGTCTGCTGGCTGCCACAAGCAGGGATCCTGTGGATTCACGTGACATATGCGCCTCTGTATCTGGAACGGATGGCTGATGGAAGTGACTGCTAACAAGCGATGAATGATAAATCCGATGTATAACTGATATAACATTCCAAGACAAAGAGCTTTCCCAGTTCAATACGAGCCTACCCATTGCCAAAACGGTGAGTGACGAGTCCAGGAGGGCACCCCAGCAACCACTTGTGGGAGACTACTGAGATACCCCATGAAATCGAGAATGCTTCCAAAACCGCTTTCTATTTGCACAAATCTTTGCTGGTTTAGGCGCAGCAACGCACTTCGCAATATTTGCAGATAGTGGTATCTTTATCGACGAACTTGAACCCAAACTAAGTCACATTAGATAGTGACGCTAAACAGAAGCGTGAACTACCTACACAACTGCCTCTTTTGCAAAATGCATTCCAGCGGGTGCATATGTCGCCTCCTTGGTTTAGGCTGAGGATTTCGCACACATCGTCGGTTCTAGACTCCGCAACAATCAATTCAATCCGGTCACTCTCCTAGACCCACTTACCTATCTAGGTAGGGCTTAAACTCCTATAGGTAACTACTAGGCTTAAAGCGGTAATCAATCAATCCAATCTGAACCTTCTAGGACCCACTTAATTGATTGTTGCGGACTGTGGTCGGTTCCCTGCAAACAGTTCTACGACATGGTCAGTCTTCTGCATGCTACATATAAAGGTGCATACAAACCCCAGAATCACATGATTTGAAGCGTCGACACCTAGCTTCCCCCATTGCACTGGCGGCAAAATAAAATATGGTGATGGTTGATAGCCTTATGATGAACAGGCTAGATAGCGAGAGTAAGAAGCTAAATATTAGGAGTGCAAACAGAACCTAAGATAGGCGGTAGCACATTAAGAGGGTTGTATGGGGAGTTTAAATAGTCGAGGGGTTTGCAGATAGGTACTGGGTTAGTAATAAGTTCGAGCATTAGGCTCCCATTCAAAAGCAATCTCATGGTAACCACGCTGATTCTCCCGACACCTGAACGACTGCACAGACGTGGTACGACACGCCATCCTAGGCATCTGTCGATTTAGGAAAACCAGCCGAGTCCCACGCTATGGCTATGAGCCCTGCGGATATGCCCCTGTATGTGAGCGTTGTTTAGATTTTGAACGCTGATACAAGGCCAGGTGTCTTCCACTTCCATTAAACTGTCCTTTTCCGGCTTCTGTTTTCGCTTGCAACTCTTACCACATCACACTTATTTGCCATCACCCTTATGTTTTGACCGCTTTCTGCGGGTTTCTGGTCTGCTTTCGGTCTTGCCTCGGTGATGTGATAGCGGAAGTGGGCCTTTGCCCTACTCTGGACTGCATTTAGTGCTTATCTATCCCTATTCTTTCTATTAAGAAAAGTCAAAAAGGTAGGTGGATTATAGTCTATCAACTTCGGCTCCTGAGTACGAATTGGTAGGCGCACTGCCTTTCCAAATATGGAGTTAATTGATTCTTAGTCATAGAAACCGGAGAGAATGGTGATGGTCATATCAACAACAGAAACGACGCGTAATATCAAGCAGTCTCGGACTCATAGTTATGTCATGTACGATGGTCCGAAACGATCATGGTGAGCTATTTGAGGACAATGATGTTGGTCGTACGAAAGTACTTACTAATTGAGGGCAATGAGGTTGATTGTACATAGGCCTAAGCTATAGAGTCACCAATCGGTATCACGTAAGCTTACTCCTGATTGTGTAGTGATTAGAGTAGGCTAGTAATGTAGCTCTGGCCTTTCTAGTAAATTTGTGACCCGTAGTCAGCAACGCTAGTCACGCAGGCTAGGTATAGCTGCCGAATAGCTTGTGGGGATAGTCCTTTCTCTATATTTGCGAGTCTTCCGAGTCTACTCACTGTCAATGCTGCATCGGGCCGCAATATCGTGCAAAACAATCTCGGCTCAGATAAGTTGCCCATCATACCAAAACAAGGAGCTTTGTCTGAATAGTGGTTAGAATTGTGACAGAGATATCAATCACAAAGCTCACCAGCTGAGTTCCAGTATATCGCACATATAAACACTTGTATCCCACTTCATGTTTATTTTTTCACTCTCTCCATCGAACCTCTCCTATATATCGACCAAGGATCTTTTCTCCAAGTCACTCACAATGAATATTCATCTTTTATACCTACTTACCCTCGCTCCTTCGGCCTTCGCATGGTGTAAACCCCTTAAAACCTGTGATGACTTTGTAAATCCCCCACTATTCCAAAGTCGTCTTTGAACATAACTTACGTATTTAGCAAACCTGTGTGCCTGGATTACACAACAATTGTCTGGTCTTGAATCAATTTGCCAAGCCGTGTGGGGGAAAAACTCCAATCTGCCGCGGCAGTGTCTGTGTGCGTAGCAACGCAATGTACCTATGATGTTTTCTAACTGGCTATAGGATGCCTGCAAGAGTATAGGTGGAGGTACCCAATGCAGGTCTTGTCATGTTAGGTGCTGCGACGCTTAGCCTGATTCCGTACTATCAGCGATACATGGCGAATACACCGATCACGTACTCTTATTCTTCCAGACTGCCGACCCCGTGACAACCGCGTTTGAAAGAAGTGCACGTTTCTTAGTTAAGCCGCTATGCTGCGCCAGACATCCGGTCTGGCAACCGCATGGATCTAGCAGCACAGGTGCTTCGGCACATGACGAGCCACGGAATGCAGAGGTTCTCTTATCCTCATAACAATGCAAACATTTCGTTACTTCGTAATGGTCGCAGAAAGAGGCCAGCTCTTTCACGACAAAAAATACACATATTCTGCTGCCGACCATCTGTCGCTCAAAGTTAATACACTCGGATACTAGAGAAAACAAAATCTCTACCTTCTCAGCTTCCACTCTTACTCTCAACTTCCCCGTCATCCCACCACTCCCTCCCCCAAATATCCTCCTCAATCCAGCCCCTCACAACCCCAGTCAACGCTTTCAACCTCTCATACAGCATCCCCACCGCAAACTCCGGGCTTACACCCTCTCCTTCATACACCTCCACAGCCTCGGCATAACAGCTCCCCCAAGCCGAATACTTCAGCCTCGGACTCCTCGGCATCCACTGCATCCTCCACTTCTTCTCCGTCCTACCCAGCTTCCTCACTTGTCTTAGTACGACGTGTACATCGCGCAGTACGGGTATCTTGGCGAAAACACCGACTTCGTGTTGGCGCGAGGGTGGGAGGAGTGCTTCGGCGGCTTTCCAGCGGAGCTCAGCGGTGGAGGCGAGGTTGTCGAGGTTGGTAGCTTTTGTGAGGAGCGAGGATAGTCGGATGTCGTGTACGGCCCAGGCGGCGGTGTCGTAGGGGATGTTTGGTGGAGGCGGGCTGAGGGGATGTGGCGAATATGTGTAAGGTGCTGAGGCCGAGGAGCGGGGGGTTTGACATGATGAGCGTGGGGAGTTGGTGTAGTATCTTGGGGCCTGATCGGATATGCGGGGTCCTTGTACCGATGAATGAGGAGACTGGGTGAAGTATCCAGAAGTCTGGTCAGAGTTACGTGGACGTTGATCAGATGACTGCGGGGAGTGGGCGTAGCATCCTGGAGACTGGGTATGATAATCAGTTATCGGTCCAGAGATACATGGGCGTTGATCGGAAGATCGTAGTGATTGAGTGATGAAGTGCCCGCGAGCCTGCTCAGAGAGACGCGATCGTTGAGACTGCGAATAGCTCACAGGCGCTTGATCAGACATCCTTGCTGCCTGAATTGACGAGCCAGTAGTCTGCGCCGAGAACCGCGGCGAGTATGTTGGTATAGGCGCTGAGGACCGCGAGGGCTGGGCTGCGACAGGTGGTGTTTGCACTGCAGATTCCGACGAGCGCTTCTTAGAAGATATTGAAAATTTGCGAAACATATTGGTTGCACAGTTTGTTGCACTTCTTTAGAAATTTTATCCTTTTTTTCTGCTTTACTATAGCTCGGGCAAGATATCGGTACGCACGAGTAAGTCAAGGTTGCGAGACACGCGATACGGTAATAACCAGAGTAATGACGCCCAAAACCCCAACTACAACCAACGCACTTCTCGACCATGATTCACATGCCAACAAGTCCCTTCCATGACCCTAATCGTGAATCAGAAATTCACAGATATAGCATCCATTCGCGACGTGCCCATCGTCTCCTGCAGACTCCGCAACAATCAATCGGATCGGCATGATTGATTCCTATCTAGGTTAAAGGCTGCCTAATGAAGTAATTCTTTAACCTATATAGGAATCAATCATGTCAATCGATTGATTGTTGCGGAGTCTGGTCTCCTGTGGATCGAGCTTGACCACAATACGCCACTGATCCTTCAATATCATTTTAAGAAAATACACGCCCCTTAATGGTGAAACCGGCAAATCGCCCTCCACCCCAATGGCAACAGCGTACTTTGACTCCGATGCTGGAACCGTATCCACAGGACTCGCCGGTCTCTGCTTCTTGCCCTCATTGCGCGCCCAACGGTACAGGTCCATTGTCTTCTGTACTAAAGCCTCTGCTACTTCGAGCTTGATGATCTTGTCCTTGGTTTGCATGAACTTCGTGTAGGAAATAGTGTTTAATTGGTCATTTTCGAATCTGGGTTTCAGGCGATCGATATGGCCTTGCAGTTCTTGGGCTACATTCCGGTTTGACACGAGGATCAAGTCGTGCTCTTCCCAGATGTCAAAACCTTCTGGTATTGACATCGATCGATTTCGGCGTCTGTTGCGGCTGCGTGATCTGCGGGAGTCGATTCGAGGTTGTGGTGGGCAACTGCGGGATGGATTTTGGGGGGAAGTTGTGGGTCTATTTGCTGGGTAGGTAGGTGTCCGGGGCGTGAGGCTTCGTCCTCGTGAGGGAGAGGCTGAGGGCTCTCGGTGCTGCATTTTGCGTGCTGTAAGGCTTAGGCCTGAGTAATGTAGTGATGAGAATGGAGTGCGAATAAAGATTCGTTAAAGCGAAGGGACAATATGCTGGTGTCTGTTAGTTGATCTTCAAGCGACTTTCTGTTACTATATGCGAATTGCATGTAATAGTTGTGTTATTAACAATGCTGTATCAGTGATGTGTCTGTAGTGCTCAAATTTGTATTTGAAGAGAATATAAAATATACGCCAGTATAGGAGATGTCAGTATAAGGGATGCCAGTATGAGGGACGCCGGTATGAGAGACGCCGGTATAAGGGACGCCAGTATGAGAAACGCCGCCAGTACCTGTATGCGCACATGAATAATACGAATAGTGGCAGCACTTAAGTCCTTGTACGGTGTAGTTGATGTATCGGTAATGATTTTGTAAGCTTAGTTCCCTGTCCTAGTACCGAATGTATAATTTGTTGTGAATGTAGTAGTGAAGATAAAGTAGTGAAGATGGGTCAACGCCCTTACTGGACCTTGCGATGGAAGTATTTTTGGGATCTTAATTAGCAGGAAGCTCCGGTACTCTTTCTTGAGGTTCTGAAATAGTAAGGTGCAGGCCACTATGAAGGCAAGGGATCCGGAGTCGGCTGTGATTTTGCGCGCTTCTTGCTGCCTCTCTTCTTTCGTATTGGACTTGAATTACACACATCGCAAACAAGGAAGCTGCGAAGTGGTTTAGACTGCAATTATTTCAGTCTGTTTGAGAGCAATCCATTGGTGACAATAGTTCAGCCATCGCCATCATTACAAATTATGTTAATGCGAAGGTGAATTACCAATACTATGTAGCTTTGAGTGGGAGATACAACGCTAGTAGCCCTGTATAATAAGTGGCTTGTGGAGCTCCACGCGGTGAAGGTGACGCTCTGCCGCTTTCCCGTTTACCGCTTGCCAAGACTTTCGTTTACCTTGGTCACTCCTTCTACACTTAACAACCTTTCGTCTTTCTCATACCTGAAGTACCAAAACATGGCAGAATTAACTGTCCCAGACCATCTACAAGCATACCTTGACTACGTTTGCCAGGCTTACGAGGCCACTCTGATCGAGTCCCCAAAGTACCGCAACATGGCTGAACAAACAGTCCCAGAACGTCTACAAGCGCTGCTTACGATCGTCCGCGAGGCCAACCAGATCGAGTCCGATCGCATACCGCTCGAGGCCTTCCTGGCAAGTCTGCAACATAAGCCTGCCGAAACTGGAGAAAGGTCGTCTGAGGATTCTCAAGTAATTTACATTCCATCTTAGCGCATTACTTAGCTAACTAAGCAGGTCATCGTCAACGAAACACACTTGAGCGTGCGCAACAGTGTAGCAAGCACACCGACTGACGGCAGGTTCATGAATCTCAGAAAAATGATTATTACTAACTAGTTACCAGATTCCCTGGTCCCGCACCGCACTCAAACTTCCCCTGAGGCCGTCTCCCGTGCAGTACAGACCGATTCCGCAACTATCTCGCTCTGGGATGCAGTAGTCCCCCAGGCCCGTACTGAAGGCTACGGTCGTGGCTTCCATGAGGGAATCGATGTCGGTTACAAATCCGGATTTGAAGAAGGCAAGAGCTTGAACATGTCGGAGGCCTTGTCTATGGGCTTCGAGAGGGGGAAGATAGAGGGGTTCAAGATGGCACAGGAGCAGCACAAGGCCCTTGAGCAGGAGCGCAACGTCGAACTTGCAAAAGAACTTGCAGATGAAGCCAGGGTCTTGGAAGCTCAGAGGGCTGTAGGTCAAGCGGCGGAGGACATGGATCAAGACTGCGTTAGCAAGTACTGCGTGGACGACAAGGCTGCAGGCATGGACAACAAGGCTGCAGGCGTGGACAACAAGGTCTCATCCAAGGGTGTGACAGTAGAGAAGTCTCGGGCTATTTCCACAACCTTCGTAGGGGGTAGGGCTACATCCAACGGCATGATGCCGAAGCAGTCTCCGACTGTTTCCAGGGCATTCGTGGACGACAAGGTCGCATGCAACGGCATGTCGTGGAAGGAAGCTCGGATTGTCTCCGCAGCTGTGACGAGCAAGGAAAAGAAAGCCCAGGCTACAAGCAACGGAGCGGATCCATTTGCAGTGCTCCTACCGCTGATGCGCAACAAGTAAAGACACCAAGCCATGAGGTGTGATTTTGCATATACGAGAACGAGTCTCAATACCACATTCAAAAGTCCATTTCCTTCAAATACTCAATCGTAGTACGCAGTGATAAGTACGCGGTGGCTGGTGCCACGTATTTACCACTGGCTCTTAAATGGATGAAATGGTGTCCTTCTATCTCACTCCGCTATGCAGTGCAATCTTCTAAGTCGTGAAATTTTCACAGTCTCAACGCCAATAGACTATCTGCCTTAAGTTACCGCTACTGGGCGAAGGTAGCAAAGGAGCTCTGCTTTGAAGCCCAAATTGCTGCATGCTCGACAAACTTGGGCCAAGCAAGCACGACGTACTCAACCTACAATAAGATACATTTCATTTCACTCCTTGTACTAAGTCAAGCATTATCCACAGCTATACTCTTATCTGGAAAAAAGTTCGGCCTTGTAGTCAACAAAGAGTCTGACACTGTTCAAGTCGAAGTTCTTTGTTTCCTTGTATTTTTCAAGTCTTTCTTTCTCCTTTACGCTGTTAACTTTTCTCTATACAATGCCTTTCTTACATGGCGTAGACTATCAACAATGGTGGCTATTGCTTCAACATTGTTGCCAGCATGATTCCCTCAAACACACTCCTTTTATCCTTCTATGCACTGTATATTCACACTTACCTAGTTTATGTTCTCGCGAATCTACGCGCTATAAAAAGAAAGGCTGAGCCAGTATTTACAAAAGATTCCCTTCTTGGTTCTATTATCTCTATAATCACTCTCAACACCATCGACACTTTTAACCCAACCTTCCAATTTTCAACCAATCTTTTCAACAACACTCAAGTAGCCACGGGATCTACTTCAGCAACGATGGCCCCCCCGCCCAACCTCTCACGCCAGGAGGTCCAGGACATCTTCGATGAAGCCCAGCTAAGGGCTGGCGATCTTTACCAGGACGTACCGTATCTACAGATATTCCTTCAAGAAAATCATTGTCGAGCTCTGGAGAATTGTAACCTTCAAGATGCTGACTTGACAAGGGAAATGTACAGTGCCCTCATCTTTGAGCGGCAAACGTTCGATGCTTTCAACAGGCATCGTTTGGGGCATGACGAGGTCGAATACAAGGAAGAGGAGAACATTCCTGAGCAGGTAGAGTTCTTCCCCTTGCGTTGTGCCGTCGTAAACCGCGGTGTGGAGGTTGTCGCGAAACCTATTTTCCAATTGGAGGGCACTGTCGGGGGTAACCAAGTGGACAGTGGGCGGGCACATGTGCCGTCCAAGAATCCCGATCAATTGGGTGATCCTACCAGTCCCCCGTTATCCCCGCAACTACCAACTAGCCCTCAGAAGACTGGATCCTCGGGAGGCTACAACAAGCTGCGAGGTGCACCGTCTGCATGGCTCGCTCTTCCTGACGGCAACATCACCCTCGCAGAGGTTATGGCATTCGTACCGCAGTCCATTAAATCCGTGGATGTGATTAACCGTTTCCTCTTCAATGGCGCCATGACAACAACTCTCACTGACATGATCAACAACTACCGGGTCATGGGCAATGGTGCCATTACCAACAACAGCGCCTATCGCATGATGAAGGGCCAAATCAATCATCACGCGCAGACACACCAGGAGTATGAGAACTGGTCCGTGGCCAAACATACCCAATTGCCACGCCCCGAGGACTTCGACCCAACCAGTGTCAGCGTGACAGGCTTTGCCACGCCTGTGATCCTGAGCGGCCGCGAAGCGCAACAGGCCGCTAACGAACCCACTCCGACCATCTTGTTCCGCGATCTGGCCAACGACGTCAAGGTCATGCCGTCTGGATACGATGCGCTGGACCTCACGCGCTGTGTCCAACACTGTGTGGAGAACGACGACGAGGATTGGTACTATCCTCAACACTTTGCCGATCTCGTTGAGCATTTGGGTGGCCCAGCCCCTGTCCACCGCAAGCATGCAGACACAGCTTCTGTCACTCGGCATACAGAGGGCAAGAAGCTTGTCAATGCCAAGCGTGCTGGGGCTCGAGCGCGCGATGAACATGGTCGTCTGATGAAGGGGAAGGGCAAGGCTGTCATCAATCCCGACGAGGACGAACAGGTCAACGTGAATGGCCATGATGAGCCCGGTTCCGAGAAGGATGTGGCGGGCTCTTCTCTGCGACACCCGCAACCCAACAAGCGCAAGCGTGGTCCCGCTGTCCCGGTTTCTGACGAAGAGGACAACGAGGACAACGACTCAGACAAGCCACCCCCAGAAGAAGACCAAGCGCACCACCACGCGCAACAAGCGCAAGCGCAAGCGCAAGCCAAAAAGCTTCCGACGATGAAGACGCAGCCGCCCCTTCAAAGCGGACTACTCAACGCAAGAAGAAGCCGCTGACAAAATCCCGTGTTACTCGCGCAAAGCCTGCGCCATCTAACCCCCAAGGTGACCCTGATGTTGATGACTCAGAGGACAGCGATGCCTACGTCGGACCTAAGCGGCAAAAGCGGGTCACTATAGTTCGTACCTCTTGTCGCGCGAATCGCTTCGCGGGCTCCTACAAATGTTGATGAAGCCCTTCAGATCGACGAAGAGTAAGGCGCGAATTTCTCCAGTCTCGAAGCTTAATACAACTATATCAGCAAGGTGAACCAGTACAACAGCATCTCTTTCTACTGCATGCTTCATTATGCGCGACAGAAATCGTATTCGACTTTGCAGACATGCTCTCCAGAGCAGGGGGGAAGAGACCATGAAGCTACCATTCAGGCTAGGGGTTCTGCTCGATCGCAAATTTGCTGCGTAAATGGGGCCTTTTGAAGTCTTTTGGATGCGGTAGTTTTGGGTGCCTCGGGTCGACTGTACCATGGTACCAGAGTCGCTACCATCCGAAGATGCGGAGGAGGACTACAAGCCATCTACACAGCCAGATGCTGATGAAGATAACATCACTGTGGGCGTCTTTGGTGGGGTTCAAGACCTCGGAGAGGGCCTTGGTGAAGGGTTCATGATGTCAGGAGGCCTCGGTAGTATTGGCTCAACCGCAGACTGGGGTGCGACTGGCGGCCCTGCACCGCGCAAACTATCAAAAACCGTGAGATCTCTAGAGATCTTCGCGGTTACGATGTACTGAAACACCAGCAGGACGCGGGAAATGGAGGGAATGGAGTCTGAATCCTCTGGCTACAGCTAGTATGCGCTGGACGATTCGGACGGGGAAGGAGAAGATGACGAGCATGGAGATCTGTAGTGATCAATCCTTGGAAATCCTACGAGTCAATATCGCTCCGTTTCTATTAGCTGTTGTTTAGCCTGATCTGATTTCATTTGCAATGCATAGTTTGTTTTGTCTTTACTTCCCATTGCTTATTCTATAGTCATGACATGTCGTCTCGATCTATCGCATTCCAATGAAACAATTAGCACCTTATTCCTTCTCTTGCTTCGGCTGGTGATTGTTCGGTAAGATTCTAGAATTAATGATGAGGATGTGATATGCATATGGTTGAGCCGTGGCGGTAGACGTGTCCACGCAACGAGTGTGTGACTTGTGAACACAGCGCCTATGACGAAGGAGACCCTGACTTGGCGGCGCAGAGAGAAATGCAGGCGAAATGTATTACACATGGAAGTGATGAATGTAGGGCCTATAACCCTGGAAATGCCAATCATAGCTCATACGTGTTACCATGGCCAGTTCTTCGCCGCAGTAGTGTTGCTTCAGCTGGGGCTGGATTACCCTCTTCTAGGTAATTGATGAGGGGAGTCTGGCCGACAAGCGTGGACCCTGGAATTTAAAAAGATGTCCGCGCACGTGCGTGTCATGTGGAGGAGTAAGATCTCAACAGAATGGTATAGTACCTGTAGTTTTGGCGGTTGTGGTCGCTGGCTCAGGTTGTTGTGCATGTCAGTCGGTAAGATCGTTGAGCTTAGTGAACCAGTCGTTTAGTGGTTTCGCTGTGAGCTTATCTATCCAGAATCGAATCAATGCTCAAACTTTGTCGAAATTATGCGGACAGGAACGTGATGATGTAGGATGAAACAGCGCTATCGATGTTGCCGAGCCCTGGAGCTTGACCCTACCGTAGCCGTGACGTCCGATCTCCGCTTTCCCCGCCCAACCTCTTATCACTCCGCCCATTGCCTCCTTCTTACTTCATGCGCCCTCACCTTAATATCGTACTATTTGCACCCACTGAGTGTAGTCAAAGTCTCTAACGGCAAGTATGAGGTGGCGCTTTTCCCCGCTCCTCGCACTGCAATTGGCCGGCTGCTCACCGGTCATAGCGCACGTCACCGCTACGGACGCTATTGTACCCTGTGAACCATGGAAGGCTCGATCAAAACGCGCATTGCCATAGGTCATGCAAACACTTCCCCGCTGGGAAACGCACGGGTATAATGACTTGCACTTGCATTGTTGCACTTTGGGCCAACTGTCTCGTTTGTCCTTCACTTTTTAGGGTTCACCGTCAATCAACTTATCACCATGGTGAGCGTAGCGTCCGTGATAGTAGTATTGTCCACATCAGTGTTGAATACCTCAACTTCACACAACCAGTTGAGCTTTCTACAACCTCGAAGCGAACCCTGTACGAACTTTCACGACCAAGACCACAACATTTAATCTAACACCTCTCACGGCCCGGTACTGCGAAAGAGGAACACATAACGCGTACTAGTCATGTACTTCCCCCAAGACTTCGTACAAACTCGACAGAGAAAAGCCATGACCGACGACTACCGCGTAGCGAAGAAGCAGAAAGAATCTTCTACAGCATACACATACCAGCGACTTCCCCAATATGGAGCCTATCGTCAAGGAACCCAACGAGCATTTCCACCGCATATCGGACAGCAAGCGACACCAAGTCAATATCCAAAGCTATGTGCTCCACAAATATACGTCCACACTTCGGCCGACGCCCAGCTCGCTGCTTACAAAGATGCCTTCATCACCAAGGCATGGCATGATGAGTGGCAGAAGGCACCGGAGGATTTTGGACCGGCGAGGCCTATGGTGTTGCTCAATCAGCCCGCGAGAATCAACTTGCCCAGACACGCACTTCGAACAAAAGACGTTCATCTCAACCACTGGGATTGTGCACATGAGCCTGAGGGTGCCAAGACCCAGCGTCAGACATTGGAGCAAGAGACAGCAAAGAAGAAGGAGAAGATGAGTGTAATAGAAGCGATGAAGCAAGAGCAGAGGAGGATAATGGTCAAGCAGGCCGCACTGAACGCGCAAGTCATCGACCTTACCGACGACGATGTCCCAAGTGCCTCATCACTGTGGATGTATCATGGGGTTGACAACACGGAAAACTATCCCCCAGTCTGCAACAATCGGCCTTGGAATTATGTGGAAGGCATGACGGACTATGACTGCTTCCTTTCTGGACTCCCGTTCGACATGTCCGTACTGAATACAAACTGGGACACGATGTGGGGTCCGCAAAACGGGTACAGTTCGCAACAAAGTTATGGTGTTTCTTAGATGGGTGTGCCCGTCTACTGTGTTTACTTTCAAAAGCGTTATTCATGGGTGAATGGCGATTTCACCACAAAAGTACTACGACTTGATGAGTCCCCGGAGTTTTCGGGCAACAATTTTACGACTTCACTTGGTTTCTGCGTCACTACGGTTACACTTTGTACTCGTCTAATTCACTTAATTTCCTCTTCTCTTCTTGTCTATAGAAATTCTCTTCCCTTCTCAATGAAAGTACCTTACCATTACCTTAATCAACCACACTCCTGAAGAATCAACTCATACCCTCTCCCACACTCTGAAAGATTCTAAAGTCACAACATGACCCAGCCTTTCCATTGTCCCGACTTTAATATGTTGCTGGAGCACAACAACCGCGACAATATAACTGCGGGGAACAATCCTGCCACTGTCTTAGAGAATACGATTGATCCGTCACTCGAATACATTCCTAGGGGATTACCCTTTGCAGGCTACGGATCGCAGAACCGCCACAATCAAGTCCCTGCCCCGCAAACGACTGACAATCATCGTCCAACTGCTCACGAGGCTTCACGCTCAATGCCTGCCCCGCCGCCTGTTCGCAATGTCCCACAGTCAGGTAATCCCCGCAGCCAGTTCCTCTCGGGAATTCCACTTCATGATTACATGTTTCCGCAGGGCGGTCTTATCAACGCCACGGTCGTCGATATCATCGTGATCTTTCCGCAGTGGTTCCGCAACCCATATATTCTGGAACGCTTCCTGAACAATGGCATCACCGCAAACATCCAGTTTGTCATCTTGACGAATACCGACACCTTGGCCTCACTTCAGTGGAACAGCTAGAACGCGCTAGAGATCATCTATCTGACACATACAGGAAACAGATGAGGAAGTACTTGGATTCCAAGTGGACCAAGCAGACTCACCGGGCACCATATGGCTGGAATACGCAGACCATGTCAATCCACGACTTCAAGCCAGAGTCTATGGTGTCCGGTGGTCCATATGAAGCTCCACCATCTATACCCTTCAAAGACCTAGCTATCGGCCTCAAGAAGCTTCCCGTGGGGAGTGACGCGGGCGACTTGACACGCGCGCTGGATTACGCCATGCAAAACTATAAGCTGGATGAGCATGGCCACCCGGTCGATTTCGTCTTCCCAGACGACATTCACCTCATCTTGGACGCAATCGGTCGTACAGTGGTTACTGCAGGTAACGCCGACGTATCCATCATCATTCGATATCACAACATCATTCGAGAACATGAGGCGGTGCGACGTAAGAAGCTTGCGGAGGACCGTAGGCAGACGGCTGATGAACGCAGACAACAGGAGTTGGCAGTAGAGGCTGCTAATCAGTCCATGAATCAGGATCATGAACATCAGATTCCTACGCAGCAGTCATCACTGTATGGATATGGACAGATGGACTGGCAAGTCCCGCAGCCTGCACCACAACACTACCAGTCAGACGGTGAGTATGGCGGCATGTCGTCTACTGGTATGGGCTTCCATCCACCACGCACATACTCCCAAGATGCAGCCGCAGCCGTCGCGTCAAGACTAACATCTTACGGCACACCCCAGACCACCACCTCCCTCCCTCCCATCCCCTCCATCTGCGTCTTCTCGCCCTCCGATGACGACACCTCACAACCTCCACCCCAGCAGTCTTGGCAGCCGCAGGACCCCGTAGCCGCCCAACAGCAAATCGAAGATTGGGTAGCTGCAAACAAGACGTTCGACCTAAACGGTGTGCCCCAGTGTTCTATGCACCCCGCCATGCTTCTCCGAGAGTGCGCAGACCGGTTTGCAGCGGATGATACGAGTGATATTGCGCGCGCGGCGAGGTGGGCGGTGGCGCTTGGAGATTCGGACGTTTTGGAGTGGACGGTGGGCGATGCGGAGATGATTGTTGGACTGTTGGATGCGGCGGCGAACGGGTTTGAGGGATTTATTTGAGAGACGGGGGCTGCTGGGAAGGGACGGTATGGTGTGAGGAGGAAAGATGGGTGTACAGCTATTGTTTTGCGGTAGTATGAGCAGGGCATGGTATTGAATGGACAGCAGTGGGCTCCTAGGGAGTGGAGATCGAGACAAAGTTACACTAGCCTAGTGCCTCAAGCAAAGGCATATACGAATTCATGAATACAGTACGTTTTTGTAACATCTCGTTTTCTTTGTGAAGCCTAACACAGTCGTCAAGCTGAAACTCAAAGAGGGTATCAGGAATGCACTGAAGCCTTTCTTGTGTATTGACGTCAAACTCTCAAGTCATTCAAACTAGTTGCCGCTCACTCCGTAAGTCGTAGCTGGTGGGGAACTCCAAAGCCCCCCCAATTTCATGCTGCAGTCCACTCAGTCCAACAAGCTTCTCTCAAAAACCACGGTGCTCAAAAGATTCCAAATTATCAGTGATGACCGGGGCGGACGACTTTGCCATCGCAAACTGACTTCTGCCAACTTCCCGTTCGTCCTTTGCATTGCAACGACGACTGGAAAATAGATCCTGGGAATTAGTTTGCAGTTGATCGTCTCTCACCCTACATTCATGTCGCTTGCACCGACATTCCTATGTTAATTGCAAGGCTGCTCTTCCTTCATCCTACACTCATAGCACTTGCACAGACAGTCCCATTGTACTGGTAAGGCTTAAATCATGTTCATACATATTTCATATCCACATCCCCCACTCAATTCCTGCTTCAAGCCAAACGAGCCACACACATCGCCTAGGCATTACATGACTGCCGATCCCAGTCTGCAAACAGCAGCAGATCATCATCGTCTACCCGTGCCCACAATCCTTTGTCGGCGGCCGGCTCAGCCAGCCAGATAGCCAGCCAGTGGGGGGCGAAAACAGACGTGCAGCCAACAGCATTCCTAATCTGCGTTGATCCTGCAATGCGCAAGGCTAGACGGTTCGTACGAACGTAGTAACAAGGACACGATAGCGGTAAACCAAAGCGGTTGCGGCCGTTCCGTCTGTACGTTTATCCCAGCCTATGATCCTACATGTCCCAAATTTAGCTGCCTGGCTACCAAACCAACAATCCTGAACGCCTCATCCTTTTCACGCCGCGGTATCCTTTTTCGGCATGTAGAAGCGGCAGGCAGACACCGAATGAATCGACCCCCATCGCCATCGCCTGATACTCAAAACATGCCTATGTAGGTGTGTGTGTCCAAGCTGAGCTGAACCAATATAGCTATACGATAGATACACCAAACGGCCACGCCGAACGACCCCATGGATTGGCCCAGCCTACAAGAGCAGTCATGCCAACGAACAGAACCACACGATGCACCTGGACCCTTACGCAGAACATGATCCCATGCACGCATACGCATACGCATGGCATACGCCTCTCGCAACCCAGCTCTCCACCACGATACACACAGATGACATCCCAAGACAGGCATCTAGACCCCCGCTCCCAAGTTGCCCGTTTCGCGACTGTCGATCGCAAAGAGGATACCGGAAACGACGGATTCCGCGTTCGAAACGGTTGTGTTGGGTTTTGGTGCGGCATGGCTGCTAGGTACTTGCGGGTTTGAAGGCAGGCGAGACCCGCATTTGCGCCACGCCATGCAAAGTCTCGCTTCGTGGGCGCAACGGGGCGTCTGGCAAACGATAGCGACGGCGATGGCGATGGCGAAATAGGCTGTGGAGGATGAGGCGCTGTCTGTCTGCCTGCCTGCCTGGAAGCGAGCAAGCAAGCAAGCAAACAGATTCAAGACAGACGCATGAATCTTCCAACGCATCCCATGCCATCCACCTCCTCAGTCACCCACCAAACGAACAAACCCGCACCCCACGAATCGCACCCTGCCCCATCCCATCCCAAAGGATCCTCGCCTACCACACCCAACCTGCCCACTATGTGGCTTACACATGCGTTGGCTGCCTTACTTCCAAGTTCCCACCCCGATGGGAAACAAAAGTGCGCCCATTTACGGTAATTCCAAATCTGCGTGGCTACCTGAAGAGGATTCCGCCGTGACCGCATTCGTATACCCTGTTCCTCTTTTTTTCCTCGCTCGTATCTGCAGTTGTTCTGTATGATTGGACAGGGGGGCCTGAATCAGAAGGTGCCGAGGTAGGGGATGTGGGTGGGGTGTTGGGATTGGCTGGGATTGACTGTAGCGAGGCTTGGGAGAAGGGAGCGGGAGGCTGAATGGGGTCGTTGTGGATGCGACTGACGTTGCGTGGGCCCTGTGCTGGAGGGACATTTTTTTTCGTTTTTTTGTTGAGCGTTAGGTGGATGAGTTGGTGGTGGTGGGAGGTGTGTACGTTCGTACCTCACACAAAGACACGTGATAGGTAACATCGTCGCAACCGTCCTTCATTTACAATTCACTATAGCAACTATCTGCACCTCCCCCAAACCAATTACCCCATAGCTCAACCGAAAAAAAGAAAAAAAGCGCCACACGACAACTACCCATTTCGCAATACCTACCTACCTACTCCTCGCACTCTCACTCGCTCAAACTGCTGAAATAGGAATGGAATGTAAACACCGTCATCGGTGTTTACAATCAGCCCTAACTCACATGCCGAGGCGAGTACATCTTCTCCAAACTTTTTTCCCAACCAAACTAGCTGCAAAAACTCTAAAATTTACGAAACAGGAAATACGACTACAATAACTCCGACATGGAACGAGCGTTTGCGGTTTCGTTCCTCCACTTCCCTAACGGCAAAGATGACGCCCAGGTACGGCCAATATTTTCTCGTGATGAAATCGGCATCGAGGGGGCTCGTATCTGTAATGTCGGTGCCGGTGCATCAGCCAGTTTTTTTCCTTGTAGCCGAGATCTCGTATTTCGGTTTCAACGGCGGCGGACGGTGGGGGTTGGAGGTGTCGTAGACGGAGGTTTCGTATCATTGTCATCATGGTCCGATCGGTGGTATGGGTGATGCCGAGGTATTCTACACTGCTTATGGTGTTTACAGTGTGTAGAAATAAACTTTACTACTGTATACATATATGCATGCCACCGCAGACACGTGCGAAACCCCTTACCCAATTACCTCTCAACCCTCCCTTCCAGCCCTCCATGTCGCGGTCAAAACACCCAAACAATCCCATCACCCCCTTCATCCCCATTCTCATCTCGGTCCTCCGCTCCCCTCCTCTCCATTCATCCATCATCCACCCCCACAGCCGTGCACAGCACACGCGTCCCCTCCCCCACTACCTCTCCCCATGCGCCGAAGAAAAAAAAGGGGCTTCCTTCAACATCGTACGTTCCCTCCCCACCAGCCCGCCAGTGCCATCGTGGGGGGAGGAAGATCTACAGATCAGTAAGTAACAGATAGACAAAGAAACGGCCTTGCGCGTAAGTAAGCTTCGGTCCTTCTACAATCCCTGTGCGTAACCCTTTCACGTGTCTCGGTTCGGCATATTGAATTCCTTCCCCCCTCTCCCTCGGCAGCGGAGAGAGCGAGGTTTGCGTTTATTTTGCCGATGTAGGCACGGCATCTAGACTTGGGTTACTGGGATGGGGGTTTGGAGGGTATGTACAGGGAGGGAGGAAGGGGGCGTATGACGTAGATTTACCGTTAAAAGCGCCGAGAATAGGGATACATACACTGCCTACCCATACCTACATACCGCATCTTTCCATATACCTACGCTACACTATTAAGGCTGGTAAGGTAGCCTTACCGCTACATTCCAGCAGCCGAGTGACGTACATAACCCACCGTAGGTATGATAGCAAAACGTACATATCCCCGTATACCCCCGACAGCGGCGGCCCCGGCGGCGGTGTTGTACATGTGTAAATGTGGGGCTAGATTATGTACATGATGTACAGTATACCGGACAGCCAAGACAGGTACGGTAAATCATAGCCAGCCTTATACACAAGTCCGTTATCCGGTGTCCGTGATTTGCGGCTTCCGGGGGGCAACGAGGCAACGGAACGGAAGCAGAAAATGAGGCTCTGGCTTACGCAGACATGCATGCATGCAAATCTTCCATCTTTTCAGTCTTCGCCCTCGTGTGCTATACGAAATACCGCGCCATGCGTCGCTGTCTGAATGTACCTACAGTAAAGATGTCATCGCATCGGATATTACAACCTACATTCTGCTATAACCCCACCCCACCCAGCACCCAGCACCGACACCGCCCACCAACACCCTGTTCTGCCCTGTCCTGCCCTGTCCTGCCCTGCCTCCACCTCTCACGCACCACCCCGTTCAGCCCTGCAACCCCGCGCCCCATCTCCTCGTTCTCGGTCTCGGTCTCTCCCTATTTTCCTTTCTAGAACGAAACAGGGCAATTTTGCGCGCGCACGCAGGGCACGCGACATATGAAGGGTCAAATCTCATTCGGTAAACGGTGTTTCAGGTGTTTGCGGGAAATTTCCAAACGGGCGAGTAGAGTAGAGTAGCGGAGGTGGGGTGGGGGACGCAGACGGGTGGAAGGTAGGGGGTTATTATTAGATTTGCAGTGGAAGGATCGATGATGGGGGATAACGGTTTTTTTGCTTGCGGCTTGCGCTTGCTAACTAGGTGTGGGCTGTTCCTGTTGCTGGACGCTGGATGCGTACATGTTTGATCAGGCCGTGGCGAATGCGGCGCATTTAGTATACAGTACGGTATACCTAACAGCCAGCCAGCCAGGCAAGCAAGGCAAGGCAGAACGAGCGTGTATACGTGGCGGGGGGCCTAGTTAGCCTACCTGAGCCAGTGCGCTGAACGCTGAACACACATGGAATACAACATAGAACCCACGGCATGTAACGTACGTACAAGTATAACCACACGCGACTACACGTATTACACAAAGAATCCGCAGAACTAGGAATTTGCTTCTTCTCACTCGCTCAACCCACTCCCACTCTCATTACCGGGAAACCCATTATTTCCGCCGCGACCGCCGCCGCCGCCAACGAAACGAAAGAAAAAATCGTTCGTCGCCAAGATCGGACTTTTTCTTCGACCGCTTTGAGTAATTGCGGCGGCCACGAGAGAGAGAGAGAGAGCGGAGACGGCAGAAGACCAAACGAATGAATGAGACCCTAGGCCTGTTGCGGCCGCTTGCGGTGCATGGTCAGAACTAAGGTTCCGGGGCCGAAACTTAGGCGGGCGGGTGAGATTTCTAACCCTCTTTTTCGTTCTTGCTATTCGCTTGTACGTACAGTATGATGACGATGTCGGAGTGGAGGATGACAATGGGGTCGTCTCGCCAAAAACATCCATGTACCTACCCATGGCGTGTGTGCAATCGAGATTGTGTGGAAAAAGACCGGGACCCCGAATCTCTGCGACGCGCATCGGGCCGTAAGACAGATTGGGGTATTAGGTGCGAGCAATAAGTGGTCTGTTTTTGTCACTTGTCTACAGCTAGTTACTGCTCTCGCTTGTGTTTTGTTACAGGCACGTAATAGTTCCAAGTTGTGGGGAATCAAAGTCAAGATGCCGACGGGGTTTGTAACGGCGTATAGGGCGACGAATGATGCGCTGCAAGGTGTCGTGTTTCGTGTGCTACAAGCCCACATATCAAAGGTGGACTGAGTGGCAGATGAATAATCACCCGAAAAGCTATTTTTGCATGTTTTGTAACGTGTCAGGCGAGATGATGGCATGTTTGACATGACGATCAGGAATGGTGACGGGAGCTAGACAAAGGAAAAGACCCTGGGCTGGACTGCAAATCTGCAATCGGACTTTCCGCGTGTCGGTGTTATGAAGCCGTGCAACCGTTTAGAAAGTCCCTAGAAGCATGCCACAGAAGGACGGGTGTGCGGCGCTTGCGGGCGTTGGACCCGGGTGCGAGGCCTCGGGTTCGTGTTCAGCTTCTGACGTGGGTTCTGTAGCGCCAGGTGGGTGTGTGGGTGTGGGCACCAGAGTGGCTGCAGGAGGTAGAGGGGCAGGACTCGCAGGAGGGCGCCTCGGTTTGCAGGCTATAGTATTCGCCCACCGGGGTGTGGCCGCGCGAATTGCGGCGCGCAGATGCGATGCAGCGATGCAGCACGACGAGAGGAGAAGGCGCTGGTTTGGGTCTTGGTCTGCAGACCGCGGGCTTAGGCGAGGCGCGTGGAAGACTGGAAACTGGTGGTCTGGAAGCTCGACGTCGGTCCGTTTAGCGAGAGGAACAGGCCGTGTTGCGCAAACGATTTGTTAGACGGGGTGTCTTGTTGAGTGATCTGGTGGGTTTCCAACGAGTGCTTCCATGACGATATTCCTCTCCTTCTCTGCTTGTCCCTGTCGCAATGTCATTCCATCATCGATGCCGTAGCCAATTAGTCAACCGTATCCCATCTCCTACCTGCGCAATTTAATCATGGATGTTGTACCTCCCTCATCGCGTTACCCCGTGCTCAAAGTACAACTGCCGTGTACCATTAAACCCACTATATTCGTCTTCGATTTTCCGCCACTCAACGACGCAAGGGCTAATTGTATAGCTGCATGGGGACAAGCCTATGCTTCTTACCGTGGCCATGGGTCATTGCGTGCGGCCGTGTCAGGTACCTCAAACGGGCTTTCGGAACGGACATCGCGTGTCGTGGATGGCACAACGTGGTCTTGTATTCGTGCGTTGGAGAGTGATGTGTGAGATGTAAGCGTCCACAGCATTGTTGGGCGTGGAAGCGAGGGGTGAGTCCTTGTTAATCGGTACGACGGGCCTGTCGAGCTGAATAAGTGTCTAATTCGGGTTTTGGCGAAACACTGGCTGGCTGCATGGAACGCTCATGTCGTGAACCAGAAACCGTTCACCAGTGCCCTTTACCTGATTGTACCTTTAATTATGCTTTGGACTTGTTGCTGGAGTCATACTTTGATGCATGACATACGCAGCCTGGACTGGTCGCCAAAGTAGCCACGCTCTTACTGCTGTGTACCGCCATCAACGGTCAGCTTCATGCTGGGATTTGAAGCACCAATCGACTGTAAGAGCTAGGAAATAACAAAGGGGGAGGCACGCGTGACAGTTGTCAGAAGAGCGCTGTGATGCAAGATTGCAAGGATGAACTGGTTTGGTGAGAGCAGTCAAAAGACGCAAACATTTGGGAGGATGATAGCGACGCGTCCCTCTTGGAAGTGCCAGCCAGTGAGAGTTGCTGATACCGTTCAACGCTCGCTCAATCAGCGCAGCGCAGTCAATGTCGCCGGCGCAGTGGCAACCAACGTTCGCTTATCAGTTAGTAACATATTTCTCCTGATGCACGCCTGCTTAACCACCGGGTTTTCTAATGCCTACCAGGGCGGAATTCACCGGCAACGTTTGGAGCCCAACATAGTCGCACTGGCGAGTCAATCATGGTCGAAAAGAAGAACAAGTCCCCCAAACAGGATTCTGCAGTGCCTCATTGGTGCTCAGGACACGGCCTGATTGGCGTGCCTTGTGAAAGAGGGTAAAACGATAAGCTGGCGACCAAAAGCAGTAATTGTAGACTAGTGAAAAGGTTAGTAGCAGCCTCATGGTCGACACTGTGTATGTGGATCCCGTTGGGTGTCAAGGAAACTGCATCGTGTGTGTGTCTATCGCATGTTTGTAACGCGAACCCGAGAAGGATGTGCTCAATGGAGCCAGCTGAATGGTCCGGGTGTGATGATTAACATTCGGTAACCCTCACAGACATGATGTGCTGTCATCCCCAGAGACGCTTGGCCGTGCTGTCCGTGTCCATAAACGGTAAACGCCCACCGAGCTTTTGTCAACAAAGTGAAGCGATTGCCCCTGTAGGGCGACCATAGCTAAGTTGCAGTCGTTTTATACTTCTGACATGGGTTGTGTCGAGGGTTGCCACTCATGGTCGTGAGTGGAGTATTTGTTTGATCGACGTCCAGTGTGTGTGTGTGTGAGCGGACGGGGTATGGATACATGCGAAGAGTAGCGCGCTCTACGTTGGAAATGAGAGAATCAAAGGAAGGAAAAAACATGTTAAGGGATGAGTTTGTGAGGCGCAAATCCACATGGCTGTGGAGTCTCTGACCTGACTCTGTGTTCTACAGGCAGCAAAAGCAACAACTGCACCCTGATCGCCATGTTGCCATGCGATGTTGCGACTCATGGATCTCCATCCGGGTGTAGCCATCCGGGCGATCATTGTTGTATGTCATATGGAAATCAGGTCCGAGAATTGGGACACGAGTAATTACAGCCACATATGGCAGGAAGTGATGGGCTGGCATGTTGTAGAGACGGATTTTCTACCGACAGTGGTGGCAGGCTGAACATGTCGGTACAGGCCGTACCAGAGTCAGGTCTAGACCGGCTATACAACGGACACATTGGGAGACGGCATTATACTTTGGCCAGGATAGTAATGGGGTGTAGAAGGATGCATTGGGCTGGCAGGCCAGACCTGGCACGGAATAAACAAGACGGGTTGGAGTGAAGAAGAATTGCAGCATATTCGGCGAGATCAACACGCGCCTGCCTTGATTACTATGGTCGTGGAGCTTGGCAAGGTGGCATCGTGATTCGCGCCACAAACGTGTTGACGTTATTGCAAACCATTACTGCAGAGGGAGAAGATCAGCTGCCGAGGATTATTTCCCGCGTTGGCGAGTGGGCGTGAAGGATGATGCAAACAACGGTGGTCGAGTCGGCAGGGGCCGAATCAGTCGCACAAGTAGACGGGCCGGTCGTGTGGCAGTGTCGATGATCTTGGCCGGCGATCTTGAATAGTATCCGCTGACTACATGTGTTGCGACATGTGTTGCAACATGTGTTGCTTACGTATCGCAACCCTTTTGCAAGACAAAGGGGTTTTAGTGGGTCACGTCGATCCGATTCGGCGCGCGCTCAGATCTGAGCTAAACGGCTTTCCCTTGTTGGTGCCGCATCTTGCTTTGGACCAGTGACGAAGGATGCGCCGGGCCTGCACGCTAATGTGCATGGATGGAGTCAATGACGAGTCAGCTACGACTTGAAGTCAAGTGGTGCCTGCAAAATGCAATGCGGTATTGTGTCACGCCAGATGCATCTTGGGCATGCGTGCAGCATGGGTGGAAATGGAGAACTGCATCTAGGGCGAGAGGTGAACTGTGCTGTTGCAAAGACTTGGATGCCTAGAGAAATGAGGCTGAATCGGACCACAGCGTGTCCTTTGGGCCGCTGGTGTGCCGCTGTCAAAAACCGTGAGCTCCTACCCACGAAGCTCGATTCGAGGACGTTTGCTCAACAGCAAAGTATAATGGAAGCGCGGTTTGCGCCACCGCCAATAAGAAAGGAAGGTAATAGGGGTGAGACTGTGTAGGAAAAAGAAAAGTAGAGTGTCGCGGGTTGGCAGAGGTTTCAGGAAGATTGACGCCGCCGGCTGTTGCTGCTATTGGCTCGGCGCGGAACATTCGTTAATCTGATCTTGAAGATCATGGCTGGGAATCCCTGCCGACATGTGCAGAGAAGCACGACAAATCCAAATACAAAACTACACAATGGCAGTACGCAGGTAGACTTGCGGCGCACTGGGTCGCCGAAGACACTCGGGGACGGACTGGTGGCTAGATGGAGACATTGCACGGCTCTGTGCGTACCCGCAGAAAAGGCCGAAGTGCAGATTTGCATGACGATAAGTCGATATCAAGTCGATATCAAGGCGGGGATATGTCAGACAAACAGGCGTACTACTACCAGAACTTGGTATTCCTAGGATCAGCGTCGCCGACCTCAGAGTTGCACGACGTAACATGACAATACGATAACCTGGTCAACAAGCTTCACGGTTGCCGTGACCTCGAGGCCGGGTGCATGCCGGCGGGCGTGTGTAGTGAGGCCGTACACGATAGTGTTTGGATTGGGGGCACTTGCAGGGAACAGGTTGTAAGCTTTTTGGCAATCCATGGGTCGTTGCTCTCTCCCCTTCCACGCGCACAAAGCCTGTGTGTTGGGCAGGCCTTGGCCGGGTCATGATACCGCGAAGCCAATATTTGGCGACTCGTACTTTGGAAGCATCTGGCGGCGGGTAATGCAGTGCGGAACCAGGCCGCGCAGGGCGCTAATCGGCGACGAATCTTGCATCGGGAGCAGATGCAGATGCAGATGCAGAATCAACAGCACGGTCTCGGTCTCGATGGTGAGATGACAGGCCGCACATGTTCGGTCGAGATGATATGGTGGCAGTCGCACAGAGAGCGTGGCCGTGGCTTGGGTAGTGAGGGCTTTTGACATTGTCTTGCTCGACATTGCAGTGGGCAGTGGACACGGCATGAGCCACAAGTGGGATTTGCTGGAACCACCGTTGGTCCCAGAGGGCGGGAAGGTGTACGCCATTCGTTGATAGCGCACAGGTGTCGAGGTGCGGCTGACGTACGAAGCAGCCAACCAAGTGGAGGTGAGGCAGGGTTTCGTGATGCTATCACTATCGACCAAGCGGAGAGCCCGCGCCGTGCTCGAGGACAGAGGGCTCATGGCCATGGGTTGACAATCCGTAGTACATGGGTCTTGGCGCGGCCGTCGACGACTCTTTGCACTTGGGCTTTCAGGCTGCACCGCCGCACCAACGGCCGTTGAGGGAAACCGAATGCGACGGGCTGGCAATTGAGCTTAGCCGACTGAGGTAGATTTGCGGCCTCGGCCTGACGGCAGCCAGGGTGCTGAATCGGCTGGGGGTATCACGATTCGGCGCCATGGGAAGTTCCTCTACCTCGACTGTCGATGAAAGTAAAGGGAGTCGGAAAGGATCGGCCATGGCGACCGTTGAAGGCTGCAAGCGATTACAAGCCAACACTACCAGACGGCGAGGTTGCTTGATTTGAGAGCGTGTGCAGAGTGCAGCAAAAGCGGCTGAGGCTCAGCGAAACAAAGCACCCACTCGGCCGGAAGCTGTGCGTCCCGTAAACTCTAGCCCAGCACCTGGGACACGCCTTGCTGATGTGGGAATAGCATGTACGACCCCGGATCTGAACTTCAGCCACAGCCTGCGCCGCAGAAGAGACGCCACCAAGACAGGGGCCGGCAACACCTCGGCCAAGCCGAATGCAATCGACGGGCGACGGACTGAGCTGGTCGGGGGATCATGATGGTGAAGCATCAACGCATGGGGTTTGCAGCTCGACGAACGAGGCCCGCAGCTACTATTTTGGCTCTGTTGGACATGGGTGTGTGTCGCAACATGCCATGGGGTCCTGTGCCCGCACTGGTCTCAGATTGAGTCGACGACTGGCCAGCGTCTCCACCGATGGCGTCGTAGGGCCTCTCGTCTGGCTGTGAATGGAGAAAGTTGGGCGAGACAGTGGGAGTTGTTGTTTGCAGCCTCACTCTCTTGAATACAGTAGTACTCGGGTGGGCAAGACTCATTGTCGATCCAAAAAAAAAAAACAAGACCCCAGCAACGTGACTTGGGCCATGATACAATGCCATGGCCATGCTACAATGGAATCTTGATTAACGGTTTTCCCCTTGCCTCTGCGTCCTAAAACGGGTGGGCCAGGCTGGGCTACACTAAGGCTATTCCAAATTGCCATGGCTAGCGCTGAGTGGTGGGAGTAGAGGGAAGCCGCAGACGTTTCCAGGCAAGCGGGCTCGCTACTTTTCGCTACTCAAGCCGCGCCGGTAGATCAGTTGGCCGCGACCAAGTCACAAACGGCGGCGGGCAAAGACGCGAATAACAATACAAAGACAAACGGACGGCGTGGCCCCCTACACCACCACGGCCAAACGTACTGATGCATCCCAGGCCTGTTCAAGACCGCCCACGACGCTCCCGATGGACGAGTGCACCGCGCTAGACCCGGGAGAACGAACGACAGGCCCGAAAAGGAGTGGTTACAGTGCCAAGCTCTTCACTTCGCCGACCTCGTGTCCTCCAATGCGAGGCCCGCCATGACCGCACTACGCACGCCCGGTCCGCTGCCAGCAACCAACACCCGTTTGATCGACGCCCAAGTGCTGACTGCAACGTGCATCGTGCACAGTGCCGTGCTGAGCAATGGTGGCAGACGTCCAAGACTCCACAAAGACATGATCTTGTGCGTGCGAGAGACGTTGCAATATCCGTCTGGAACCCTTTGTAACAGCGTCATCACGGTACGCACAAGTGAAGCCGAAACTGACCACGCCCTTTTTCCCTGACGCGGCCAGAATCACTCCAAAGCAGAGGGCAACATCATGTCCGCACTGGCACATCCTAGAGCCCGCTGAGGCTGGCTGAGGCTGCCTGCCCCTCAACCTTGGGGACGTCGACATGTTTGGTTTTACACTGCACAGGGGACCTGCTCAGCGTGTGCGCCGAGTGGGGGTATCTTTGACAGTCACCATGCTGTCTACAAAACCCTGTCGGCCACGCTCCTAGTGCACCGCCATGAATCGACAGCGAAACGGCCAGGGCCCCTGGCAACTGCACCCATCCTGCGCGAGCGATGGGCCGCAGACGGGGACGAGCGCGCGCTGTCGGCGGCCAGGGAGCGTCGCAGGGGACCAATTCACTACCGTGGTCCCAGCATGGTAATCCAGCCTGGGCACGCCACTTGCTTTTTCTGCCGCTCCAACATGGCGCCGGGCGAGCGCCATACGCCATGCCACGATGTGATACAGGGTACTTGTCGAATCCGACGATCTGGTCCCCTCCTAGGTCCATCGCTGCCAAAGTGCGTCGTCGACAACGATTACTTTAGCTTGATGCTGCTCAGGGCCCAGCTAGTAGCTCAGAGCGCCGCATGACGCCCCAGCCCGATGTCCACCATCTCACCATTGCCTTAGCCGCAGCCTCTGAAAAGCACAATCCTCGCGCCCATCTGCCCGTCCCGAACAAGCCAATAACTCCTCGACCACCTTGGCGTCAGTGTGCCCTGACTACTCCTCCCCGCGCCCGCCGTGATATATACCGGTGCTCGCCTCTACCACGTTACCGTTGGATCATCTACCAAACGTCAACCACTTCTTGACCTTGCCTCAACCACACAAACACTGAACCCTCGACACCTGGCCCATTCCAGTCCCAAACATCAAGGTATGTTTAGTTTTCCAAGCCTGCCATCACTGTCACTCTCCCGCTACATCTGCCCGTTCCCACCGCTATATTTGTCCTTTGTCGATGCGGCTATAGCACACCTTGACTACTCCATTTCCATCTCCATCTCCATCTCCATCTCTATTCATCTCATCATCACTTTGTGCACATCTCAACATCTTCCAAATGGTGCCCTCCACTTCGCTTCACTCTCACAATGCTTGGCGAACTTCAGAACTGATGCCCAGCACAGCACATCACACCTTGCTCTATCAGACGGCACACAGACAGCCTCTTGATACTCGTAAAAGCACAGTCAGAACTACCGACCTGCACCATCAACCCACTGTTTACTCGCAGCATCCACTGCGAGCTTCACAGACCCCACTTTCTTATTGCCTCTCGCCTTCCCCATCAGAAGATTTCGCAATGGTTGCCCACAGACGCGGCCCATGGTCGCAGCACGAGGACCAGTGGCTCGTCAACCTCGTCGCCCGTAATGGACCTCACAACTGGGTGCGCATCTCACAAGAGATCGGCTCAAGGTCACCAAAGCAGTGCAGAGAACGCTACCACCAGAACCTGAAACCAACACTAAACCACGACCCCATCACCGGTGAAGAGGGAGAGCTCATTGAGAAGATGGTCGCTGAGATGGGTAAGAGGTGGGCTGAGATTGCACGGAGGTTAAAGGGACGCAGCGACAACGCAGTGAAGAACTGGTGGAACGGCGGCCAGAACCGACGAAAGCGCAACCCTGAACGTCCAGACCAGAGATCTCGCGAGCACATGCACCATTCTCAGAATGGCTACCACTACCCCTCTCACAGCCTCCCCCATCACGAAGAGCACCGCATGGCCTCATACCAGGACTCACGCAGGCCATCTCTCAGTTCTTCGATGAACTCACCCCATTCACTCAAACTACCTCAACCCCAGCGCTTCGAGCCTTACCCAGGATCGCGACCGCAACCCCTCGACATCTCATCTTACGGATCTCACGCAAGTGTACGAGCCCGGGGATTCGAGACACCTATGCCTTCACCATCTGGCTACTCCATCGTCTCAGCTGACGGCGCTCCTTCCCTCATCACTGACACCGGCTCAGAGTCGAGGTCACCACGCGGCGCTGCCTCCCCCATGGACATTACACTTGCTCCACTTGTAGGTCGCCGGGACGAGCGCAAGAACTCATGCACACGCTACCTCCCAGCCACTGGCTTTGCACCCGAGGATGACTCCTCCCACAACCAATACAGGCGACGAGGCTCACTTCAGCTGCCACCTCTTTACCGCAACGAGCCCCAGGCACCTACTGCAGCGCCCTCTTTCCGGGAGCCCAGCTACGAGCGACCCCAGCCTCCTCAACTCCTCACACAGCCAACACCCCAGCTGACCCACCACCACTCCATGCCTCACACTGCGCCAACAAGCGTTCCACAACGGTCTCTCCCTCCCTTCCACTCAATAACCGAGCCAACGCTCTCCCTACCACAATCATCGAGTGCGGCCACCAGCCCAGCAGCCCGGCAACTACCATCGCCGTATATGCTGCCTTCGATGATGTCAGAGGCCAAGAGCGCACCCGTGTCGCCCAAGGACAGGATGTCCCTGCGAAACATCATGTAGACGTCAATCATGTTCCGTGTCATTCACCGTACCCCTTCTTGTTCATACGCGCACGTTTCGCATTACATACTTCTATTAATGGTCGAAATCAACCATCGACACTTCACTTGCCGCATCTATTTCCCATTCGGCCGTTTGTTTTACATTGAACCAAAAAGGGAAGCTTTATACACGATTTTCAGGATACCCCATGTAGCATTTATGTAAAAGAGAGGGGGATGAGGAACATCAACATGTATCTATTTTGGTCCACTGGGCCTGTTTTGTATCGCGCCTGCCGAAAGTGGTTACAATCCAGCGTTACTTGAGACTTTTGACGGGTCAACTCCGAACACTGCGACAAGCTGTCGTTTGTGATAATACCCACTTGTGCGAGAGCACCTGCATTCGCCTTGTCGCGATGCTAATGAAATACGATCTTCATCAAACGTTGTTCAAGTTCCCTGTCCACACACTTTGTCCATCACACGACTTGCAAGGTCTGGGGTTGCAACCACTCACCAACAAAACCAGGTAGCTTTTCCCCCACGAGCCCTAATCGACGATCGCTAAGTTCCAAGTTTTTGACCTCTTTTGCGGCAAAATCTCACCGCTCCAATGGCACCGAGACCACTGAGGGTATCCACCGCGTGACAGATAGTCGTCAACGTCCGAAGTAGCCACGGAAATGCCTCCACCACCCCTCACACTCTAATGTCGGCCAGACCATCGATCTCGCCACATGTACCGATCAATGGGGGCAGTCGTACCCGTTTCAACATCTGCAGTGTCGCCTAGGCAAACTCGTCATTGGCCCACAACGATTGCTGACGGACAATACCGTTACTTTAGTATAGTTGGTTCGCCTCTCCTTTTTGGGCCACTGCCGCCGGTAGCAAGAATGGAACCACCGAGCAGGATTCTGTCACCATGAGACCTGTAGCCTTGAACTCTGCCTGGGCATTTCCGACATGTCACGTCTACCCTTACTTTCGTGCAAGTGACAAGCGGCAACCCTCTCAAACCTCAAGAGTGGCTTAGGAGGCGTTAGACCCCACTGCAATCTTGCAGGAAACGTGGGAAAGAAGAACTATACACGTACCTTGTGTTCGTAGGCGCGGTACCTGCACTGGCATGCCATGGCTTCACTTTCACCGGACACTACGAATCAAACCCCCCCCCCCTCGCTCCCTCCCGATGCGGCACGCCCGGTCCTCGCTTTCCTATCGCCAGCAACGTTGCCGAGCAAATTACAAGTCAGGATGCCGACTATCACAAACGTTGACCCGATCTCCCCCTCCCCAGGTCCCACATTTGCAACCACATGGGGGGAATAAAAAACGTCAACGTCAACGTCCCATGGTATCAGGTTCAACCAAAAAGCGCAGAGTCGGCGACTAGAATCTTCATCATTACCGCCCACTATTGCTACCAAAGAAACAGGGCGGTTGGAGAGCCCTTGATCAGGCGGGCTGGTGTTGGTCTTACCAGATGCGGCATTTAGACTTTGATCTACGCCTTAGCGCGCGACGGCGCGCGAGATTTGCAACTAGCGTATATCTGCATGGCCACAAACGTGCGACAAGCGTGGAAAAGACGTGCAAATCCTGTACATTAGGGATAGCTTGAAGCTTGGGAGCCTAATACGGTCGGCTACAACACTAGGCAATAGTGTCTATCGAAATACTTGGTTTCCAGTTTCTGGGATCCCGCCCGTCTGTGAGGGAGGTTGCCGTTATTTTTCACGTCGCCGTTCATTACCATGGTAAACCATACTTGCTGCATCTGACTAGCAGAATGGCGCCGTCGATGGGGGTCGCCGGGCCTAAGCATGGTCGAAAACCACATGTATTACTGATCCCAATCTGCCGGAGACGGCATCTGCAATCATAAAATGCATAGTATAACCGTCGAGACCCGCCCGGGACGGTGGTACTGCGGGTTATCAGGTTCGGATCTGGGAGGGCGAGAAGAGTGGAAAGGCTGGCGATGTTCATCGCAATCCGACGATCGCGGGCCAAGGACCCAGATATGGGCATCTTTTTCAATTCTGATGACGGGTATAATATTTTTTTCTGGTCCAACCTACGACATTCCCGGGATCACTCACATATTGCGACCCCCCAGAGGCCCGTGTGTCGACTTGCCAACGTTGTTCGTTGCGATCATCACAGGCATGATAATGCCCACCCTCCCTCTTCCCTCTAGCGCGGATCTCGCTGGGCAATCCTCCGCGACCGTCCAGTGGCTCGTGTCGAGGCGGCATACCGGTTGAGCCCATGACATAGGATGCACTCGGTGCTGCGGTACCCCGTTGGATCTTGTCTAGGGTTGCCTGTTGAGCCTCAGCGACGTAGTTATGCACGAAACACATGGCCGTCACACGTGCACTACAGCTGTAAGGGTATGCAGGGCTGTCAGACGGGTGTCAGAAGAAACCTCTTGGGCCCAAAGTTTGCAAGCTCTTCGGTAGCTTGTATGTTTGTGTCGGTGAAACGATGCATGTGGCGGTGGGTAGACTATTTCGAGTTACTGTGCCCTCCCCGCGAAACATGCGTCGTTTGCATCGTTTGCGGTGAAGACGTTAGGTGTCAAACGATTGTGGAGTCCCCTTCTCCTAAACGTTGCGGAGTCTTGACTGGTGTCGCTGTTTCTTCTTCTTATGGCGTACTCGGGCCATGCAAGGCGCCCCAGATGCCCCCTCTACGGCCTACCGGCCGCCAGTGTAGTTCCGCCCGAGGCGGAGATGCCCCTTCTTCATCTGCTGCCCGGCTGCCTTAGTCCTGTGCAATAAGCAAACTCTACCTTCCAATGAAGAGCTTAAAGGTGCATTGGTTGTAGCCATCGATCGCTCTGGCCCTCCCCCATGGCGGAAGAGCTTCCGTAGTCCGTAGTCAAAAAGTCCTCATCTTCAGCTTTCTCCGGACACTGAGCCGCCACGAACCCTCTCCTGACCCTTTTTCTTTCTCCGCAAGCGCGACGCTCGTGAAACCTACAGCTGCCGCCTTTGCCGGAGTTACTCGACGATGGACTCGCTCAGTTGCGGCAAGTCATGTCTTGCTGCAACACCAACGTTGCATTCCGTAGCTCGCGCTGAAAGGGGTGACGAAGAAAAAAGTATCACGCAGCAAACCTTCTCATCTCCCTCAGTCAGCTGCAGTTCTTGGTACGCGTATGCGTACCCTCTTTGCTACAAGCGGCAGTCAGTACCAAAATTTCGTCACGCTGCATGCCTGCGCTTGCATGTTCCGAACAGCTGGCTGCCAGTCGTCTCCACGCACCGTGACGTTACCTTGAAGTGAAGCTCCGCATTGCAAACCCACATCTCTTACGTACCGAGGTGCTTCACGCACACTGCTTGTGACGATGTCGTCGATCGACGTCGTACGGGTCACGCCTCGCTTACAGATACCAGGTAGCGAGATGTTGCCGTAATCCAGGCTCGTATCGCAGAACCCCCGCGCTATAATGTTTGTGTTAAGTATGGGAAGTTACATCCGTGATAATCGGGATTTAATCTACTTCGACCCCTGAGTTATATACGGTGTACGAAGTACTCTATAGTACTGCCGACAGCAATCTCACCTGCATATTGTCCACCCGTCTGACCCTCCTTATGCACATCGTCGGACGTCTTGCTAGAAGCGTCGCATGCATTGCAGTGCAGAAAAGGTGTTGGGGAACGGTAAAACTCGATGCGAAGAATCTCGTAATTGGGCAAAACGTTGGTGTTGTGACTTTAACCGGATACGCATTGGTGGAGAAATTAGCGCGGCACGTGATGTGGTGTGTGAGGCGTTCCCGGCTCGGTGGATCCGACATGATCGCAACCACCACAATCCATAGCAACGCATCTACATCACCATCCATTCCACGTTACACGTAGAGTCTAATAATATCTCATTGGAAATATTCTAGCGACACTCTTCAGTACGCGAGGTCAGGTTTCATCTTGGTTGATGTTTGGCTCCGCCGGCCGAAATGTCGGGCAACGGACTGTATGATCCGGACCAAATCGCGGTGGATACGCGGTGGATTGAACCTTGGAGCGAAGCTTTTAGGGTGAGTGGCTGTTTGTGCTCGTGCTGTTGGTGTGACAAGACTAGTTGGGCGATCTTCATATCAGAACATCAATCATGCCCGGCATACTGCGCACATGTAAACCTCACGGCGATAGTGGCTGACGCCGTGATAGGCACAAAGAGATGTTGGCCTCCGCGTCCCTATCAATTTTCACACTGCTGCAGCGGTGTCGTTGCAACAAGCATGCTTTGCCAACAACCAATACGAGCATAATGCTTTCCAAAAGTGCTTCTCAAATTTACTGGCAGTGGGATTTCCACAGTTCATAGTCGATACCTATTGGGACCCACTGCGTTCAGTATGGAGTTTGTGTCCAGTAGAGCTGCCACAGTCGAATGGAGGTCCCAATTCAGACAGTGTGCCTGTGGCGACTGGGGCAACAGTAGTCGCCTCAAGTGATACTGTGCTGGCACAGATACCACAGTCGACGTTGAAGATACCTCCGTTGAAGCGTCAGGCAACATCATCCGCGGGGGAGTCGCCATCCGCAGCATCTTCGACTCCATCTTCATCTTCGTCAACTTCAGCAAGCGCAGCATCGCCAACTATCATCAACTTTCCGTCTTCCAATGGACCACCAATTCTGCAGGTCGGCAGTTATAACTGCACTTCTTTAATGACACTAGTTCTGCTTACCGGCATATTGCAAAACTTTCTAGAAACAACATCTACCACCACAGGCGCTTCGATTACAATGTTCACTTTCAATGTACATGCACCAGCGTCCTTGAGTGAACCAGATGCACCAGCTCCGAACCTTACTCCGAATCAGCTGCCAGTATCAGGACAGCTTCTCAGCGATGTACTACAGGGCAACCTTTCAGATAAGACTTTTACGCCGTCTCTTTTATCAAGTCAGCGTGCGAATCTGGATAACTCATGGTTTGACGTCAGCTGGAATAATCTCCCATTAGACGGTTACTACGAGACTTTGAAGAATGGTCAAAACCAACGCTTCACCAACAACGGGTGGCCAACAGAGGCATTCATGGAGTTCCAGCAGTTCTATAGGGTTGTTGCTAGCTACGGAACCGTGGATGCTCAGATGTCACTCTACAACATTGGACCAGATCTAGACTACATGTTCCGCCCCGGCACCACCGTCGAAAAAAGAGCAACATCATTCGGCGCCGATGGACGCGTAACATCCGGTTGCCTCTTCGCTGCCAACGAAGACACCGTCATCCAAACAACGAACTCCTCGTTCGCTCTCACTCCCGCACCACCCCTCTCCATCGCCGCAAACCCGGACTTCGCATCCCCCATTCCATCCATCGCCAACCTCACCGCCTGCGGCCTAACCCCGTTCCTCAACCAAACCCTCGCAAACACAACCGCAGACAAGAACCCACTCCCATACGCCGCATACGTACACTCCACACTCTGGACCTTCGCCCCAGGCCAGCCCCTCAACGCCTCAGACGACAGCACCGACCCCAGCGAAAACCGATGTGTCGTAATGATGAGATCGCCCTACCCCAGCCGGTGGCGCGTAACAAACTGCGGCGAAGCCCACCGCGTCGCCTGCCATGACCCCCACAAACCCTACGCCTGGCACATATCCTCCGACGCCACCCCCTACGCAAACGCCGCCTCTTTCTGCGCCTCCCCCGCCGAATTCAGCGTCCCCCACACCCCCCTCGAAAACGCCCACCTCTTCTCTGCTTTCCAGTCCACCGCGCCTACAGACGATGCTGTGTATATCAACTTGAATAGTTTGAGCGTGAGAGATTGCTGGGTCGTCGGCCTCAATGGTACGTGTCCGTATCTGCCTAGTACGGATACAGATCGTACAAGGATTGTGGTTGTGCCGACGGTGGCGGCGGTGCTGATTTTCTTGTTTGCGGTGCTTACTTTCTTTGTAAAGTGTGCGGCTAATCGGAGGGAGACGAGGAGGGGGCGGAAGAGGCGGTTGGTGGATGGATGGGAGTATGAGGGTGTGCCTAGTTAGATTTGGGGTAGTTGGAATGGCCTGGAGGAGGAATTGGCGTTGGGTGAAGTGTATGTATCTTGCGAGGGAGGGTTTGGTTTATAGAGTTTTGTACCGCATATTCTTGCTATTGAGGGATTTTAGATTTTGGGACGTGGCATGGCGTAGTCTATAGACTGGAAATAGTACAACCAGAGCGTGGTATTCGTTATAATGTAGAATATCGAATCACTCGAATCTCATCTTGAGTGAAAGTCTTTGGTTTTTTACATAGCAAAATCGCATGGCAAAACGCGTAACAGGTTGATCTCATGGCAACCTTCATGTATAAATAACAAATTTTAAACTCAGGAATGTTGTTTGCTCAACACCAAAATACGCATTTCCTGATGTATAGGGTGTGCCTGAATGTATTAGCATTACTATATCAGTTTTTGCTATACCTCATGATGCTGTTTCATCTGTCTTTCGTAATCATGTCCTACCTCATCACTGTCTCTTGCATCATTACAAGCCATAGCTCCTAATGCTACAGATTTACCCCGCTTCGCAATTTCTCTCGACAAACAAACACACTCTTGAAATTGTACTATGCGAAATGACGTTGTAACCCACAGTCTACCCCTCCTCACCATCTTCATGGTATTATGCATCACTGTTTTGTCACAGGCTTTGAAACAATTCCCTTGAAGCAGTCGAGCAAGCGAGCACTTCACAAGACATATTTCATCACAGCAAACTATTGTGACGGATACACGTAGATAGAAGGACAGCTAGACAGTGAGATTACGCAAACAGCGCCGATAAAAAGAAACATCTGACAGACATCTTCGCACAGTATCCTTCCCTACATACACACCACAGTCTCTCTACTAGTTTGAGAATCTTGGAGTCTCCCTAAACCCAACATCCACATCAGAACGCTTCCCACATCCACTCGACCCTAGCCCCCCCAAAGCAACCCCAACCCACCAAAACGCAAACATGCCACGCGACCCCTCGGGCGTCCCCCACACCGGCACCCTCGGCCTCTTCGACGACGTCGACGAACTCGCCACCTCGACCGCCCTCACCACATCCCATGAACTGCACCGGTTAAAGGGCCAAATCAGGCGTCTGGAACGCCATGATATCTCTGAAGCACGCCGGCAGTACCGGGAGGATGGTAGGGAGGTGCGTAGGGATAATAGGAATGCGAAGAAGGAGAAGGGTAAGGGGAAAGAGGGCTGGTGGAAGTCAATATTCAGCACCAAGACACCCAAGACTGCGCGAGAGTTTGCAGAGTCTGAAAGACTACAGTCAACGTACGAAAAAGAAGACGGAGAAGACAGTGAGCCCGACAACCGGCAGAAAAATATACAGTACAGAATCGTGCGTCGACCAACTACACCAGAAGCTCCGTGGAAAGCAGAAGATGTACAGAGTGTTGATAGTATATGGTTGCAGGAGTGTGGTATGGTGAGGGTGAGGAGTGAGTGTCCTGGGGGCTGTCGGATTGTTTCTGGGAGGGGGATGGTTGGGTATGTGGAGGATCAGAGTGGGAAGGAGGATCGACTTGGCATATAGGAGTAGGGGAGGGGGATGTGAGGGTAAGGTGCGAGGAGTGGGTTAGGGTGTAGGCTGTGATAGTTTGAGGGACGTGTTGGGATACTGCAGTAAGGACACTGGGGAGATAGTAGGGAAGAGGAAGAGGCTGAGGTTGATACTGGAAGGCGACGTTGAGAGTAATGGAGGGAGGTGTGCCTTGCAGCATCTTTTCAATAACGGCCAGAAGCCGTGTTTGTGTCGACATGTTCGGTTGCTGTAACATTAGCCACGGACTTTGTACCAGGTCCATTCCCTTGAGCATGGCCCTCTTTTCCGAGGTATGGTGCTAACGGTTTGCTTCTTCACTATTTAATCAAACGATGCTTTCATGCGCTTCGTGTTGCAAGTCTGGAAGCAATCCAGACAACAACTGGTCATGAGCCTGTCCGGACTTATACTGGATGGCCATATCCCGGCTGTATCGTGACAAGGGTATTGGTGTTGACCATTGTTCGAATCCTAAGATACTGCTACTCTGCGGAATCTGCCAAGTGTAGGTAAAGTAGAATAATGAATCTTGTCTTCCAGCTCGGCCTGTTAAACGCCACTGAACTACATACATGTAGCCTATGTTTAATTGAAAGAAACTCTCCTAACTAGAAAAAAAAAGTGGTCATTCAGAACTTGATAACTAACATTTCTCCCACAATATTTCCGCATAGACCATGTGGGATAGTGGTTCTTCGGCACGTCTGAGTTTCAGAGTGCTCACATGCACCGCCATTGTAGCCACTGCGAGTCGTTGTACCAGCTCGACACTCTTCGAAGCTTTTCAACATGTTGTCTCGCGTGTTTCCCACAGAACGAAGAACATGACGAGATGTTCTATTTCTTCGGATATTCCTCTCGTCTTCTGGCACATGAAGATCGCTTGACTCCACGTGGGGGCGATGTCGTCCGTTCCATTAGTATCCTCAATCTCATAGCCATCAAATTATAACCACGGTAAGCTGATAATAGGCTGCGGTAGGCCCTGGGAGAGTGACCTGGGAAGAAAACGCGGGCGGTGGGTCGCCGATTATGACAACCTTGGCTCGTGTAATTCTCATTTCACCTTCCCTACCCCTGTTATTCTGTCTTCCACCATCTTCATCAATGTATCCTTCTCCTGTACCGCCTTAACCCTCTCACCCTCTAGTTCGTCTAGTTGTCTCTCTAGCTCTCTCATCCTCTCCACCTGCTCTCTCTCGCTCCAATTTAACCCCGGCAAATGCGCAATCAGCTTCTCAATCTGCTGTTCCTTAAGCGTAATATCCTGTGCCATTTCTTTGAGATCAGCCTCGAACTGCTCTGGCGTGGGTTTGGGCGGGGGCGCGTTGGCAGGCTGAGAAGGGTCGGCGGCCGCGCCTTGTTGTGTGTTTTCGGCAGCGGTGCGGGCTTCAAGTTCGGCAAAGGTATCGAGACGTTGCTGGCCTGGGGGGACGCTTGGGGGTGCATTTTCGCGTATTTGGCGTAGGGCAGCGGACATTTGATTAAGGAGCTGAGCAGTTAGTATGGTGTTTAGAGTGGTATATGGATCTAAGTACCATGTCCAGCTCATCCTGGATCTGGGTGAGGATGTCGCCCATTGTGCGCGGGGGTATGTGTTGAGTCTGGTGAATAGCGCGATTTAGGAAAAGCGAAGGCGCGAGTGGTATCAGATCTAAGTAAGTGTAGTGTGAAGGTGGTGCGTCATGTGGAGGAAGTCGGGTGGAATGGGGCTAGGCTAGCGCGTCATGTCAAAATATACGCGAAAGCGGCAATGGACCGTTCCCGCAACACTCGTTAGTCGACCCTCAGCATATTTGCAGTTGTAGGCTGCGAGCCCCCATCAATCGCTTCAATTCACTGTGAATATGTCCCACCCTTGGTGCTCGTCCCGAATACCGTGATGCGCCCTTCGCTCCTCCCGCCATGGCTCACACAATGCTCGCTGCTCGCATGGCTCCCCCGAGCTACTCCGCACCGCGTCCCTCGCCGAATCGCAACCACGTCTGCCCAAAATGCTGCACCTGTTGATATACCGAAAGTGCCGATACCTCCAAAGACAACTAAACACAACTCATTGGAGTCGTTCATCAAGTATGCCAAGCAAGCCCAGGTACCTACAGGTACGGCTGTTTACATTGGCACCCACTATGAGTATATAGTATCACTAGCCCTTATGCGCTTAGGCTTCTCAACCGTACGCATAGGCGGCAAGTCGGATGCCGGAATAGATCTTATAGGCCATTGGGTGCTAGCTCCATTGCGCGAACCGCTGCCGGTCATCATACAGTGCAAGGCACGGAAGATTCCCATCAATCCAAACCATATCCGCGAACTCGAAGGCTCCTTTCACGGCATACCCTACCAATGGAAGAAAAAGGAGGTCTTCGGTCTACTCGTGACAACCATGAAGGCTACCAAGGGCGTTCTGGAAGCGTTGAGTCAAAGTCGATGTCCTCTCGGCTTTGTGCTCATTTCTAGAGATGGGTTGATTCAGCAGTTTGCCTGGAACCGCGCGGCGTCTGAAAAGGGCCTGGAGGGAGTGGGTGTCACGGTCAGACATACACCTCGCGCTCTACTGCCTGAGGAAGAGCAACAGCAAGAAGACGATGAGTCGGGGAAACCGAAGAAGCGGTTGGCCAAGTTCAAGAACGCGGGCACAGTAAAGGATATCCAGTTGACCTGGATGGGATCGCCCATCTTTCCCGAAAGAGAGCATCTCGACCAGAAGACAATCGAACTCATGCGCTGCATTGGACCCGACAGTTATGGTGACCCATTTGTCCCTGGTGTACAGGTTCCGCGTCGAGGCCGTCAAGCGCAACTCGTTGAGGAAAAGAAGAATGTACCTAGACCTCGTGGTCGACCAAGAACACTCTATACAGAGAAAGTTCCGTCTCCACGCGGAGGCCAAATCGCGCGTGTCCAGAAGGACCATCGGGGCCGACCCAAAGGCCGGAAGAATAGACCAAAGGGGGAAAATCTTGTACCAGAAGAGGAAGAGCAAGAAACAGAAGAAGCACCGGAAGTATCAGAGATACCAAGAAAGCGGCTTGGACGACCTCCGGGCTCAAAGAACAAGCCAAAAGCACCGGTTGATACCGGATGAGGAGATGTTGGTTGCGCATTCGAATTATAGCTATCATCTTATCATTAGTGTTCCAAGCACACTGTACGTTAGACTCACACGGCTGAGTCCCACGCTACGCGCCTACCAGCCCACGGTTATTTAGATCAAGACCTGTTCATGTTGTTAGAGTCACGACCCAGGAGAACACGAAGATCCTACGGCAGCTCCCAAGACACAATTTCCATGCATCGTATACCCCCGCTATACATTCACGACCAGCATGTCTTTTTTTTCGGGCATTCAAGACTATATCCCAGCATCTGTTTTTTGTTCAACATCATATTTATGATTTCTTCTTTACACGAAATTGTTATTATACCCCGTTTGATTATCTTCTGGTTTTGAGAGGACATCTGTTTTTCAGAGCGTCATGTGGATATTTATACTGTTTGATAGTAAACCTAACATATAGAAGCTACAAATATAGAAAAGACAAGAGATATACATGAAAACACTTGAACGTAGACACAAGGAATGCAATTTGGATGCTAATAAATAAACAGACGACAAAAGAAACATTGAGAACACCCCGAACAATGCCTTGAACGCAAACCTACAAGTCCATCCTGATGATATATGCTAGAGCACCCGGGTGTCACAAAAGACTCAACATACTAGGTTACAAGGGCCACTGTAGTCGCCAGGCACGTGTTTACCCACGCTGTTGATCATTTTATGACACCCGGGTGACATAAAAACAGGCACCAACCAGCACCTTAATAATACATTGCCAACACAACGAGACCTATAACTCCAAAAACACACAAATGCACGCCTACCTCATACAAGTCATTCTCCTCAACCAGCCGCCCGCTGAGCCCAGCCGACCGTAGTAGCGCCTAATAATCGAACCGATCGGGCAGGACAAGCGGCGCAACGAGCGTCCAAGTGTAAATGCCATAGCACACCCACGCACTAATAATCTTGGCCCAGCTAGCCCAGTATGTGCGACCGACAGGGACGAAACTGTGTGACACATCTTTTTCGTCAAAGTTTGTGGTGAGCAGTGTAGCGACCCAGGTTGTGCTGAGGAAGAAGATGATGTGGAAGAGGGTGTAGTTGTACTGTGTGGCATTTCGTTCGTCGTCGCGGGGGTTCTTTTTGTTCGAGGGCTCGTCGTCGTCGGAATCATCGTCGGAGTCGTCGAGGGCCGAGGCGGGGAGGGAACCGGATTCTACGGCGGCGCGGAGTGCGGCTTGGCGCATGTCGCGGCGGGACTCAGGCTGCTGGGTAACAAGACCGTGCTCATAGTCTTCAGTGCCGACTTGGGCGTAGCCGTTGCCGTGTGGGTTACCTTGGGCACCGAGAGCGAGACCGTAAGTTGCGGCGCGCGTCGTGGTGTAGGCTACTGTGACAAATGTGACAATGGCACCGATGATGATGGTCGCTTTGCGGGTGCCGCGGGAGCGGATAAGTGGGTTGCATTGGTGGTCGTCGGGTTCCATGCCCACGGCCGACAGGGTGAGGTAGGTGCAGTAGACGGCGACGATGGCGGATTGCGCGAGACCTGCTCGGGGGTTTACGTCTTGTACAGCGGGGTGGATTGAAGCGACGGATGAGATCAGAAGCAAAATGAGGTTAATCTAGTGCTGTTAGCCGGTTTTCGTAGATGTCGTACCACTGTACTTACAGTGATGGCTGCCTGGTTCATGCCACATCCGCTCTTGGCGAAGAAGATGTACATGACAATAGTCATGGCAAATGAAGCCAGGTACATGGAAATGGCACTACCCACAAGCATGCCTGTCCAAACGCGCGACTCGGTGGTTTCAATCTTTTCCTGGCAGTACTCGGCCCAGTTGTGCGCCAGATCCACGAGCAGGATGAGTCCAATGAGGAGGAACAGGCAGGCGCCGACCATGGCGAAGTAGTTGCCCCAGACGATAAAGAACGAGTTCGGGATGAAAAAGGTCAAGACAATCATTCCAATCCATCCGAGAATCTTGGGGGCCCAGAAACCGTTCTGGATAGTTGCGCGACCGTCCTTAGAAGACCGTACTCCGATGAGCATTAGTGCCATGAGAACGTGGAAGAAACCGAGAGCGAAGTTGATGCGCTGCACCGCGACGTATCCGTAGCACTGTTCCCCGTGGCATTTGATGTCGACGTAATCCAGCGTCAAGTGGGCAAGCTTCTTCATGGCCCAGTCGGTGAGCATGATCCATGAAACGATTGAGTTGATGAGAAGAATGAGCGCGTATGCGATACGGGTCGCGATGCTACCCAGAGTCAGTGTAATCCGATATATCTACCCAAAAAGCATACCTATTCCCACACTTTCCTCCGCAAGAGCCCATGACGGCGCTGCAAGTCGCCGCGCCACAACAGGAGGCGGCGACGCTCCAAACCTGGACATGTTAGAGGCGCGCATTAATGACAAGTACATCAACATACCGTGCCCATGGCAGGCATCGCCAAAAACGGCACCGACAACAGTGCGCCCATGATGTTTGCGATAGTGTGGAGGCGTGTGTGGTGGTTGGTGTTGTGGAGAAACTGCAGGTGCACGAGGATGAAGCCGGTGACGTTCATCAGACGCCGCGCCCGCGGCTCTTACGCCAAGGCTGGACTTGGCCATCTTATCTCCGATCAGCTGGATTGCGCATACTCCACCTTCTACTTACACTCTGCGACTTCCTTTCTCGTCGACTCGTCCACACTGTCTCGCGCCTCGCTTGCTTTGCTTTCAATCAGCTAGCGTTATAGACTACTTTGACTTCCCTCTTCTCTTTCTTTCCTGTGCATATCTTTACAATCCGGCATTTCCTAACGGCTTATCAAGTGCCGATACCAGTCAGCTCCACTCGGTTGCAAACAATTGCGCATCTTATCTTTCACTTGATGATCTCCCTCCCGCAATAACCAGACGAATATGGTCACCGAAGAGAAGCCACCTGCTCACCAGAAAACCCGAATCGTGAGCGTCGCTGCAGCCACGTGCATCGCGCTCGCATGTGGGACAAATGTAGTTATGTCTCCATCAAGCCAGCAGAGTGGGATGCTAACTACACGAAAAAGTACGCGTACAGTGCGTGGGCTCCTCAATTTGCGGACAAGCTGCAACTATCTGCCACCCAGAGCAATGTCATCGTATGCCCCCCAAGCCTCATCTCGAACGCGTACCCGTCTCACGATGCTAGGGAACCGCTGCCAATCTGGGCATGTATGCCTCAGGAATACCCATGGGCATGATAACAGATCGGAAGAGTCCGAGACTCACTACCTTCATTGGAATGTTTGCATTGTTTGCGGGTTACTATCCTATCAAGCTTGGTACGACATGTCGTCTCTAGTCATCATGTCAAGTCTGACCATGTGCAGCATATGATGGAGGTCCGGGCTACATGAGTGTAGCTCTGATATCTTTTTGTTCATTTTTAAGCGGTGTTGGCAGTTGTGCTGCCTTTTCAGGCGCACTGAAAACTGGTACGTTTCATATCCAAGATAGAAGTACCGTTGTTGACCTTGATAGCCACACTCAACTGGCCAACACACCGAGGCACAGCAACCGCATTTCCAATGGCTGCTTTTGGATTGAGTGCCTTCTTCTATACGCTGATTGCTGGAGTCGCGTTCCCTGGCAATACTTCTGGACTACTCATGATGCTTGCCCTTGCTACCTCACTTCTCGTGCTAGTATCCATACCCTTTCTCATCGTCGTTGATCACAAATCCGGCGCAGGTTACGCCGCACTCCCCACTACTGAGCGACCTCGACGTGATTCTAATCTACTTACAAGGACAAAGACTAGTAGCAGCAAATATAAATCATCTGTCATTCCAGAGCAGGAAATCAGTAAGCCCCCTTTCATCATCCGTCTCTACCCTTTACACCTGCCAACCACCTCTAGCACCGTCCGAAGAGCACGATGGTCCCTCTACCGAAACATCATCCCTTATATCGTCTCTTCCCGGCGATATAATCGACAATGACGACGCGACCAGCAAGAAGTCAGCTCACAGTTGCACAGATATAACCGGGCTGGCCTTGCTCAATAAGGCAGAATTTTGGCAAATTTGGGTGCTTATGGGCCTTTTGACTGGCATTGGTCTTATGACTATCAAGTACGTATGGTTGAGACGTTCACACTAGCCATATCTAATTTCTGCAGCAATATTGGACACGATGTTCAGGCTCTCTGGAAACACTTTGATGAAGATATCGACGGCGACTTTGTTGCTCATCGTCAGTTGCTGCATGTGTCCATCATCTCTGTATGCTCGTTTCTTGGACGCCTGTCTTCTGGCATTGGTTCCGATCTTATCGTGAAGCGACTTCGCCATTCACGTTTTTGGTGTGCGGCCATCTCGGCGGCCATCTTTGCGTTGGCCCAACTAGCCGCCATTCGCGTCGAAGATCCACATTACTTATGGGTTGTGTCTGGACTCTGCGGACTCGGCTATGGCGTACTATTTGGTGTCTGCCCATCGCTCGTCGTCGATGCATTCGGTTCAGATGGGTTTGCCGTCAACTGGGGATTTATGACAATCGCTCCTGTTGTTAGCGGTAACATCTTCAACCTGTTCTATGGCGCTGTGTACGACTCCAACTCGGTGGTTGAAGCCGACGGCCAGCGCGCTTGCGAGTTGGGACTCAAGTGCTATCGGACAGCGTACTATGTTACTCTTGCCTCCAGCATTTTGGGTATCTTTGCGTGTTTCTGGGGTATCTACGGTGAACATGTAAGGAAGAGGCGGGAATTGGAAGAACACGATGCGCATAGGGACGCTTGATCCCCAAGACGTACACCCCTGTGGCGAGATAGACTGGTTCTTATAGAGTTATGAAAGCAGATGCAAGGCTCTCCTGAGCAAAAGTGGCTGCCACTGGGGTGCATCTTTTTATTACAAGCACTCGCACCTAGGTGACATAAGATACCTGACAGCGACAGTGTGGGTGAACCCCAGTATACTATTACTATTGGGCATATTTGGAGGATACAAGGACTTTTGTATACTAGGATGTCAAGTATATCATATCACCTAGGTGCTCTACAACAAAACTGCATTGGGAAAATCTGCTGCTAAGCATCGACATCACTTATATTGTGGTAGAGGGATAGTCTCAATAGTCAGAAGAGAGGCTGCCGACCCGCAATCGGTAGAGAGTAGAGAACAAGAAGGTATCCGAGTGACAATCGGTAGTATTAAGAATAGTGTGCGATCAGATGATAAGATGTCGAGCTTCTCCTCGCGGAGTTGCCCTAAAATACTCAACCCTAGCGCCGATTACCTAACGCCGAACACGTGACAAGCTACTACACCACAATATACCATCATCACCCAGGTGCTCGTAAGATTTGGGAGTTGTGCTTATCACGTGTTCTTTTGTTTCCCGGGTTCGAGTTGAGTAGTTACACTGGGTGTTGTAAAATACTTGACTGTGGGTAAGCACCTCATAGTCGTGTTTGGCGGCTATAGTGGCCTTGATGCATTAGTATGTTAAGTATTTTATGACACCTAGGTGGCTATGCTTACCAAGGTACGCATGAACAATCATCGGATATAGCCGTTCAGAATAAGTAGCGTGAGCGCGCATGATCTATCGAATACAAAGCGAGCGGATTGTTCAATATATTTTTCTGGTACAATACTACAAATAAAGAACCCTTTTGGTGGTTTCCATGGATCATATAGTGCACTCGTCCAACCGAGATGGGGCGATGTCGCGTCGTGCGAGCTTTAGCTCCACGCGACCCCACTAGATAAGCTGCCCCATGGGTCCCTGCATAAGCGGCTGTGCGGGTGGCGAGGGCTGACGACCTCACGTCCAGGCATCAAGCCTCCTACTTCTATCACGCTCTTTATCACATTAAATTCTTTTGTCCTTCTGTCCTTTCTTCTTTCTACTTTTGAAAAACTTCGCTTCAAACGGATTACCCTTTCAATAACGTAGAGAATTAGGTATCGCAGATATGCCTGCGCCACTGGCCAAAGGTGTGTACAAATAGCTTCTCCATATTCATGTGCTACTGCAGTGTTCGGGTCGATCTTACGATCTGTTTTCGCATCCCATCCCTTTCTGTTCCTTATATTTTCTGTTTTCCTTTGCCAACCTGCTTGCAGGCACCGGCTCGCCGTATACCACGCCACATCGCAATGCTCCCAACGCGCACCATCCTAACCACCCCTTGACATCAGGCCTCATAATCGCCGCGTCCGTCATCGTTGCTGCCGGTATCGCCATCTACGAATCTCCCCAGGTGCGAGCATGGGCGGACCAGACCCGTCGCAAGATCGCTGTCGCTCTGCATTCACTCGGTGACGACATTCAGCCCCGCCGACCGAGCGAGTCGTCGGATGACTTTGAAGAGAGAAAGCGGAGAAGGGATGAGCTGATTAAGAGGAATAGGAATGAGCTAATAAGGCGTGCGAGGGAAGAAGGTATCGCGGTTGATCTGGACGAGCTGGCTAGGATTGGCACCGAGAACGCTGAGGCGGCTGAGAAAAGGTCGAGGGCTGATCGGACGAAGAGCTTCGACGATCTTCTTGACAACGACGGCACTCTCAAGAACAACACTACTTCAACTGGCACCGAGACACAAAAGGGCGACGTCAGGAAGCGTGGAGCCGCTGGCTTCGCTGCTGGCGCCGTCGCCGCTGCTGCCATGGCAAACCCCTTCTCCGACGACCAAACTCTCCTCGACAACGACGACCAAGACGACGCCCCCTCACCCAAACCATTTACCTACTCTGAACCCAGCGCCTGTGAAAGTACCGCCACTATTCAACACGTCGTCCCGTCTACTCCCCCCACCGCTACCCTCGTCGACCTAACACCCTCGCCCGAGACGCCCTGCCCCGCCCGCGCCTCACCCGAAGAAACCGAACAAGCCGCCCAATCCTTCTACTCCTTCACATCCTCGCATGCCTCCCTCCCACCCCTTATCCCCGCTGCCGATGTCACCGCCGCAGAAGAAGTACAGGAAGATGAAGAACCAGAACACGTCTCCACAGGCACCCTCACCCCGCGCTCCGAGCGCTCCACAACAATGGCCGCCATCTCCCCCACCTCTTCCCAAGCCCCATCATCACCTCACGCCCCCTCCTCCGTCGTTGACATGTTCAGCATGCAAAACGACACCGACCACGACGCTCGTTCAGAAATCTTCTCCGAAGGCGGTTTCACGGATGCGTTTTCCGAGGGCGGCTTCAGCGAGTTCGAGGATGAGAGAAGGGGTGTTATGACACCGAACTCTTGGACCGATGTTGGCAGCGATGATGGGAGTGAGTGGGGTGGTGCTGCTGGTGGTAATGGACATGTTAGTCAGGTGCATCAGTAGGTTTGTGAGGTAGATGTGTATGGGGGTTGTTATGTGGGCACACCTAGGTGTCGATAAAATACTTGACATACGAGTGTACAAAGCCCACTGTAGTCGCTGTGCTGCGCCTATTAGGTGTCTACCCACACTGTCAAGTATTTTATGAACACCCCGGTGGGGGTCTTGTTGTCGTAAGATGATTGAGATGGAGAGCGTTGGTTTTTTTTTCTCACCTAGGATTCAATTTGTGGGGCATGGTGTTATACGGTCGTTTGGGTGTTTTCCTTTTCCTTTGCCTTGTTTTTTTCTTTCAGCTTCTTCATCTTAGTAGATAGAAGAGAGAGGAGGGAAAGAAGTAAACACGTTGGATAGGCTTTATATGTTCTTATCCACTCAACATCTTTCATATATAACAACGTTATCAAGATTATTTCAATCCAATGTCTGAAGAACTTGCAACGCTGTGTGCTAGTATAATCCTCTACTAAATACGTAAAACTAGAATTATAATACATAACTATCCCATACGTTTTATGCAGACTTGTCAACAATCAATCAGATCGGCATGATTGATTCCTATCTAGGCTAAAGGCTACCTAATGAAGTAATTCTTTAACCTATATAGGAATCAATCATGTCGATCGATTGATTGTTGACAAGTCTGGTTTTATGGCATCTGGGTTTACGTGTGTTTAGTGGGTACCAGGTGAGGGTTTATTGGTATGGCGTTGTATTGGAGGTTTTACGATATCTAGATGTGCTTTGTTGCGCGTGTATGAATGAGGTAGTGGTATGGTTTGCATGGTGTGTGGTTCTGTGAGGAGGTTTGTGTGTGGGAAAACTTGGTGGGTTGGATTGAGGTTGGAAGATAGTGTCTGAGAGGTGGAAGGGCTGGATGCTGGACGTTGTGCCCAGGTACTTTGTGTGGTTTGATTTGGTGACTCATGTTTTGAGGTTGAGGTATATACTGCGCTGCAATTTGGGTACCTGGGTTGGTGTGCACGTGCTGAGGAGATTGAGGAATTTTTATTTCCCGTTCTTTTGTTAGACAGGTGTAGTTTGAGAGTGTGTGTTTGGTTGGAGGGACAGTGGGGAGATGTGTTGTGCAGTGGTTGAGCTTTTGTCATAGTATATGGGGTTGCGGGTGTGGTGCGGTTTGAAATGCAAGTGTGAATGCAAGAGTTGATGAATTCCGACGATGATTATGTGTGTGGGGTTTGAGTTGAGCGTGAATCAAACAGTTAGTGGAACTCACACATCACACATCACGAGGAGCATTGAAAAGAGCGAGTTTACAAAGAATGATACAATTGCAGACTGCATTAACTGGGGTATCGGGTGTAAGCAGTGAAAAAGAGAAAAGTCAACGCAAAACACCTGAAAACCAAAAAAGAACCCCCCAAAATCCCAATCTTGGATCATCCGCCAGCAATACTGTTGAGAGATGAGAATACCAAGTGTGCAGTCAAAGAAAGGTATTGAATATAAGCCAGTCTCACACATGCCTCCGTGTAGCCGTGTGGCGCGTTCAAAAACGGCACTGCCGTTCTGATCGCCCAAGGAAGGAAACGAAGCAGGGGAAAAACTTTTCTGTACCCAAAGAAGAAACCAGCACAACAGATCCGAAGCTTGGAAAATCAAATAGTAAGTGTTCCCCAATGCAACCTGCATTCACCACAGGGATATGAGCGTCGAAATCAGTGGCCTCGATTTGTAGACGGTGCAGCCAAGTCCAAGTAAGCCAAGGGCCCATCAATCTCTTCGTCAAGTTGAAACAGCGTCTTCCTGTGCCCACAAGCCGAGCAGCAGCCCGAAACAGCCGGAGCCGACTCTGTAGGATCAGGCGTGTAATCCGGATGGTACGGGTTGTTGTTGCGCTTAGCCACCGGAGTGACATCAGTTCTCACCATGATGCCATTGTTTTTTGTTATGCGAACCGTCTTCCTACGCTTTACCTTGGGAGGTTCAATAGCATTGTTCAGCTCTTGATCCGAAAGTTTGCGCTTGTTGCCGCCGTACGTGGTGAGGAAACAGGCTGTGCGATACAGCCGTGGGTCATACTTCCACATGCGTGACTTCGAGTCGAAAACCCATGGTCCGGGACTGTCGATGCTGTGGACGATTCGCGCGTCTGGGACAAGGTGGAGTCGGAAACCGTCCCAGGGCATGACATGGGTGATTAGAGATCTGGGGATGAAGTCGCACGCAAGCCATTCGTATGCGTGACCTTTGGCTGCAATAGTGTCCCAGCGCCGAATCTTGGGGAGAACCAGCTTCATATCTGAATTGCGGATCTCGGTAATGGAGAGCCACATGTCTGTGCCTGACGACTCCCACTGTTTTGAGGTGATGGCGGAGCGGTCTTGGGGAAAGGCATTTTTGCGGATCCAAACGGGAATGGTGACGTTGTGAATCTTTGTGGCTTCGTGGATGTCATTGATGAGGAGTGTCGTGGGATATACGGTAGTGACTTTCACTGTCGTAGCCATTTGTGCTCGCACGGTCGCGGCCATCAAACCATTGGTTTCTATCCGGGCCACTGATGCACGCATAACGATCCGCTGGCTATCGTCATAATGAAATCCTGCTCTGCGTACAGCGTGATCTAAATAGTATTAGTAATCTTGTCTATATGCACACTTGAAGAAACTTGCCGATATCGTCAAAGGCGGAGATGTAGGACGATGATTTGATCTTCTTGTTCCAAATCAACTGGCGTTCGATGCGTTCCCTTTTCAAATCATGGGCCAGGGAGAATGATCCAATAGACTGGAAGGCATTATCTGCAGTGATCTTCAGGTCTGGAAACTCGCGGTGCTTCGGGTGGGTGTCTCTGTTCACGAAGCAACAGGCAGTCTGCGAAGTCTCATAATAAGTGCGGTAGAAGCCGGATGGAAGCCTGTTGCTGTGGGCACGGATACGTTCTTCTTCCTCATTGACGGTTCTGTGATGTTTAGTTCAAGATGTTTGACTTGTATAAGGTCGCTGACATGCTGATAGGCTCCAGAAGCATCGACGTAATCTCTCTGGTCTGATTTTTCTTCAGGGCTGGTAATACGTTCTCGACAGTGTCTGGCCAGACCTCGTCGATGTCACCTTTGGCAGATATTCTGAGCTTGAGTATACGACCAAGCGTGGTGATTGGAGCCGCAGGAGGGTTGGTAGGTTCGGTCTCGTGATCTGTGCTACCGCTTGAGTCGCCTACCAATAAAGATGACGGCGTCGACGCCTCAGAGATGGGTGTATCCATGGTAAGTCCAGAGAAGATATGTGAAGATGAGAGTGATAATGATGAAGCAATAAAGAGATGCACGAGGTGCTACTTGAGTATCCTTGTTTGAGGTTGATTCAAATTGCTGATGTCTTCAGAAGTGGTGGGAGCAGATGGGAAGTTGGCTTATATGCCCATGTCTTGAGATCATGGACAGCCGAAGGTGAGAGAGCCCAGGTTGGAGCGTCCTGACGTAGTAAAGGTGGCCGATACGATCATCCCGAAGATGAACCATTACAGGTAAGTCTAAAGTTCTGACTTTGCTTACAATTCTGTCACGTCGATGACTTTACCAATCGAACTGGGGGAACCTTGGGGATCATGGCTGTGAAGTAAGGGTAGGATCGAGAGCCTGGTGTTTCGGGACGAATGTTTCTGATAAACTCAACGTCTAAGTTGAATCTGTTGTACTCCATGATTTTGATCATAGATCCTACTATCAGTACGATATAGTATTCCAGTCAGCAGTATGGCGGCGGGGCATTGAGTAATGCGACTGAGGTTTGACCGCATACATGACGCATTCGACGAAAATGGCTGAATCCACAAAGCCATCATTATTTTATCGAACATTACTACAATCCAGAATGGAGTTTGCATTGTGGTCAAGAACTTGGTGTCGGCCCAAGCAGGTCTGAGGTCATACCGCCGCCAAGCCCAGCGCGCGTTTGATTGGCAGTCGCAGCTCGCGTCTCAGCGAACTGTCACTTGCGACACGCAACACTTGACCGTTCCACTACCGCATTCCTAGATTTCACGATTCGAGTACGTTCGTTGTAGCTGCAATGAGCGCGTCTATAGAGACGGAGATTCTGAACAAGTACAATCTCTCGACGCTGTACCCCGCAGCATGGCCTGAGGAGAAGGACGCCGCCGACGAGGAGGATGAATTCGACCAACCAGCCCCCAAAGCCACACCCCAAGCAATCCGCCGGTCACGTTCACGATATTCTATTCTAGAGCCCAGTGCCAGGTTTTCACGGCAGATTCCGGGCGCTGAACGATCGAAAGATGGCGTGGAGACGCTGGTACAAAAGGACGAACAGGACCCGTTGGGCATGTACCCGAGTGTAGTGCAGGTGCTGCGGGCGAAGAACATCCAGGTCGAAGATGACATCAAGTTGCGTATGTTTCGGTGATATAGCAATACATTAGAGGCCTATCTAATAGGCCGCAGGCAACCGCTTCCTCTTGAGCTCTACTACCTTTTCGCCCTCGCTATTTCTCTCACAAGTCCACAATGAAGCATCTACAGACTCACTGCTCGCCGGTCTTGACTTTCTTTCCCGGTCTATTGAGCAAAAGTCAGCATCGCTCAAGATCCTTGTAGAATCAAACTTCGATCGCTTCGTAGGCGCAAAGGCTACAATCGACCGCGTGTATAATGAGATGCGCGATCAAGGAAAAGAACATCTAGAGCCGCCCAGTGGCCCACAACATACTAGAGGAGCAAGCCGTTCGAGCTTTTCAGGCCGAAAGACCAGCGCAAACACATCCTTGGCACCGGGCGCCGATGCTGCGCCAGTTGAGAAGAAGAAAAACGCGCTGGTCAAGGAAAGCGAATATGGTGTACATGGCATTAAGGTTCCACTCACTGAAGTCGCCGTCAAGGCAGAGGAGGTGTGGGGACCGGCGCTGAATGGCCGTGAAAGGGAAGAGACGCTCAAGTCCATACTGGAGTCTGTGGACCACCATCGAGGGCTGTTCGAGGTGGGGTCGGCCATGCAGGATGCGATACGGCGAAAAGACCACGAAACAATCACCGAAGAGTACAAGCGCGCGAGAAAGTACGCGGACGAAGCCCGCTATATAGTAGAAAAGGCCACTTCCGCTCGGATACCACTTACTGACGCTGAGATACACCAAGTTATTGTGACGGCGAGGATGTGGTCGGACGTGGAGCGACAGGTTGAGCATTTCAAGCGCGACTCTTGGAAGCGCCTGACCGCCGCACACTTTACGAACATCCAGACAAGCGAAGAAACCAAGTCGGACGAGTATTTGAGCATCATCTCCATCATGCTTGAGTTGGGTGTAGAAGATAACCCCATCTGGGTTTGGCTGCTTTCGCGCTATGAGCATCTCAAGTTCCGCCTCAACACTACATGCCAGCGATCAGTGGTTGAGATTGAGATTCTCCGCCGCCATTTGGCTAATGGCGAAAAGCCTAGTCTGCGATTGCTGCAAAAGTATCTCCGTTCAGTCCCTACTAGCAGCAACATTACTGCAGAACCATCGAAGCTGGACAACCCCAAGGTCATTGAATTCTGGGAACACGTGTATGCTTCAATGAATACCCTACTTTCGAACAAAGGTGGACTACTGGCCGAACTTGTGGAATATTGGGAAATTGCGCAGTCGTTCCTCTCTGGACGTGCGCAAAGGAATCTTCCTACTGGCTACCAAGGCCAGTCATCTGTCCATCATAGACTCACTGCCGAGAACAAGGAAGAGCTTGAAAGAGGTTTAACGGAGCTCATCACCATCCTACGAGAACATCTCTTCTCCTTCTTCTCTGATCCGCCTATTGAGGATGTATCACTGCTCTTTTCGCCACTCCCAATGTCTCCCACGCCGACAACACCAAGAACACCACTCAGCGCTCTCATGAGTCCTTCATCGGCGTCTAGGTCTCGTTTTGACCCAGCCAAAGTACCACCACCATCACCCAGTCGAGGCGAGGCCTGGGAGAAGTATGCTTTCTGGCCTCCTCACTCCAATGCGCTTTCTGGGTCACACTATCTCTCTAAGACGCTGGTTTTGATTGGCACAGCAGCCAATGAACTTGCATCGTTACAGATTCCCGAGAATGGGAGCGGTGGCCGTCTTGATGAAGCTCTACGTTTGTTGCTTGGTGGTGTGCGTGAACGCTGCGCACAGGCTGTATGTGCAGCCTGGAACACTGATGCTGAGAAGCTCAAGGTTCTTGAAGACTGGACAAGAAATGCGGATCGCAAAGATACTACGAACCTACCACAACGCTTCCTCGCAGTGCAGAGTTTCCTGCTCAACAATCTGCAGAAGATATTATATGTTGAGTCGTCGAGCAAGACCAGAGTGGATGTAGTCGTACCGCCGAGCAATAAGCTGCTCCAAATGGTGAGAAGTCAATTCGTCACGAGCTTCTACCGCACACTGAGCGGAATGGTCGAATGTGCAGAGCGAGGAAGAAAAGCCCTAGGCGAAGAATTCGAAATCAAAGGCGACGACTTAACCATTGACGGACAAGAAGACCAATTCGAAAATGATTGGGGACGAGTCGACTCCAACAAAAAGGCAAGTTCTATCATCCCCATAACCTCACCATCTACTAACAACCCCCAGTCCAACCGCCTCCTCCTCACCCTAGCCAACATGACAGCCTTCCAATCAGAAATAACCCCCCAACTCCTCTCCCTCTTCGAAACCCTCTTCAGCGTCCAACTCAGCGACGAAACAAACCGCATCCGCGACGTCCTCTCGCAACTTGACCTCCAACTCTTCCGCTCCTACACCAAACCACACGCCACAAAAATCCACGCCACAATCGAATCCGGCATCTTCAGCCCCTCGTGGGCTCCCGAACCTAGCTCAGGTTCCAAATCCGTAGCCGACCGCGACCCAAGCCCCTACGTCTTCTCCGTGCTCCTCGACCTCGTAATCGTGCACACGGAATCAAGCACCACGTCCGCGCCGCTCACCCCCCGCATCCTGCGCTCGTTGTTCGAAGCCACAACCGCGTCTCTCATATCGACATTTCAGTCGGACAATCTACCCACCATCTCGCTGCCGCAGCTCATGCAAGCGACGCTGGATGTCGAGTTCATGGCGCAGACGCTTGCGAGTTATACCACGGAGAAGGCGAGTCAGATCCAGACGGATATCTATCAGGTGTTGGATCAGAAGACGGATAATGCGGCGAGGGTGCGGTTGCAGGAGGAATTGGGTAGTTTGAGGGTTGTGCTGAAGAGGTTGAGGGAGGGGACCAAGGTGCAGTTTGCGTGTTTTAGGAGGGTTAAGAGGGGCACTTTGGCCGGTGGTGCGGCTGCGGGGGAGGAGGAGAGGGGGAGAAGGTAGGTTTTATGTAGATGAGGAGGGGGATGATGGGGGACGCACCTAGGTATCATAAAATACTTTACATAGGCGTGTCTGGCTACTACAGTGGCCTTTTTGCACTAGTATGTCAAGTATTTTATGACACCCCGGTGGATGGATAATTTTGTTTGTAGCTTGTTTTTCTGTGCGCTGTGTTGTGTTGGTGAATATCAATTGAATACTACTGCTACTGCACCTACTGTTCTTGATTCGCTTTCCACGCCATGCACCACTTTTTGTTCTTGTCAGGCTGAGAGTGTAAAAGTCCTATATATTACACAACAGAAAAAAACATCGTCTAAAACTATTCGATCTACGCAAAATGCTTCTCATCATACCCCCCTACACACCCACACACGTACACGCAATGAATAAAACGCCACTGATGCATCCCTCTATGCCTATTTGTATCCCAATCATACGAAAAAATAACCGATAACCAATATCTTTACAAACATTTCATACACATTTCAAAACAGTAAAAAAAACCAAAGCATCCACCCCTACGACGATTTTCACACATCCTCTCCTGTCCGTGAGAGTGGATGTTGTTCAAAATACCGCAAGAGCGTCTGATATAAGACGAGCATAGTACCAGATTGAACGCTCGTCCAGACAGCGCGGGGCCCCACACCTCTAAACCAACCGGCTATTCCCTCAGTTTTGTATATAATCTTGAGACCGGTTATCACAGACGATGTATCCAAGGTAGCGGCATTGTGAGCTTTTAGCGTTGTAGAAGGCGAGGACGTGGAAATGGGTCTGATTTGTGTTGATTTTGATTTCGGCTTCTGTGATGTTGCGTGTTTCGACGACGACGATGTGAGGTTCGTTTTCGGTGCTGTCGGCGCACTACTACTCGGCGACGGGCCGTTGTGTTGGGTTTGGATGCGAGTTTTTACTACGTCGAGGGGGGTTGTCATTACGCCAGCCATGCCGCCTGCGGTTGCGGCGGTAGCGATTTCAAGGGGAAGGCCGATGTTATTTGAGCCCATGTAGGATTTTGCCCATGCGCGCTCTTCCTCGTAGAAAGCGAATTGGAGGGCGGAGAAGGGGAGGTCGCGCCAGAGAGTGGCTTTGTAGCCGTGGAAGAGGGCGCTGTAGCCTTCAGTGCGAGCGATGGTGCGGGCGGCGTCGATGGTAGAGCGGTAGTTGTAGCCTGAGTTGAAGTAGGGATTGTTGTAGCGTCCTTGTAATTGGAGTCGCGTTTTGAGCACTTCAGATGGAACGTATGCGGGTGCGGCTGCGAGGTCGGCGATGAGACCTGCGAGGGTGGTTAGTGTTTTTCTTGTCTGCGGGTTGTCGACATGTTTTCGTACCGGCTGAAAAGTATGCGACTGATGGGGTGACGCCCATGTCAATCATGGTGCGCTTGGTCCATTCGTAGGCTCCGAAGAAGCATACTGTGCCAGTGAACGATCCGAGGAATGCTGGCTGTACTCCTCCGTATAAGCCCTTTCTGAAACCTTCCTGCCGCCATATGGTGTAGTAGGTATTCCCCATCGAAGTGTACTTTGGTGGCATATGCGGGTCGCCCTGTTGCCGTGTCTTGACAGTGTCCAGTGAATGCATCAGCATGTCTCCTGTTGTACCGCCTATACCTCCTGCCAGCATTGCCTGTATTTGATCAATTGGCGTCTCTCATCGCTCCAGGCTAGGCATCCTCACATGTAGATATGGCGGCCGGGCTGCTTCATGGTCTACCTCATCCTCGGCCTCGATTGCTCTCCGCTTGGTATCCTCCATGGGTAGTTCGACCACTTTTTGTGTATTTGCGACATTCCTCCGGCTACCATCGGTGAGATTGCTGGTCGAGTCTCCGTTGGTGAAGAAGTTGGCCACGCGGGCAAGTACCATGAGCGCTTCAATGGCAACGGCACTGGATAGAGGACGGTGGGGATGTGATATGAAAATTTGCACAGAATGAAGAGTGTAGGATACGAGAGTATTATTCAAAGAGTGACGTTGCTCTATGCGGCTGTGCGATGATGATGATGATGGTCTGGAAAATTTCGGCCAAGACCGGGACGGCACCAGACCCCTGCAATCAACAGCAATCAGCTATCAGGCACAGGGACCAGATGACGGCCTGAGGCGAGGAGCCTTGAGCACTCTCCCTAAATTCAGGTACCGTTCCCCCTCAGACACGAACGGCCGCTGTTTATGCCATATTATCCCTAAAATACGCCGTGATTTTCGTGTAGATCAACAAGCAACTAAAAGTCTCATAAGCTAAACCCCGGTACAGCTTAGCGCCCACTGATCCACGTGAGACCAGCCATCGTGTTTACAATCGCGTACCGATAGCTTTTTCCATTGACCACCACGGTATCGCATCGCCATTTTCGTTGACGGCACACCTTTCGCGCTTGCCATTTCCATTATTTTGATCGCAACGTTTACGCGACTTTACCCATACCCCTCACCATGTCTCAATCGTGGCTCCAAAGGAAGCGCAAAGCTGAATTGATTGACCTTGCGCAAAAGGCCAGACTTCCAGAGTATGTCCATGATGGCTGGCGCGCACAGGTTGCCATTCTAACGCACGATTTGCAGCGCCGACGGCCTTTTGAAGGATGATTTGGTCGAGATGCTCGTGAACCACCTCAACTCCAACGAGACGTCTTTTGCCAAACACCCAGATTTTCGCGACTACTACGGTAGGAATGGATCACCCATTAAGCGCGAGCGAGTGTCGCCTTCAGCTCCTCCGACTGCCATCAAGTCGACGCGCCGCCGGACGCTCATCAAGGAGTCTTCGTATGTTACCTTCAGAACGCGACGCGTTACGCGCCGAAGCTAACACTGCCGCAGTGAGGAGCGCATGCCAGAACCCAGCAGCGTTGTAGCGCGTACACCAGTAGAGCGCGCGCCAGTGGAGCGAACACCAGTAGAACGCACGCCGGTAGAACGCACACCTGTTTCGCGCACTCCGAGAGCCCTTCCTCGCCGTGTCTCCGAGGTCGTTACCCAAGTGGACATTCCTGCATCGCCCGCGCAACTCGCCGAAGTTGCCGACATGTCTCTCCAGGTGGCCAAGGAAAAGGCTACTGAGTTGTGGGACAGGACCCGCATCGACGAGCTGAAGGAATTCATACGCGAAAACGCAAGTTCAGTCGCGACCATCCAGACCATCATCCTCCTCATCGAAGCCGTGGGATTACAGTGGAACACACTCGACACCACCGCCATGTTTGCTACCCCAGACGTATTGAGCTCGTACTCGGATAGCCCGCACGTCATGGGACCGAACGGGTGGGCATTGCTCACTGCCGGCTGGTGGGCGCCTGCTACTCTCTGGTCATTGACCAGCTGGGTGCTGCCGCTTGTCTTCTCCTACTTTTTCAACTTGACCCTGCGCACAAACACATCACGCAAGTCATCCGACAGCCAATACCCCGCTGACCCCCTCATTTTCAACATTACGAGGGCTATATTAGCCTACAGCGCGTATAGGGAGACAGTCAACACTGCCCTGGTTCCAGGCGCATGGGGTCCTTTTTCGGAGTCTTCTGTCGCACGTGTTGGAAACCACGTACCAGGAGGATACTATGGTTTACAAATCAGTTCCCTAGTTGGTATACTGGTGAGCCTGTACGACGCCGCGCTAAAGAAGTAGAATTTGTACATGAAATAGGAATCATCGAGATCGATCCTTGTATACTTAAAGGAGTTGGGGATGCGGGGCTTTGGATCTTTACGAGTTGACTTTGCTCTGCTCTGGCTGCAGCGGGGAAGCGGCGTTCAAGGCGCACATGTACTGGGCCTCGGCCTTTGAATGCTTACGCTCTTGCCATTCAATACTGTTATTCCATCATCTGCCTTCTGTACTCACTTAAGTAGTGGCAAACTACAACTCCGATGTGGGTATCTACATCTACTGTGGCCATCTGAAACTTGCTTGTCACGCCACGTCGCGTGTATTATCGATAAACCTCAAGCGCGAAACATCCACGCTACCTCCCCCTCTAGCTCATCCCACTCCACAACAGCTTCCATAGCATTTTCGAAACAACACATCTTCTCCTACAATCAACTTCTTTCAACTTTCTTCCAACAACCAATCAACATGGCGAACAAATTCATGAAAATGCTGGAAAGAACAAACATGAGCGAGCGGTCAGGCCGGTATGCTATGCACACACTCTACGAACGAGAGCAGCACTACTAACAGCAGTCATCAAGCACAATAGAAGATCTTGTAGAGTCCAACGACCAGCTTAGTGGTTGGGATGCTATGCAACTTCGAGGTTGGTCGCAACAGAACCCTACGGTGCCTAGTCGCGATCTCACCGACCCGCTTGGTCAGGCTTTCCTTAGTGCATTCAAGAAAGAATTCGACGCGCCGAAAAACTACATCGAAACCATGATCAAAGCACTTGGAGGTACTGAGGAAGCACGCAAGACTGTTAGAGACGATGTTTACGCAAAGCGCTGGGGACCGACCAAGACGCCCGTCTACAACCTTTTGCTGCCCGCGCTTCACATGCTACCGAACAACCAAGAGGAGATTCTAGACATTGCTCGCTACCTTGTGAATGATCTCAAGGTACCAGTCGAAGGCAAGGATGCCCTCGGCTGCACCGCTCTCTTCTGGGCCATATCCACAAAACCCTATGTCCAGCCGGAGTTTGCGCAAATACTATTCGACGCCGGGGCTTCTGTCAACACGAGGAGTCGCTTCGGCAACACTGCCGCAGCTGAGATCAGTCAAGCAGAAGTCCATGGAGATACCACCAAGAACGTGCGAATGATGAGGTGGTACATTGAGCACGGCGGCGACGTTGTAACCAAAGATACGGATGGCATGAACCCCGAGACTATTGTGGAAATGATGCGTGCAAAGGTACCGGGTATGTACAATGTTATCCAGGCGGGGAGGGGGCCAAGGAATGTAGATCAATGTACGAATTGCGGAAGAAGGCCCCCAGGCTCTGTTTGTGGCCGATGCAGGCAGGCCAGGTACTGTTCGACTTTGTGTCAATCTGCGGATTGGAAGATGGGACATAAGAAGGTATGCAAGGCTCCTTAAGGAAAGGGGGATTTAGACTAGGAGATTCGGCGATATCATACATGGTTATGTAGTAATATTTAACCGACCTATTCCCCTGCTCTGCCACATGTGAGCTGTCGACATATGTAACCCAGCCTTTGGCTTCGATATCACATTCACATCTTCATTTTAGATATATACCGGAGAAAATTGTAACTATCTCAGATATCATTCAGAATGAGACTAGATCTCAATGCCGACTCTTCACGCTTCCCAAAGTGTGTACCCCTGCATCTAGCGACACACGAAGAGAAGCGAGCCTCCTATATCTTTTTTTTGCATCAAAGGCTTCCTTGGGATATATTAAATGACGCATAAACTCTGTTTCTATGATCCCTCATAGCCGTTGATGATTGTAGACGCGCAGGCTACTAAAAAAACTATAGAGTTACTACAGGTGTTGGAATAGCACCTTATCGACTTTCTTGTACTGCTGTTACAAAGAATGTGTAGTGGAAATTTGCTAATCAGTATCGATGTCACTTCTTTATATGTAGAATGGTCATATATGGAGTGCATATGAAAGGCTTGTATTGGTACTTAATCACTTTTGGAACTACCTAGATCCCGTTTCTTATTCATCCAATGTGGAGATACTCTTCGGTTTGCTTTTCAATCCTTGCCGTGAAGGTGCCTGCCGTCTTGCAGTTACCATGCTAATCAGAATCGCTGGTATCGGCGAAGAAAGCGCGAGTAGCGTCTGAGAGTTAGCCGGTCACATCATCGTCACCAACTCCCTTTCCATGCCTGAGAGAAAGGTTCAAACGCTTGTGTTTGCCCTTCTTTGCGCCATCAGACTCATCATCAGTGACCTTGCGCTTCCTACCAGCCTTAGCATCGTCCTTGCTGTTCTTGTTATCCTGGCTGTTTTGGCCCTCAGTGTCGTTGTGATGATGCGGTTGGGTGGTATCGTCCGCCGATGTGACATATCCAGTTGCACAGTGTAGATGTAGATTCGCATCGGAAAGATCTTGAAGGATCTTCTCAATGTCCTTGCCGAAAGTCGATAAAGCACTCTTAGTGGTCTGATCAAGACCCTTGGTTGACTTAAGGCGCAGCAACTCTAGGTACATCTTTTTCAGGCGATCCTTTGCTTGATCCTCGCAAGTCTGAGCACTGGAGATGGCCTGCTTCGCTTGCGTAAGGTTGCCGTGGAGATAGGCCAAGAAGTCAACCACCTTGCTCTTGACTATCTTGAGAGAGTCGAATCTAGTGGGGGAGAACTGCATCTATACATGTTAGCATCTTATTCCATGAACGATTTTCCAAGTGTCTCAAACTTACGAAGGAGTCTTTCCAGATCATGTTGCTGATGTACAGTATGGAGTCGTTGCCTTCCATCGAGCTGTTGGATGCGGCCATTTTGGAGAATCGTAGTCTTGGATGTTTGGCATGGTGACACTATCAAGTTATCAGGAGTAGTTTTGGAGAGTAACAATGAGGGAGAGGTTTTGAGGTAGAGCGTAGATATATTCAGTTGACTTAGCGTGGGCACTAGCTCGGACACGTGACAGGCGGCTTCACTGAAATGTTGAAATGTTGAAATGTTGAAACGTAACAATAGCGGGGACACAAGCGCCCTCGCATGAAAAACAAGATAGCAGCTGAAAACTCCAGCACTCCAGATAGCTCGCCCAGAGTTCGCGATGTAGTATATTTCTACACACGTATAAGTAGACTCCGCAACAATCAATTCAATCCGGTCACTCTCCTAGACCCACTTACCTATCTAGGTAGGGCTTAAACTCCTATAGGTAACTACTAGGCTTAAAGCGGTAATCAATCAATCCAATCTGAACCTTCTAGGACCCACTTAATTGATTGTTGCGGACTGTGCGTATAAGTAATCAAATTCACAGGTCATATGTCCTGTCTCCTAATATAAAAGCTAGGACCACGTTCGTTTTGTCACCTCTTTCCTTTATTTCTTTTGATGATGGTCTAAATTCACTGTTGAATGGTTAACCAGTGCCCGAAACATCATGTCCTTGTCTGACATACATAGAACCCATCGAAAACCATACTACTTTATGCAAACTCCCGTACGTATCTCCACCTGAGTTGATCTCGGTATACTCCATGAACTTCCCATGCACATTAAAACTGATGTGCTTCTTATCCAGCTTTGTGCCCGTGGTTTGAAGCATTGCTTTGATGACGTTGTTCGTGCGGTCAGCCTTGGTTGCACTCTTCGTTAGCATGCAAAGCTTGCTCGATAGCATTCAAGATCTCTTCGTTGGTATCCAAAGCTTGCTCGATAGCGTCCATGACCTCCTTGACGGTCTTTTGCCCATCTTTGAGCTTCTCGTTCTCGACGGATAGATTGCCCTGTTTCAGCGTCTTCAAGGTGCCCAAAACGAATTCCAAGTTATCCTTAGCTTTCCGCGAAGTTTTAAGGACTTTCTTCGTGGATCGGGAGACTTGACTCTGTTTCCCATGTGGCTTATCTTCGGATGCATTTGATCCCTTGTCGTTTGTCTCCGGGGCCTCTTTAACCGTGTTAAAGACGTCCTAATTCACGAGTCATGGTAAGCTCTAAAATACATGCAAAGCATAGTTTGGATCCACATACGTTAAATGCCTTTGACTGGTCGGAGTTTGTAGCCATTGTGATATCGACGGCGAAGGGTAGAGAAAAGGGTTGTACACTTCTGCAGGTGGCTATACGTCTGTTTCATGTGCGTGCGAAGATTTTCACCTCCTCTACAGTACCATGGTACCCATCCTTGGCGTCTCAAACTGAAGAACCATCGATTACCTGATTTTGACGAGAGCTCTACCGAGCTTTTCCACACTTGCCTACTACGGTACCCAGCCTTGGCGTACCACACTGAGGAACTATCAATTGTGCAACATGCCTGGGTAATGTATGTATTATAAAATCTGAAGAACTACTGAACTCATCGGGGAGGAGCTATATACTTCGGTATGGTCCACACGGTCTTGCGCCAAGCAGGCCACGTGACGTGTGGCAGATTACCTGATTTCGACGAGAGACCTACTAAGCTTTTTCATTCTTACCTCAGCGTAACTTTACTTAACCCATGATTGTTCTGCCAAAGAAAGGCGTGTTAAAAGCCTTAGCACGCTGAAGATTCGCGATGTTAGCTCTCTATAATTCCACTCGAACCGGGGATACAATCTTTCCTTTCAGCACCATCTCCATATCTTGGATCACCATGTCAATTGGCGTCATGTATGCTACTGAATCTTGTTCGTGGCCGAATAACAACCCTACCCACTTTGCCTCCATAGCGACATCAGTTGGGTCAAGAAGCACTACGCTCCCGGAGTCTCCAGGACGGCATGGCTCTCTTGCTACGTATCCCCAACGTGGAGTTATGGCCCAGCTATAGCCTGGTTCCTCCGGAGTGACTGCATATTTTCTGGATATTGCGCCTGGAATCTCTGAGGGCGTACTGTCCGTGAAAGCGTTAAGAATGGAAACGGTGCTGTTGACCTCGCCGAACTCCCATCCGCTTGTTCGCCCCCGAAACGCCACTTGGTACTCTCTTCGAGTATCCAGGACTACATACTCGTTCGCCGTTGATCCATCTAATAGCCGCGTTTTGGTTGACTTGCCGCCTTTCCTCTCTTGGGGCTTAGGGCGGATGAGGAGGTTGTTAGGCGCATGGTCCTTATCCAGTTATACTGCTGCCCAGTCCAGCAGCCAATTACCTGTTTTCGTACTTTGGTAATCGATAGGTGCTATGTGTAGCCTGTGACCTGATGTGGCAAGCGCTGTTCCGACTTGGAGCGTGTGCTTTGCCACAAGATCGATCTCCTCTTCTTTACTTAACAGCGCGGCCTTCAGGTCGAATACTCGTTTCACGGTATTCTTGAGAGTACTTGTTGCGGTCTCTTCCCTTGTTCCTTCCACCAGCCGGTCCAGATGTGCTTCAAGATGCTCTAAAAGATACTCGAAGGCGTCCTTATCAGCTCTCAGACTCTTCTCTGGTTCATGATGATCGTCCTCTGTAGGGCTAGTGAATCTTGGCATTGCTAGCCCTGGGGGTAGGCTATCTGCGGTGACGCTTCTTCGGTTGTCCATCACTATACTAAGTGTCAGCCTATCAGCTCCAACTCTGATGTTTTCCCAAGACTTACCTGCAATGTCCGAACACGATGGTATGGCTACATGGTGGTTCGTGATGGCGAGATTCAGTGGCTCTTGCTGTCCTTCGGGAACAAACTTGATGAACCCGCCCAAGGTGGCACCACCTTTCAACCCTGCAGGCCCAAATGATGCGCCCATTTCCAAGTCTGGAGCGTGGACAGTCATGTCGATAGCTCCACTTCCTGTCAGTCTCCAATCCTTGGAGTAGACGACCTCAGTCTGGAAGCGGTTCTTCGAGAGTCTCTCGATCTCGCGGCGACCAACGGTTGCCCAGTATTCGTCATCTGCCTGGCCCGATCCTATGAGGATCGTTACGGGCCATTGCTCCCTCGTCTCCACGGTGCCGCGATGGAAAAGTCCAACGCTTGTCCATGGTATGCCCTTGCTGCTTTCCATCTTCCGCAGGTGTGAACGGTCTGTAGGTACTGTATTCCAGCTACCTAATCCAGATGCTATTTACAGTCGAGATGAAGAGAAGAAGAGGAAAGTGGGCGGCCATCCCGCTTTGTTTGGGTTGGCGCGCGGCGCACGGTGCACGGGCTGCTGGGGGAAGGAGTGATAGAAGGAAGGAAGCGACTAGGCCAGCGGCCTAGTCATGTGACCTAGGGCTCAGCCCGTTACAGCAGGAATGCAACAACATCGTGGTGTATCTCGTTCCACGCCTCAATGATGTCCGACTCGGTCAGTGACTCGTTTATAATTCTATAGTCCTGACAAACAAGCAGAATACAAACCGTAGCAAAATCAATGTGATGATTGTTCTGTAATCGCAGGTTTAGTATTTAAGATTTCCAGAAGTTATTGTGGAGTTGTGATAGGTGTGGAAGGAGAAACTGGAGAATTTTGATGTCACGTAGACAGATGTAGTCTTGAAGACTAGCTAAGATATGCTACCTTAAATTACCAAGACATTATCAAAAACACTAATAGCCTTCACCGGACACAGCGCCAGCTTTGATGAACCATGTCCTAGACTATTATGTATATTTAGACTACTACAGCTGTTATCAGGGTCAGATGCATCAATAGAAAGTCTCTGGTTATGTCCTTCGCTGTATGAAGCGGCAGTGTATCATTACTCTTATATAGGACTTGAAGCCTACGGCTGCTTCACACGGGCGTCAGGTACCTGGTCTTCTAGAAAATTCGAGTATACAATCCAAGCCGCCCCTCACTCTAACAGTCCCATTTGTACCCCTTCGCCTTCGCTGTGTCCCTCAGACCGCGAGCATACTCCTTGACTTCGTTGGCATATCTGTCAGTCAAGCTCGGGTCACTGTAGAGCCGGTCCAATTCCCTACTAATCCCCCACCTGGCGATGTAACCGTCCAGTTCATTGAGCATGATGTCCTGGTTCCTGGTACGAGCATGGATCAAGGCCCTGGTGAAGGGCCCGGCGTCAGAGCCCTTGGGGAATTTGGCCGGGTTGACGCCATCGGCGCAATGGATGAGTGTGTAGGGTATCTTGATCTCCACTCCACATTTCTCGGGGATGCGGGGTGGCAGTGTGAAGCGATACTTGTCCACCGTGTACGTCGAGCAGGATTTCGAGTTCGGAGGACATGCTCGTGCGGCTGTCTTGATAAGGGAGCGTACTTGCTGCGGAGTGATAACATGGGGGATTGTAAGGTCGCGCTGGTAGTCCTAATGGGGGATTGTGGTTAGTAGGCGCTTTGGGAGTGGTCAGTGAGCGAGTACGTACGATGAAGATGGCTTGGAAGGTTCCCTTGATTTGATTGCGGCTGAACCTGTTCTGCAGCTCGGAAATCCAGATGTGGCATGGAAAAAACTGTAATAGTCAGTACTGCGCATGTATGTAAAGTAGATGTCAAATTCTTACCGTCAGGAGTTCACAGGCCGTTAGTGGGATCGTCAAAGTGGAGATGTCGAAGTAGGCTGGTGTTGCGACACTGTCGATGGGACAGAACGGCCAGGCTGAGAAGTTGTTCGGCAGCGGCAACTGGAATTTCTTAGTCCAGATGAACTGGTGGGTTGGTGTCCATTGGGCCAGACCCTGGTGCTTTGATTTACTGATGAGTAGTAGACCGTCCTTGTCTCTCAAGGCGCCATCAGGAAGCTGTTCCGTGGCCTTGTTGCCCTCGTTGTCTTCGAACATGACGTCGACACCAAGAGTACCTGGGTTGATGGACTCGGAGTGTGAATGGCCCAAAGGCTGGGTCGCGAAGGGAGATAAGGGGTTGTTAATATACTGTGTGGGTTATTCCAGGACCAAAGTAGCGGAGTGATCGGGTTAAGTAATGGTGGGTGCAGGTGCACTGACCAAGCAGACAACCTTCACCTGTGAGCAGAGCACGAGAACGCTAAGAAAATGCCAGGTGAGCGGAGCCAATAACCTTGTGAGATCACACAGCTGGGGCATGTGGAGGGAGGGTCACTTGGCGTTTGGTGCAGAAGATGTTCTAATACAGAACTGGTTTATTCTACCCGGTGGCTGTGCCCGTTAATTCTAGTTCTTGTCTCCATGATAACCGTTGCATTGAGTAATGAAGATATTGCATTGAGTTTTAGAGCTTATGTTCCTGTTTCCGGGCCTTCGTTTTGTCTAGCAGAACCTAGACCGCCTTACAACGTCTGTTTGTGGTGTGGGTATGTTATTCTGCATATGACGTACTTGCAGATGATAATTACCCAAGAAAAGCGCACTGCGGCACTGTCCATAAATTTACTCGTGACTGGTACTACTCTTGCCTCTTTCAACAACCACACAGGTTGGCAAAGGCCTACCTGACGGTCAGCATTGCCAGTGTAGACCTTAAAATACTCTTCTAGTGTAATGTGTTTTTCTTTTAACTGGAAGAGGCCATATCTCTTAATTATATCGCTGAGAGAGACGTTGGGTGTCTGGCGAAGCCACATTGGGTCCACACGCTTTTGCTTCTTGGCATCCTTCAGCCCCATCGTGCACTCGGAAGAAATGAGCTTCTCGATGAGAAGCACTGTGATGGGTTGTGAACTATTGTGGCGGGTGACAATCTGTGACCTTAAGCGCTGTCTTTGACTAAGCTACTACAACCTCAGTTTTGCTATCCTCTGTGGCATAAGCGTTGGTGCTGATGTATGTGTGCACTTCCAATTGCATGACAGCCTGCGGGCTATTGAAGCTTTACAACAGGACGTGGTGGTAACCTTCTGCATCCTCAAGATCAGACTCCATCTGCTTTGTTTACTCGAATTTATACGTACGCCCCTACGGCCCAGCTGCAGAGCCGCCCTTGTGTATATCCATCCTTCGACCCACGATTATGGTATGTCCGATGACGTGGTGTATCATGGCAAATGCCTGGCTACCGACGGGTTTCTAGCCAACTCTATCAGCGTCATCATCGCGCCTCGATTGATGAAGACATCGATGTTATTGATGGGCTGCTCTGGATTCATCGCTGCGATGCCCTGGAAGGCGGGCTTGAATGGATGGCTCGAAATCTTGTAGAAATTTTGGTCTTCCTAGTGCCTGTCAGTATCTGTGGCTAGTTCTTTTGGCTCAGCGGGCTTCGTGAACATGAGCAGGGATATATTAGTCAGGAAGTCACTGCTATACCTCCAACCGTAGCTGCACAGCAGCTTGTACCCGTAACTCAATACAGGCTGCAAACTTGAATGATTCTCTTAGCCATCAGGCTCAAATATGTCTGCTTCGTGTTTACATTGACATAAATCCATGCATTTTCCCACTGCCATCAATTGTACTTGAGTGTATCCCACTGCCAAGCCTTTCCATCAATGTAAATTCTGTCGAAGTAGATGGTTGTCATGCTGTAGGCGACTGGGTTGGACGACCAATTTCACATCATAACGGATACTGCACCGATGTGCGCGCTGGAGAGGGCGGGTAGACTGATAGAGAAGCAAACAGGGTGATAACAGCCAGGTCACCATTGCTGTGTATACTGGTCGGTGGAAGGCTTCGTCAGTGGGAGACTTAGTCGGTGGTCGGTATACACAGAAACTTGGATTACGGTCGAGGTAAGGCATTGGGCGGTGTTGCGGAAGGTGTGAACCGTTTGCATCGAGAGGGTCGAGGCCGTAGTCAACGGCTAAGCAGAGAGTTGAACTTGTCAAGGGTTGTCACGGTTTGGGGTCTCTCCTGCTCTGCTCCTGTAGTCGCAACTTACCTTTGTAATGGACCGATGCCTATCTGGGACTATTGTGGTTTTCGAAATACCTTGAGCCGCCTGGATCTGGTTAGCTTGGTGCCCAAGAACATCAACTCCCATAGTAATTTGTTAGTAAATTAATGCAGCAGCCGTTTCCCACCTCCAGAAGCCCATGAAGCTAGTCCTGTACTCTAAATCGTTCGTGTATAGCGTTTTGTTTGTGTGGAGCTTGTTGCGAGCTCAATCTAGCTGCTGTTGGGATGCCGCCCAAGCGCCAGCGTAAGCCGAAGCAGCCATTCGATCAAGGCGTTAACCCGTCCTCCCAGAAGCGTAGAGCGCCAGCAACTAGACAAAATCCTACCCATTTAACGCCTAAACGTGTCCGCCGTGAGGCGCTGCCGTCGCCTCCAGCGACTGCCCCGCCGCGCCGTCAAAGCCCGTTGTCCGAGCCTGAGCTGCAAGCCACCCAAACAGCTGCCTCCGCGCAAGCTGAAGATATCGTTGGCGAGGATGAGGATACTTTCGAGGATGGAGATGGCGATCCGCTGCCTGAGGATGAGGATGAGATCGCTGCTAAGGGCGCTGCCGGTAGTGTTGAGGATGAGGGAGAGCCAGCGTACCGACGTCAAGAAGGCACTCCATGGCTGCCTCGCTCATCGCAAGCGCTAGAGGATGAGGTTAATCCTGTACTGCGCGTTAGGTGGAGGGCTTGCCTTGGTGGTGATATGGAGAAACACTTTATTCCTGAAGCTGCCGATAGCGAGCACGGCGTACGGCTGTACTCGCTGCATTTCGACGACCTATGGCAGTGGGTAGATGACGTTGTTGCAGAATTACGGCCAAAAAGAGCGAAGATCTCATCTGTTTGCACTGTTGTTTACCCAGCTAAGCAGGCCAAACGCGAGCGCGCGATAAAGCGATTGCGGCGAGGTGTTGATGCAACGTGGAATAGCTTTCAGCGCCTTGTTGTAGAGGTTGATAACTATGTCAGCGAGCCAGTAAACGTCGATTTCGAGCTCATCTTGGCTGAAATTCCAGGGGAGCAGCAGCCGTTGCCAACGGTTGTCGACGGTCCTCGTCGACGCACCGCAACGGTGATTCAAGAGGAGGGGCTTGCTGGTGTAATAGCAGCTGAACAAGCAGGTAGCGGGCATGCTATTGCTATCCGGGATAGATGGCGCTGTACAGATACCCATTGCGAGAACTATCCTTATTGCTGCTGGATGGCGCCAACAGCGAGGCAGCCAGCGCGCTTCGAAGATCACCTCTTTGTCAACGGCAACATTATCTCCATGTGGGCAAGAGCAATTACAGCGAGAAGGGCAACGTACGATGAGCCATCTGATGATGTACGGCTTGCAATTTTGAGAGCAAAGGACCTGCGGGTGCATGAGAAAACGCGCAAGTTGCGGGCGGCTGGAGATGGCGACGATGATATCAAAAGCTTAACAAAACTGCTCATCGTTGGACAGCTTGAGCGGATGAACAGGCAACCTCAACAGGAGTCTAACTTGCAGGCAGCTGCACCAACGATAACAAGAGCTGAGGTATCTAGTGCATCTCAGTGGGCGCCTATCCGATATGATCATGAGCAGGAGATTAACGAGCATACTAGTAATTTCTTTAACTACCTTAAGTTAAAATTTCCTACAGTTGGAGAGGACATTAACGAGCTTTATAAGACTCTTGTTATTGACGGAGCTATGGATATCAACCTCTTGATGCAGCCATCTGGTGATATCTTGAAGTTGTGGACGCAGCATTTCAAGCAGCCTCCTGGCTGGTTTTTCACGCTACAAAACACTGCAAAAGAATGGCAAGCTGGGTACCAGGGTCTCACAGATCGTAACTGGAGACGAGTCGAACGTTGTAAGAAAAGAGAAGAGATTGCGCGCAAGAAATTGGTGGTTGAACCGTCTAGCAGTGTTGTGGAGGATGATGGCGAGAATGCTTGAAGCTTAGTGGCCTGAGCGTTTTTGGTGACAGCGGCCCGTGCCCGCTATAGTGTTGAGGTTTTTCAGGCGTTTCAAATGCGCTGCAACAATAGTCTATTTGGATAGCCCTATGTACAACACTACAACGTTATGCGATTATAACAGGTTAACTTCCTAAGATAGTTCTATATGTATAGAAATAGCTCTTATTTTTTTAGAATTATTAAATCGCTTTTGTGGGTTGCGCATTAAGGTGTAATCGTTCGCATTTGTATGGTATCATCTACCTATAGAAACGTACTGTGGCATCCATTTAAAAGCACAATTAATAGGGATAGCCACACCTATGGAACCAGCTTCTGCAGTTAATATTACAGCACACCAGCTGCGCTGCATACTCAAGAAAGACCCCAAAGTCAATGAAGTTCTCCGCTTGCGCTGAATTCCTTTTCATCCACCCCTTGAGCTGCTTAAAGCTCTTCTCGATGGGGTTGAAATCTGGTGAGTATGGCGGCAGATACTCAAGGAGTACTCCAGCACTTTGGCAAAGCACCCGTACACGCTCTGATCGATGGATGGAGGCGTTATCAAGCACGATTACTGAGGCTGGCCCTGGGTGAGGATTGCAGAACGGCAGCACTTGAAACTCTAAGAAGTCTTCTAGGATCTCAGATGTAATCGCGCCTTGAAAGATCTTATAGCTTATGTAGCCATCTATCGTCATGGCTGGCAGCAGCGACCACCGTTCTGATCGCCTGAAGCTGTGTGATAGCTCCACCGGCTCCCCGATTGGAGACCAGCCATACTTGCGGTCGCCCGTACGCTCATTGCACATACATGGGCAGCTTAACGCGTTTGCGTAAAACGTTTTAGCTTAAAACGTTTTAAAACGCTTTAACAGCTTAAACTGTTCACGCGTTTAAGAAAATCCTTAAACGCGTGAACGATTTAAAAACGCTATAAGAGGCTTGGCGCCAAGCACCCCACCTTTGCATCTCAAAAACTCTGCAACCACTCCCCACTAACCTGAAATCTCAACAAATCCATTATCTATAGCATCTATTATCGTTATGTCATCGAATACCTTGTCAGCAAGTGCGATATCAACGCCACCGTCGCGAAGACCCGCAACGCCGCCACACTTTGACGCTGTTATACGAACCGAAACTGTCTGTAACACCAGCAATGCAAAGCGCCAGCGTTTGAAAAAGCAGTATGTGTGCAAACGCTGTCGCTCATGGTTTAGCAGTCACCGAGTAAACTCTATCCACCATGTTCTAGCATATCATACAACGTCAGAGTCTTCTCAGCCCTCGCAAACTTCTTCTTCGTCGTCGCAACCAGCTATCACTTCAGTGTTTAGGACTGTCTCTGATCAGACAATTATCCGCAACGCCTTCAATGAACAAGGGTATCGCGATGCGCTTGTCGGTCTTCTGACTCGACGTCGAATAGCCTTTTCATCAATCGAATGGTCTGAAATGAGGGATCTAGCGCTTGCTTGCAATCCATTTATTGAAGACCAGCTTATCACAAGTCGACGTACAGCCGTACGTCTTATCGCCTCGAATTATCAGCTTTATAAAGGCCATGTAATTAAAGGCAGCTTATCGACGGCTGTGAGTCCTATCCACATATCAACAGATCTCTGGACATCACCGTTCCGTTCATCTCTCCTTGCTGTATGCGCACAGTGGGTCGATCACGAATATAAGCTTCAGAAGGCTCTTTTAGGACTGCCAGAATGTCGTTACAGCCACTCTGGAGAACAGCAAGCACACTTACTTCTTCAAACCCTCGAGGAATATGGGATACAGTCTAGAGTTGGCTGGCATACGGGTGATAACGCAACATCTAACGATACCTGTTTGGAGCATCTTGAAACCCTCCTTCGAACTAAGCACAACGTAAGCATGGCTTTTAATATAAAAATCGGCCTTCGCTGCTTAAGTTACGCGATGGTGCTAATATTAACAAGGTTAAATTTACTGCTAAAGAGCGCCGTATCCGATGTATCGGTCATATTATCAATTTATCCTTGCAGGCATTCCTGCTTGCCAGAGATGTCAACAAGCAAGTCAAGCTGGCTTGATTCTTATCGATTGCAGATCACAGACAATATAGAGGCTCGTGCACAGTGGCACGTCCCAGAGAATGGTCTGTGATCTGCAATCGATAAGAATCAAGCCAGCTTGACTTGCTTGTTGACATCTCTGCTGCTTGCATCCTCTAAGGAGGCTCTTACCGCTGCTCTCGACGCCGTAACGGATGTTATGGGGGAAGAGCTTCTCGCAGAGTTTTCAAGCGTTCTTACTTCTCGACAGAGAAACCCTAGAGCCCAAGCCCAAGCTGTTCCACAAACCTCACAGAGACAAAGGTTGTCTCGCCGAAGACGCAGCGTTGATAGCCATGGGTCTGTTGATGAGGACTTTTGTGGTATTGAGAACATCTCTACACTACGCAAATTACATCAACTATGTGTCTGGCTGCGCAACTCAAGTATACATGCAGCAGAGTGGGATCGCAAGGTAGGCCTCCGCTTAGGGATTGACAATCAGACTCGGTGGTCTTCATGGTACTCAGTTATGGATCGGGCTATTAAGAAGATGGCTGCAATTAAGGTCTTTATGCACGATAACGAGAAACACCTTAACGAGATCCGTCTTACTTCTGACGACTGGGATATACTACAAAAAGCACATACATTTTTACAACCATTTGCATCAGCAACGCTATACGCGGAGGGAGATAAATCGTCTATCTCTCAATCTCTTTTGATTATGGACTCTCTTTTAGTCCACTATGAGCAGCAAAAGGTAAGCATTAACGTGTTATCCGAACTTTAAGTCTTCGGTTAACAGCTTTATAGATACATTACTCTAAAGATGAAAATGAGGACCTTCGCATGGTTCGATCGATCGAGATGGGCTGGTTCGTACTTGAGAAGTACTACAACATGACTGATCAGGTTCCGGTGTACGCTTCCGCTATTCTTCTAAATCCCGCAAGTAGAGCAGCATATCTCAAGAAGAACTGGCCAGCCGAATGGTACGAACCAGCTATTAACGCTGCTCAAAACTTTTGGGTGAATGAGTTTAAGGACGCTTTGCCTTTAGCTAGCCCTACAGCTTCTCAACAAATGGCTCCTCCTTTAAAGCAACGCGGTGCCGTTCTCGATCAGATTCTACAACAGATGTCAGTTGCGGCGGCAGATCAATCAAACAGCGACGATCTTAAAATTTTCGCAGAAAGTCCAGTAATACAAATCGACTGTAGCCCTCTTGAATGGTGGTGCCGATCGGAGCAACGGCAGCGCTACCCTAGGCTAAGCAACATGGCTATCTCTATTCTTTCTATCGCTGCAGAGTCGTCCGAGCCAGAGAGAACATTCTCAGGTGCAAGAAGAACCTGTTCATGGGATCGGTCGAGGCTCACTTGCGACAACATTGAGAAGATCGAGTGCATTGGCAGTTGGCTTAGGGAAGGCCACATAAAACCGTGTTCTCTCAACGGAATGGGTCTACCAATGGAACCAGAGCAAGATGACGAAGCAGAGATGATAAGGGATGAGGTAGAGGAGATTCTAGAATGGACATAACCCGGTCTTGGCATGATGTATCTTATATCGTTTTTATATCGTTTATATCGTTAAACGCTTTAACGTTATAAGGATTTTTGCTTAAACGCGTTAACGTTTTAAGGTTTGCCAAAACGATTTAAAAACGATTTGCCCATGTATGTCATTGCAGGCGCTCTCGTCCAACGCAACGATCTGCTCCGCCTTATAGTGTTGCGCCATCCTGGCAAGATAGAGGCGGCGGAGTGGCTCACTCTGCTCCTTTGCCCGCTTTGTTGCAAGCTTGCGAGACCATCTCATCTTCTCTAGCTCTCGGTAAACGCTCGCAAGGCTTATCCTAACGTCGTACTCGTCGTACAAGAAGTCCCTCATCTCATCCATGTATGCGCCCGGTGAGCCATTGAGGTATGCCTGAAGGCCTTCGCGCTGAGCTTGCCGGAGTATAGATGGCCGCCCAAGTCGAACGCAGCGCGGCGGATAAGGCACGCCCCAAAACTCTAAGCTCAACCTCAGCTTTGCTACTGTGTTACGGCTCGCACCTGTAGCTCTAGAGATGGCTCGATCACTTTCGCAGGCAGCAATTCGGTCGAGGATAGCCTGGAGAACAGCGGGCTGCAAGCGGTGGCCGGTGCCTGGCATCGCGATGAGATGGGCTCGAGAAAATTGCAACACCAAAAACGCGAGTCAGTAGAGGCGATCGCAGCAAACAATGAACTTCAAATACGTTGTGGGTGTTAGAAAGCGTGGCTGCATCGATTTACTAACAAATTACTATAGGAGTTGATGTTCTTGGCCACCAAGCCAACCAGATCCAGGTGGCTCAAGGTATTTCGAGAAACACCCATAGCGCTGTTGACGGTCACCCACCTACATATACAGTTTGTAGACTCAGACAATACAACCTCAGTTCAATCCTTCAATTCTTCCAGCACCCACTATCCCCCACAAGGGTAAAGGGGTAGTGTCATGCGTACAGATGCACCGCGTTCTATACACCTGGCGGAGTTTTCGCGCATTGATCAGGCTCCATCACAGCCGTTCATATGGTTCTAAGACGAGAAGGCTGCACACACATCGGGACCGTGCACCCTATCTATGCTTTACAGGGGTGCTGACGCGGCAGCGGGAAGCATTGCACATCATCTGGGCTAGTGACACAACCCAAGCCCCCTCAAAATGAGTCTGGCTTCATCGTTGAAGGACACACCTAACCGCAACCTCATACCGACTGCTTAGGGGAACAGTGTAGGTATTTGCGCATGCGATATGGTTGCGGCTTGGCCCTGACCCCCATTCCAGCGCTTCAATTAGAACGACGTGACGCAAACGATAGCAGCAGCGCCCCAGTGTCCTTATCGAAAGCCTTCAGACACTCTGTTGTCACCAAACGCAATACTATTACGGATGACACAGTCTATTAGCATTGTCCAGTGCCTCGAGCTTGTCCGATCAGACTACCCTACCGCTCACTCACATGTAGACTCGACGCGTATGGATGCTACATGCCATGTTGATTCGCTACCCCCAAGCCGCCGCTGACAGAGGTCACACAACTACTACAACAAACGACTTCCAGACCACAGATCTACATACTCTTGATCATCACGCCAGGGGGCAGCTCACCCAATTCGATCCTGTCATCACCTCCATGAGACCCACCCCTCGCTCACGAACGGAACTAGGCACAAGGATGAGCTGCAGCTCACAACTGGCTTATATCTATCTTTGATCGACAGTGACACATCGTTCATAGTACTCTCACCTGTGCGATGGTGACTATCATGTGCAGCTAAATCGTATAAACAGATCTAGTCCAGCACCACTCTACAGCCACCGAACACGTTCTAGGATAACCAAGTCCGAAGAACTTATGTTGAAATCATCAGCCAGCTCGCAAAGTAACTTAGATACGAACCGTACGCCCTACGTTCATACACAGAATCGAGCTCACAATTAGACCCCGTTATAGCACCACTTTATCAACAAGAGCCCGTCATGCAGCCATGGATGAAGAGAATACTCCGTGATTGCTCCTTCTTCTTTATCCGAGTACCTCCAGGAACAAAGTGGCAGTAGTGAACAAACCCAGTGTCGCAACGAGGCTAATAACAGCGCTCAGAATAATAGCAGACGCAGGGCTTTCCGTTCCGGGGATTATTATCTATAATTGACTACTTTCCGGTGGCAGACCTGGTGTAGGAGATCTGATCTAGGCGACCATGCTTGCAGTCACAGAGATAGCACGTATTGCGGACGATGCAGGCTATAGTAGCATCACAGTGCAACTTCATCCCTGCTTCCGTTTTGCTCTCTACGATTTCACTGTGAATTCATATGGGAAATTACCATGCTTGTACTTTGATATGATAGTCACTGCACGTCTTCAAGACAAGCTGTTATCGCAGCTGTCTGGCGTACAGTCACAGTTCCAATGGCTCGCTTTCTAAATGTCTGAGGAAGATGTTCAAAGTGAGTTTGCTATACCCATGCGCACTTGGATGTTCGTTTGATAGGCATGAGTTGATTGCTCCTGTCGATACTGTTCAACTGCAACACAAATTTGGAATATTCAATCTTAGCAGTTGTGATTGAGACGGCAACGGCTTTACTCCAGCTTCTTCGTACGACCCTTCTACAACATATGATGCAGAGGTTCAGAGCATTGCATGCCCTGACATGGCGATGACTCAGCAGAATTTCCACCAGGGGCAGTTCCTGGAGATAAAACGCCAACTAATCGGTAGGAAACTGAGGCTATAGACCGTGTAAACACACACATCGGAATATGACTCGCAATTCTGAGGAGAGGCGAACAAGTGACGAGATGAGTGGTAAATCGCATTTACAACGTGTTCACTTGACGTCGGAGCTCGACGTCGGAGCCACGAGCAGCGCGGTAGTTAGCGGTTTGCGGGGAAGACGGGCATAGCCGATGCAGCGATATTTCGGACCGCAGACTAGAACGTCAAAAATCTCCTGATTTTCTGGAAATAAGATTGCTGATTACTATGCCATAGATGTGCCTAGGCAAACGTACGATGTAAGAGAGCAAACAGGCCCGACGGGTGGACATGGATACAATTGCCGAGAAGCGGCAACGTGACCTGGCGATTGTGGCTCCGAGATCCTCGGCCCAGCAGTTGTCGCGGCTACCAGCCCCACAAGTCTCATACGTCCATTAAGAGGACCCTTCTTCGCCTCCACATTTTATTCATCAGCTACAAACTTCACCTTCACCCTCTACCAATCTCAATATACCCATCAATTAACCCTTGAAAATGACCGACCGCCTGAAGTCTATCGTGTCGCACATGACACCCGCGACAAGCGGACTCTCGGCAATGTAAGCATCGCCACTACCCGGACCCCTACACTAGCTTTTGCAAAGGAAGGCGCGATAATGCGGCAGCGCAACAATTGGAAGGAGCAATGGCTGACAGTGAATATATAGCACCACCAAGAATGCCGACGACATCGTCATCACCCTCGCTATCCGAACTCCCCTCACCAAGGCCTACAAGGGCGGCTTCAAGGACACGACTCTTGATGGCTTGATGGTCAAGACGCTCAAGCAAGTAGTCGCAAAGTCAAACCTCGACCCCGCGCTTGTAGAAGACATCTGCGTCGGCAATGTCTCGGATGCAAAGGCCGCCTACTACGTCCGCGCCGCCATGCTCGCGGCTGGCTTCCCCAACACAACCGCCGGCTCATCGCTGAACCGATTCTGCTCATCCGGACTCAAGGCCGTGCAGGACATCGCCAACCAGATTGCCGTCGGCAGCATCGAAATTGGATTGGCCATGGGCGCAGAGAGCATGACAGCCGGCGGCGACAGGCTCGAGAGGCCGTTCGTAGCTGAGGTGCTCGAGAACCAGGAGGCATGCGACTGCATGCAGCCCATGGGCCAAACCTCAGAAAACGTCGGCAACGACTTCAACATCTCGCGCGAGCGCCAGGACAAGTTCGCCGCTGAGTCATACCGAAGGGCCGAGGCTGCGCAAAAGGCTGGCTGGTTCGACGACGAGATCACGCCCATCCCCACCGTCATCAAGGACCCCAAGACCGGCGAGGAGAAGGCCGTCACACTGACCAAGGACGAGGGTATCCGCTACGGCACCACATTCGAGAGCCTGCAAAAAGTCAAGCCTGCCTTCCTTCCCCACGGCGACAAGTCACATGCTGGAAACTCCTCGCAACTCACCGACGGTGCCGCCGCAATCCTACTCATGAAGCGTTCCACCGCCGAGAAGCTCGGGCAACCCATCCTCGCAAAGTACGTCGGCGCAACCGTCGCTGGACTTGCCCCTCGCATCATGGGTATCGGCCCATCCGTCGCCATCCCCAAGCTCCTCCACAAGTTCAACCTCACTATCGACGAGGTCGACCTGATTGAGATCAACGAGGCCTTCGCATCCATGGCTGTATACTGCATGGAGACACTTAAGATCGACCACCAGAAGCTCAACGTTAGGGGTGGTGCTATTGCGTTGGGTCACCCGTTGGCTTGCACTGGTGCGAGGCAGATTGTCACAGGTTTGAGCGAGTGCAGGAGGCAAAAGAAGAAGGTTCTTCTTACTAGTATGTGCATTGGTACTGGTATGGGTATGGCTGGTTTGTTCGTCAATGAGCAGTTGTAGATTGTAGATTAGATTTTGTAATTTAGCCTTGTTACGTTTGTTCCTGATAATTGCTGCTTCTCCCATCTTCTGTCTGTCCCGTGCTTGTTATGATAAACCTATTGATACCTTCAGCAGAGTTGACTGTGAATTCACTGTATGGGAGTGACTGACTAATCCGTATCTTGATACTGCTTAGGGACAAGGTAAAGTTTCCACATCTTGTCCCAGGAAAAACTTCTAGTATGCCGGAAGTGATGTCTTACAAATCCGAGTGTAAATATCGGTACGGAGCATGAGCTGAGAGAAAGCTAAACTCACTCCTGTTAAGAAGGGTAGATAAAGGGGTTTGGACTGGAGAGAGATATCTTGTTCGCCCTAATTGCGAACTGGTAAAAAGGGATAGATCATGATGAACCTCACTAACTACCCGCAAAAAAAAATAACATTAATAACTCCCATGAGATTCGAACTCATAGCCTTCACGTTCCCAGTGCACCCCGACAATACGACTGCCGACAGACAATACCGAACAAGTCGGCAACACTTTAAAAAGCGTGATGCGCTACCATTGCGCCAGGAAGTTTTATCTGTTTCCATGGAACTTCTTATGCTTTGTTATATCTTATAGTGGTCTTGTTGAATATAAACTAAGAGGAAATGTGTTGAGGATTTACAGCCCAGTGCTTCATGGAATGGCTTTTGTGTACGCTGAAATTTTGTTTTATTCTATAATACCATGGTACAAATCCTTGGCGTGACAATCTGAAGAATAATCGATTACGTCATACTGAACAGATTTTTACCAAGCTTTCTGATACTTGCCTCTGACAGGAAGTGAGCCAGTTGAAAATCTCACGCCCTCCATAATACCTTTACCCGTTTCTCACCCTAACCCTCCCATCTAGTTCAGCAACATACTCAACACCCCTCCCCCACGCTTCCGATTCCGCCGCCCAAACGCCGGTGTCCCCAATATCTCCGCACCAGGCCCCAAAGTCTGCTGTGCATACATACCGTTCCAACCAAATTCAGCGTCTTGGACATCCGATGTCATGCGTACGGCTGAAGTGTTGTGTGGGAACATCTGGCCAGCAGTGCCGAAGATGGGAATGTTGAAATCGCCATCTTTCATAGCTTGGAGCATGGATTGGTAGTCTTCATCCGGTCGTGGTGTGGCGCAGAAAGAGGGTGCGGGAGGTGCTTGGTGTAGGGGAGGCTGGAAGGGGCTGTGATATGGGTGAGGGGAGGACGGTGAGAAGAGGTGGGGAAGCCATGGGCCCGGAGAGTCGAATAAGTAATCGTACTCCGGAGATGCTCCTGGGTTCATAGGCATATGCTGCTCATTCTGCACTGGCTGCTCGAGATTGGCATATGCCTGCTGTGACGAAGTATCCATGTAGTCGCCTTGGGACTGTGGTGTGTTGTATCCTAGATAGTCATCTCGGCTCCCACCTGGTGCAACTGGTGTGTTGTAGATTTGGTTGTTCATTGTTGGTTGATTCGTTTCGGATTGTCAATTTCAGTTGCCTGAGTGGGATTTTACCCTGACTGAATGTCGTATGGTCAAGTATAGAGTGGGCAGCAATGCATGTTCCAATTCACTGTCGTTCTACTCATGTGTAAAACAATATCATCTTGCTTTCACGAATCTTGTGGGTGAATAGGTCGAAGTGAGAAACGTGGAGCAGGGTGAACTGAGTGAAGTGCGATCGCCTGTCTCCCTGCCCGGGCAAGAATTAACGCCACAGACGTGGATATATTTCACGGGAACGAGCGAACCTCCGGATGGTAGTCGAAGATGCCTAGATGTTGTGCAAATTTTCGCACGATGCCCGGCCTCCGTTGGAGGAACGCGCATATAGTGGAGATCCTAAACGGATACACAGCTCGTGCAGGATTCAAACTTAGTCATATTGTGGAATAACTATCTATGTCACGAAAAAACTGTGTTCCAAAAGTCTTGTGTAGGTAGCGACTCAAGACGCTTGGTCATCGTGTTCAAGAGGAAGGTACTAGAGATAGTGCCAAATTTCTAATACCTTCATGGCAGTGTACCAAAATACGACAACACTTTGTTCTATCATGGTTGAGATCGGTTCATGTTCAATCTGATCGTTTGTGGGCGATGATTCTATTCATTTCTTGTTACGAAATTTCGCTGACTGAACCATGGTACTGTGTACACTAGGCCATCGTGAGCCACAAAGTCTCTGTGGGTCATTGTAATTTTCGAAATATATAAATCTGACATTCCGAGCTTTCCCTCTCGCACTCCTCCAATCTTCAGACACGAAGCCTTCTATTCTGGGCGACATGCTTTCTTCGCAAGATGAACGCTGAGTATCAACAGAATTTCCTCGCAGCAGCCTCTCAGCGGAAGAAGCGGACAACATGTAAGTACCCCATACTGCCGGCGAAACCATTGATACTCCTCTAATATTGAAACATTACTGTACGAAACCAAACCGAGTCGCCATTTATTCTTCTCCCGGCAGAGATACGCATCCAGATATACAACTACGCGCTTCAGGGAAATAATCATATCCAGGTTTGGAAAACGCCTGAACATCCAGAATTCTGTCTGCGCCTTTGCATGAGCCGATTAGATTTCCACCAGGGATTCTTGAAGCACTTCGATGGGATGTAGCCTCATTTTTCGATCTCCGGTGCTTGAACTTGTGGCGTGTCGATCGCACTTGTCGCCAGATGCGCAGCGAGATCGGGCTGTTGCCATACAAGCTCAACACGTTCCGGGTAACTTTCCAAACACTCGGCTTCTTTGTCTCCAAGCTTCCACAAGCGATTAAAAAGGTCATCACAAGCATCGTCATCAACATAGACGGACGCTTACTGTCTTCTCAGAAGGAACAGTTGGAGGAACTTCGAATGTTCACTGCGCTGGAAACTATAATCATCGAATTCGATGGACTTCAGCGATCCATGGAAATAAGAGCGGTCATAATCGGGGACTGGATTAAGAATATTACTGGGAAGGATGATGTATTGTCAATCTGGTAGAAGAGCCCTTCCATGCTCTACGATACCACGGAATCCATCATTGGCGTACCAAACTGAAGAAACATCGATGACATGATCTGACGAACGGGGTACCGCAAGGAGCAAGGAAGAGTTTCATCTGTATCTTCATAGTGTCCACATTGAGAAAATAACATAGACATCCCAGAAGACAGCAAGAGATCACGAGACAAGGGATGTAAGAAATCGGGGTATATTCATTCTCTGTCATAATATCCATTGGAGGTCAACCCTGCTCAATCGTATCCATAATGTCCACCATTTATTTGTCAAAGATCCACCATCATATGACCAGCCCACTGTCCCATTCTGTAAATCCGTCATCACATTTCGTCAAGTCGTTACCAGTTCGTCAAGCAACCAAAGGCAAGACCACAAGGTCATCGGGCCACCAGGACATACCTCCCAAAGGGCATCAAGTCGCAGCACCCAAATGTCCCAGGCGCAACCTAGAAGCCAGCCATACCAGCCATGATCATCTCCTCGCTGGCCCAGCCGATGTTCTGCCTATGAGCCGTGATGCACTCAAGGTGGTGATCATACTCAGTCCACACGCTCTCGAAGTGGGTGTATTGTTCCTTGGACCAGCGGATGTTCTCAGCCCAGTCGCTGATGTCGAAAGAGGCAGGGTTGGTAAGCAGATGCAGCTCACGGAACGGGGCGTGGCGTCGCGCACCGTTGAAACGGGCGGAGTCGTATGCGGACGCGTACATGTTATCAAGGTCGGTGTGCTCGGGCGAGGCATAGAGGAAGACGGTATTGTCTTCGATCTTCAGACGATTGCTTGACAGCATGGGAGGCGGGAGACGGACGGGCTGACGAAAGCTGAACATGCGCGCGGCATCCATGACCTCGGGATCAAAGGTGGTGCTCATGAAGTCAGGGACAGGCTTCTGAGTCGAAGCTCCGTTTCTACGAGGGTGTTAGCTTGTTTCATAAGACTTGCGGTCGATGAGAGTTTCCAAGACTGCAACAAGAATGTACTTACACAGTGGTCGTCTGCCTGGGAGGCATAACATGCTTTAGAAAGGCAGTCTTGATGCTGGCACGAGCCTTACGTGCAGCGGCGCGGCCACGAACTGTCGGAGTCGGTGATGGGGTTTCAACCTCGCCAGGTTCCTCTGCCGACGTGTCGTCATTGGCATCAGATTCGCATTGCACGAACTCGCCGTCGTCGATGGACTGGGGAGTGGGTGGAAGGCGGGAGAGCTTGCGCTTCTTCGCGGGAGTTGCATAAGGCGAGTCAGTGTCGTTGCTGTCCTGAAATAGTTGTCAGTAATGTAAGAGAAGTGCTGTGAGTAAAACAAGTATGTACCACTTCATCGACCTCCGACGGCTCAGTAAAGTTGATCTGCTTGTCCACCAACCTGCCACTCCGCCTCGTGTTGTCGAGCGCCACCTTTGCCATCCCGTCCACTGTACGCTTCTGAGAGGTACTTGCTAGCAACAGATCCACAAACGGATTGTTTTCTGTACAAGCCTTCACCTTGCTGCGCGTGTTGTTGGTTTTGGTTTTGGGTGGCGAGAAGTGGTAGTCGTTGCGGCGAGCAAACGCTTCGCTGTCAAGGTGAGCGTCAGTGATGAGCGCGGGTCCACCAAGGTGAGCGACGAGACTGGTGAACTGTGTGGGGAATAGCCAGGACTCGTGCGGATGTTCGACAGCGTATTGAACACAACGTGCGAGATCGAGCGCATCGTTGCCGCATGGGTGCAGCTTGACGTGGCGCGCAAGATCCCTGAACTCCATCGGCTCAACCTGTTGATTGCGCTTCACCTTCTTTGGTGTCGGGCTGTTGATGTCTTTGGGGTGTGTAGCGCAGGGTGTGCGGAAGCCCGTCACCTCAAGATTCCACTCCGGTCGCGGCATCTCTTGCGGAAACTGAGAATGGGTGCTGATAGACCAGTCTTCGAAGCCCGCACGCCGCATAGCGTACTGCATCATGACCAAGACGGAGTTTGGGGGAAGTGGTTTTCCTGACGGCAAGATCCTGGCTTCATTGATGATAGCGGCAATGTTCAAAGACTTTGCACCGTGCGAAACGAAGCGCTCGACAACGTCGATTGACTTGAGCCAATGCGGGAGGTAGGTGAGGATCTCAACGGCAGTCAAGTTGCCCTTAGGAAACGCCATGTTCCAGCTTGGACAGCCGGCCCCAAAGGCATTGTTCTTGGGAAGGGCGGCCATGGTGAACGTCCTGATATCAGGTCCGCTCGTGGGTCGCTGTAACGATATGAGATAGAAAGATAGAGAGAAAGATATATAAGGACGTGAAAGGTTGCGAGTTTCAATTGTTGTCTGAATTCGTTGCAAAAGATTTCAGCTGTGCGTGAAATGTCTGGTGGAAGACTGGAGAGAGGGGCAGTTGAAGCTTTGGTCGTCCAAATGGGCAAGAGCTCATGGCGCCAAGCCTGTGGTAAAAAAAATTGGGGGGGCTGGTCGTGCTGACTTAGCCGTGCGTTGAGAGTCGGCCAGTGGACGCTCGGGCCGGGCGGAGCGGCCATGTTGTTGGTGTTGTGATGTGCTAGACAAAAGCGCGAAGTGGTGAACTCCAGCAGATTTGCACAACGACTCCCAGCATCGACTTGGGCAACAGTGTAGGCACTCTTCGTTGTCCATCTTCCAGTCCTGCCATACGTCTTACCCACCGCCTTGTCCACCGCGATGACCCAAGCAGCAAACTCGTACGAGCCGATCACCTCGTCCCGTCCCAGTCAGCCGACGACGGTCACAGAGACCGATGCACCAGGGAGCGCAAGATCGCCAGGCGTAACAAATCAGCGAGATGTCGAATATGCCAACAGCTTTGGACCCAATGCGCCGTCAAGGTACCTTCTCTTTCCCGCACGCGCGAATGTCACAGTCATCGAACTCCTCACCTACCTACCGAACAGCATACATTGCGCAGACTTCGTGCATCGCTTCTTCGCCAATGACGGGTCCTTCCCTCTGTTGTGCGCAATCGTAAACCAACAGAGGAATCTATCGAGCGAATGGGGTAAGCATGGCGGCCGACAGTCCATGTACGACGCGATTAAGAGGGCTGAAAACAAAAGATGGGGAACCAATTCGCTTGCTACCTTGCATAAGCAGAGGAACAAAACCCAGGACGAGGCGAGTGTCGATGTTGGAGGATATAAGACGCCTGGACAGCTGTGGAAGAAGCAGAAGGTCGTAAAGAACGTGCCATTCAGAAATCTGGCGTTGGACGTGAAGCAGATTCCACAAGGCGACGATGCACTCGATCTGACCAGAATGGTTCGATATTATGGGGAGCATCCACTTGAACCGTGGCTGTACCCAGACGATTGTGACGCACTACTCGGTCTTTTGGGCGGCCCCAGTGCGATACGGCCCGGACACACTGACCGCGAAGCATTCAAGAGACGAACTCAAGTCAAATCTTCACAAGGGCATGATCCGCAGCCGAATGTTCTGATGGAAGCGCACGAGAGGGATGGAGAACTCAAAAAGAGAAGGGCGGGTAGCTCCGCGAGGACGACAGGACAGAAAAGAAAGCTGCAAGCAGTGACGCCATCATCACCAGCGTGGTCAACGAGTGAGACTCCAATGCCGAAAACACAGAAGAAGAGGAGAAAAAGAGGAGCAGACAAAGCAGCCGAGATCAGAGAAGAGGCAAAGTAAGAAGAGTCCAATGGAGAGAAACAAGAGGGTCAGGCGCAAGAATACATAAGGTCCGATGAATATGCCTCGCCCCCAGATGACGCCATATTGCCACTTCCCGAAGCCTTTACCGAAGCAATGCACCCAGTAAGCGAAGCCTTGAACAATACTTTCCTTCGAGAGGGGCAAGTTGGGGAAGACGATCCGTACAGTGCCTATGCCTTTGGAGGACCCCGCCATACACCGCCGTTCCGACGACTTTACCTCATTCAACAACCAGATCCAGCAGGTAACAGTGGGTGGGCAGAGAACTTGCGGTGGGCGTTTGTACAGAACACTCTTTATCGCGACCCATATCGCCCTGATGCCTGGAATGAGAGTCCGGAGCACATGGAGCAAATCGTACAGATTAGGAGAGAGCTGTGTTGGATGTCAGAAGAATACCAGGAGCAGTTGGATGAGGACGCAAGTGATTGGGCAGAGGACGCGCTAGGAGCTGAAAACACTTGAGGCGCGTTTGTTTCGTTCCACGGCTATCCCGCATGCGCTGATGTGTGGTGCGCGCGTCTCGTGATGAAGTTCGGCATCCCTGGCAATGGGGTGAACTGAGTATCCTGGCGCAAAGATCCACTGAGTCTATACATAATCAGTCTATTTAGGGTTTAATTCCAATGATATCGATGGTTGCGTGATGAAAAACGATGTTTCTGTGTAGTGAGTGATGATGAGAAGAGGGATTCCACGAACAAACTTCGGGTCGACGTTTCGCGCATGCACGGGCGCTAGTGGCGATCTGTTCCGAAACGAGCCAAAACAATCCTCGAACACACATCATACGTCTTCTCCGCAAGGCTTCAAGCAACCTCCCGGTTCTCATACGTTTTGTGGGAGTCGATTCAAACAATGTACCAATACTCAAACCCTCTACTTCATGCCCGCTGTCGCGAGGTGTGGGAACTGAAGCTTCCGGCCGCGTCGAGCGTCGCGAATATTTCGAAATGCGACTGTGACAGCGGAGAGACGTGGCGCACAAGCAGTACGAGTTCGCAGGCAACAGTAAGGCAAACCAAAATGCTGTTAAAAAGACGTGGTCCCGGCCGTGATTTGTTCCGCACAGTCATTCTCTCATCTCAGTATCTTAGACATCAGTTCTTTTCTACCACGAGCCGGACTCATTTAATACACGTCTCGCAACTCATTACTACATCATAATCGATAAACGAAAGTCCAACAACAACCAGTAATCTTTAAACACCTTACCAACCGCACAATCCTCAACATGCGTTCCTCCACCATCATCAGCGCCATCATCGCTTTCGCCCCCGCGGCACTTGCAGTATCCTCATCTGCCACCATCACATCAATGGCCCCGATGATGACACCTTCCGCACCCCCGGTCACAATGGCCTGGAACGACGCACCTGCCGCGACTGGCGCATCTATGTCAATGAAGCCTGGAATGTCCATGGAGCCCGGCATGTCCATGGAGCCTGGCATGTCTATGGAGTCTGGAATGTCCATGGAGTCCGGAATGATGACGATGAAGGGCGAGAAGACCATGTCCTCAGGCATGATGATGCCCACTGGCGACGCAATGGCAGCGATGGAAGGCATGGCTGGCATGAACAAGACGAGCAGCGCAGGAAGCTTGGAAGTTGGCAGTGGGATGATGATTATGTTGGCTGTCTTGGGCATGTTGTAAGCGGTCCGAGTTTGCGTGTAATTTTCCTTTTAAGCGGCGTTCAATACTCGTGGGTATCAACCATCTTCACATCGGGAAGGGATAGGGCTAGGTGGCATAGCTGTTTCCTGCCTCTGTGTCTGTTGCTTGTCTGCCTTGGAGAAGTCTGTCTTTTACAGCGCATCCACTCTACTACCCCTCTTTACGTTTATCACAATCTGTAAATAAACATAATATGAATCAATCTATGTACATATCTTGAGAAGCTGAGGTGATGAATATGCGTGCATAGCCGCCACGAAACATCCTCGCGACAACGCCGGGCGCGCTCGGCCGCTAGTAGCACGCTAGTAACCACTCACGTGACTTTCTCCTCGTGCCCAATACACAGGACTCACGCTCACCTGCACGTGTTCGAAAGTGAGCCTCCTGTGGGGCGCAGGACTAGCTCTCGGTTAATGCCAAAGTAACTGTGCGCCTTTCGAGCATACGCAATTCTTCCCGCCTGTCAGTATGCAGGGCAACTTGAAGCGACATGACGTCATAGCTAGGTAGTTGTAGGCCATGTGGACCAGCATGTACAGCCGTCCAAACCACCACATTTCCCTAATCATCGTAAAAAATGGCGACAAAAGATCAAAGCTCACTCTTGGACCGCGTCATCGCGGCCTCATCAACAGAAGAGTCCCGCAAACTATACGACGAATGGGCCAAAACCTACGACTCAGACATGTCGCTACACGACTTCACGGCCCCTCGCCTCGTCACTCAGGCCGTTGCCCGCGGCCTCAAACTCAACTACATCTCTCCCGATAAGCCACTTGCAGGTCTCCGGATTGCCGACGCGGGATGCGGAACCGGGTCCGTTGGTATCGAGTTGTCTAAACTTGGGGCTACCGATATTGTTGGGCTGGACATTAGCGAGGGCATGCTTGCTGTTGCGAAGAATACCGCGGTCTACGATGATCTCAAAACTACCGATCTGACGAAGAGATTGGACGTCGAGGATGGCAAGTTCGACGCCTTGACTTGCTGCGGGACGTTTACGCATGGGCATCTGGGGCCGGAACCACTTGAAGAATTTACGAGGGTGGTCAAGGTTGGAGGGGTAGTTGTTGCGACGGTTCTGGATAGTTTTTGGGTGGAGAAGGGTTTTGAGAGGGAGGTTGCGAGACTGGAGAAGGAGGAGAAGGTGCAGGTTGTGGAGAAGGATGTCCATGACTATCGGAAGGACGCTGGAGGTGGAAGAGTACTGGTATTACGAAAGCTGTAAAGCTACAGGAGATGAAGTGGGTTGAGTTGAATGATGCTATCTGTAGTCTCCGATGACAATCCAGAGTTTGGGCTGTCTGGTTAATTTTTTGACCCTGTAGTCAGCCTGCTTCCAGTCGGATCCCTGACGACGGCAAGTAGCCGAACGCACTAGGTTACTTATTCCGTTCATCTTCAGGTAGCCTTTTGGCTACGAATTCACGCATTTGGACAAGATTCTATGCATCCCCATCGACAGGAGCAAATCAGTGCGCTCTCAATTATGTAGGAGTTTGGATGTCAACAGTGCATTCGAATGATCAACTTTAACATGTCAAAATTCTTGCTCTCACTGTTGCGCAGCTAGTCAGTCCCGAGGACGGGAGCAGATGATGTGGTTACAAACTTCGTTTTAGCGCGAGATTAGCTTCTTGGCGGTCCCAGAAGATTACCCACAACTTATTGCATTATCGGAATCCTGTAACGTACCTCACGGCTTCGCCGGTCACTTTTGCCAAGCCCCCACCAAAACTACCTTTCTACGTGATGCCTCAACAACAACACCAGATGAACTCTTCTAACGAACGTCAGATACAGCTTGCTCTTCAGGCTCTTAAAGACGACGCGACACTGTCTCAGCGACGCGCTGCAGGTATCTATAATGTCTCTCAAACAACACTAAGCGATCGACGCGCTAGACGACCCTCACAAGCAGATCGCTAGTCTAAATTAAGGAATTTAGACAAGCTTGAAGAGGAGGTAATTGTGGAGCATATACTTGAGCTTGTCGCGCGAGGATTTCCTCCCAGGCTCGCGGCTGTGGCTAATATAGCCAATTCCTTACGCGCTGAGCGCAATATAGGCCAGGTTAGCGTAAACTAGCCTAGTACGTTCATCAAACGCCGCCCTAAGCTTAAAGTAAGGTTTAATCGCAAATACGACTACAAAAGAGCTCTCTGCGAGGATCCTAAGGTTATATAAGGCTAGTTCGGCCTAGTAGCTAATATTAAAGCTAAGTATGTGTGAGGGACGTCAATAGTTGAGATGACCGTATCTGTATTAAGTACTAAGTGAGATATTGCGTGCAGGTTCGAAGACCTGCGCGGGTCGAACTTTGGTGTTCGGCTGTGGCCTTCGCTTAAGGCGCACGGGCCACCTCGCTTACTAGAGGTCGCGGGTTTGATCCATGACACTACCCCCCCAAAAAAGAGAGCAAGTTCCAACGCTCGAACTGCCTTTTTTTTTTTTTTTTTTTTTTTTTGCCTAAAATTGTATACAAAGGAGATACCTATATCGCAAAACTGCTGCATACCAAGCGTGTCGCTTGCAGTGTCCATTCCATTACTACATTCTTGTCATGGTTTGGAACCTTGGTGTTCTGAGCACGGACCACGCCGGCGCCTCGGGTGCCGAGGCCCCGCTGCCCCACACATGTATTTAATTCTACCGAAGTTTCTTAGAAACTCGGTACTGCAAAAACTTTGTAATTCAACACAGTTTTAAATATCTGATCCTGTGAGACCCTAACACGTTTTTGCAGTCCATTAAACGCCTCTGACAGCAACCTGGCGTCCTTGGCCAGTTGCTCCTAACCTGACAGCGCCTTAACTGCGCTCTGACAGCGCTCTAACAGCGCTCTAATAGCAACCCAGCGCGTGCGGCTAGTTGCAGATCCCCACAGTTCCCGCGACACGGTAGACCAACGCCATGTCCACCCAGTTCCCAGACGGCAATGCCGCCGACGCGCCCCATGTGGGAGACGCCTCGGGCAGCGACGCCAACCCTACCGCCGGTGCAACGATCAGCCCCGGTAAGAGCGCGAGGTCTTTCGCTAGACCTACCGTGGCTTCCACCGCCCGCAGCAGCGCCTTGCCACGCGCTACCGGGTCCGCCAACTTACGCCAAATCAGCAACCCAGCTGTACCTGGCGCCTTCGGAAACGAGCAGCTAGAGCAGCAGGGCTATGACGCCGACTCAGATAACGACGAGGCCGACATTACCCAAATCCACCATCTAGTACCATCGCGCCCGTTATCACCTGTCGTAGACGCTCAAGACTCTAGCGACTCCTTTCAACCGTCCCCGCCTAACGTCACTACAACCCGCGGCCGCGCAGGCTTTCAGTACCCCGCTCTCCGACAGCGGTCGGACGCCCAGCGCACTGATAACCCCTTTACGTACCAAACAGAAGACGGCAACCATACTAGCTACGCCCTCTCTCCGCCTACATGGGACCCGCTACCCTCGCCTACGCCACGCACAGAGGGGACTACCTCAAAGCCCGTCCGCAAAGTCATTGGCTACGTAATCCCCAAAACTGACTTGCCTCAAGGCAGTCAGCCAACTCTAGCCGCCTATGAGTACGACGCCAACGGCGAGCCCAGGCTAGTAGGAGAACTTGACGAAGCTTTTGTTAAAGGCTCAACCACGGAAGCTGGAGAGAAACTCTACCAGTTCTGCTTTGACACCGTCCACACCCTACATAACGACCTCGCCAATCTTCAAGAGCGCCTGACGGACGCTCAGGAAGACCTCATCGACGAGCGCGTCGCCAAACTCAACTCCGAAAAGCAGGTAAAGTTCCTTACAAACCAGCTTCAAGAGGTGAGAGGCAGCCTCCACGTAGCCAACCAAGACCTCCAGTCGAAACTCGACACCGCTGAGCGACGAGCCGAACGCTACCTCCAGCGCAAGGAGGAGTACAAGACCGCCCTTAACCAAGAGTCTACCGCGCACGGCGAAACCAAAGAAAAGCTTAAAGCCTATGCTAGCACCGCGCGCCCATCTCTACGCGGCAAACCGCATGACTCCATCTCTGACGAATCAGATGGACCCGTTACAGTGCACGGTCACCAGATGATCACCAACGCCAGTTGAGCACCCCAACAACTCAATATACTCAAAAAGATGGACCTGTAGAGCCCCCACTAGTCGTGATAAAATTGCGTAAATAATAATTAATACTATATACAGGCCTGGGAAAGTCTTGCGCTAGTCAAATAATTTTTTTGTGGGCTGGATTGGTCGTGAACGGCGACTACGCGCTGGGGTAGCTGGTGCAACGCTTGCGACTCCTACCACAGCTGGAGCAACCCCAACACGCTTTTGACGCTTTGTAGCTGGTTTATGAGGTTGTGAAGCTTTGCGCTTACCCTTTTGGGGCAATTGTATAACTTTTCTGGCGTTGTTGAGGGGCTTCTGGTGTTGTTTCTCAGCCAGTTTTGCAGCAGCTACCTTCCTCCGCTCCTCCCGGAGTCTCTCACGCTCAACACGCTTCTCCTTCTGTAGTTGAAGCTTGCAGAGGCGAGCTTTCTCCTTCATCTCAGCTATCTCGGCTTTTTGAAGCTGTAGTTGTTCGGCTTGTTGTTGTCGTGATACCTGATCATCCCGAGCTTGTTGTACACGCTTGGGTGACCACAAAATAGCTCCCCCATGATACTCAGGATGGTTATCAAGCTGTAGGGTGTATGACTTGTTATCCCGTCTCTTCTTGATGGCTAGGGAGTTTCTGAGACCTCTGACCTCGCCGCGGAGGAGTGTATTTTGAGCTGCAATGTGGTGCAAACTTCGTTGAAGCTTCTTGACGTCCTTGTTGCTCTGATCCCTCACCTCACGGCGTACAATTGACTTGAGCTTGAGCCAATCCTCCCCGGAGAGTACAGAGGTTGAGCTCTCTTCTGAATCTGATGCCTCCTTGGCAAACTTTTTGAGTACAACCTCTGGGTTGGGTGGGTGTATACCAGTTGCTTCAAAGGACCTCTTGATGAGTAGAGGTTTGAAAGTCTTACTCCAAGCCCTCCAGAAGAGCGGGAAGAAGTCTCCTTTAGATATATTAAGTAACCCTTGGCTGTCTTGAAGGTATTCAGCCAACTCAGTTGAGTAAGCGTTCGCGAGAGGTTTAAACATCACAACGTCAAGCGGTTGAAGCGTATGGGTAGCGTGAGGTGGGTATACAGCTAATAGGATCTTGTGGTCGTTGCAGTAATTGATAAAGTCCATAGTAACATGGGATCCATGGCCGTCAAGGAGTAGTAATCGATACCCAGTTGAAGCATGCCGTCTGGTTTCTCTCTCAAACACCTCTTTGAGCCAAGCTAACCCAATATCGTTGTTGCTCCAGCCAGAGGGAGACGACGTAGTAAAGACCGAGTGCTCCCCTACTTGTATAGCATCAACCCAGCTTGATTGAACAGCTCCATTGGCTCCCTTGAAGATGAGTGAAGGACTCAGAACTGAGCCATCTGAACAGATACAAGCCAGCACTGTTATCCACTCAGTTGAGCCATCCTCAAGTGCTTGGCGTACCCCCTTTTGATCGTAGAGTGCCTTAGAGAAGATACGCTTTGTTCTGCCAATCCTTCCAAGTTGAAACCCCTTCTCATCCATATTGAATATATAGGTGGGCGAGATGTTGTACTCCTCAATCTTATTAAGGAGAAGCTTGAAATACAAGCTGTACTTGGCTCCTGAATCGGCTTTGCACCGTTGTTTGCTCATCCCCTTGCTGTAGGCAGAGATGAGATGGTTGGGATGCCGGCGGAGGAACCGGGAAACCCAGGTTTCTGAAACCGCTTTTCTAGCCAAAGATGAAGCAAAGCGTTGTATCATTAACCTCGTAGGTGGCAAACGTCGTTCAGTAAGTGTCTGTATGTACTTTACAAGCTCGGTTTCGTGTTGTGGATGGAGGGAGAGCTGGCGCACGCCATAGGCCTCGGTTTCGCCCTTGTGCCGTCTCATCAGCGTCATACGTCCTACACCATACTTTTTAGCAATTGCTTGGTACGAGAATTCATCTCCTGGTTCGCGTGATTCGATTTCTGCAATCGCTTCTTGAATCGGATCCATATTGGTTGAGTTATGACGCGTTGAAGTTGTGTTGTGGTGGTGGTGGGGGTGCTCAACTGGCGTTGGTGATCATCTGGTGACCGTGCACTGTAGCGTACGCCGCCACCGCTCAGCTACCAAACTTAGCCCTGACGCTCCGCTGCCCGCCACAACGCAGCGACGATCTAAACAACCTGAACCCGCGGTCTTTGAGGGCCCTACAGGCACAAAGGCCTCTACCTACCAGAAATGGAAACTCGACATGCAGAGCTGGTTCCGTGCCCATCCGTACCCTTTCGCCAACAACGAGGAGGAGCAACTAGACTACATCCGCATGAAAACCACCGGCGTAGCCTGGGATAATATCTCGAGCGGATGGTTTGTCGAAGGAGACGAGTTCCATACTGCACAAGAAGCGTGGGATATCCTCGACGCCTGCTACGGCCGTTTGAATACCCGCCTAGATGCCCACAACTTCTACGAAAAGGAAGGCTTCATGAAGCCTGGTGAGACTATCACCTCCTACCTGGCCCGCTTCAAAGCCGGCGTCGCTCCCTTGAAATGGGACGACGAGGAAAAGACTCTGCAAGCCTACAAGAAGTTGCCAGACCAGTGGCGCAGCCGAGCGGAGCACCTCATGAGCGACGACACCTTCACCAAGGACTTTGCCAAGTTCAGCCACAAGCTCCGACACCTCGAACAACTTCACTCCGCCCTCCAGCCCTCTCACAACCCTAGCAAGGGTAATAGTGGAGGTAGCGGTCGTGGCGGCGGCGGCAATAACCGCAACCGCAATCGCAACGCCGACAACGCGCAGCCCAAAGGCAGCGGAGCCAACCAATTTATTATCAACAAACCCTACAGGGAGCGCACTGTCATGGAGACCCAGGTCCTAGCTGAATTGGAACGCTGCTTCAAGTGCACCCGTGCAGGCCACAAGTCTAACTCCGACGACGCGCCCTGCAAGGACATGGACAAGCTCACTTCAATGGGCCGCTACCCCGAAGTCCTCACCGCCTTGAACGAAGCCCGCAAGGCCGCCGGCGTCCCTATCCCTAAGGCCGCCGTACGCATTAACGCCGTCCGAGCCCCTACTCCTCCAGCGGCCGCCTCTGACGCCCGCTCGGAAAACGAGTAGTCCCTGGCGAAAGTCGCCCCCAGGGACCCCAAGAGCCTGAGAAACTCAATAAAGAACCCTTGAATACACCTGAACCTACAACGCCCCCTTCTCCTACTGCCGAAGACTGCGACGACAACGACACTGAACCTGACCCCACACTGCAAGCAATCCTGGACCGGATCAAGAACCTGGAACGCCCTGCTGCCCCACGGGTTCGCGTCTCCGCCATCGCAGCCGCCGCTATTCGTGGCAATACTTATCTCCCTATGGTAGGTCAGCAATTAGTATTCAAAGGGATGATATCTCCCTCTCAACAACCATCCTCACACGTAGAACTCATGGGTGACTCTGGTTGTGCTTCTCTCTTCATTGATGAATCTCATGCTCGCGCACACAAATACGAATTAATTCCGCTCCAAGACCCAGCTGTCCTGGAGCTCGCAGACGGCACCCAAGTTGCCAACGTTACCCATATGACACGGGTACACGTAACTTTCGACACCCACCATGAACAAGTCCTTGCCTATGTGACCAAAGTTAGCGGAGTGCAAATGATCCTTGGCACTCCCTGGTTTCAAATCCACAACCCCCAGGTAAACTGGGACACTATGTCAATAGTATTCAACTCAGACCATTGCATTCGCAACTGCCTAGAAAACCACAAGCCATGCATGGCTGCTAGTAGCCGACACCGCAAACACCCAGCGCCCCCAGCCTATGAGCTTAAAAAAGCTCGCCATCCTAAGGCTCCTCAACATCCCCCGCCTATCGACATCGCTTTTATCTCAAGCCGGGTGGCCGCCATTTCAGTGACAAGAGGAGAACAGGTCTGCCTAACCTCTATGGAAGAGGTTGAAAGACTTTGCAATATGACCGACCAAGAATGGACGGATACCCAACTGCTGCGTGCGGCAGGAGCCAAAGTCCTCCCTGAAGACTTTGAAAAGTTTCGCGATCGAATGGAGCGCCCCCACATGAGTAAAGAGGAAATCCTGGCTAAGCTGCCAGAGGTCCTCCATCCCCTCTACCATGGCTTCGACCCACGAGAGGCCGATGAGATCCCTCCGCAGCGAGACAAGCTGGACCACGCTATTGAAATCCAGTTAGACCCCGAAACCGGAAAACCGCCTCGCCCTTCATCACAGCGGCTAAGGCCGCTATCCCGCGACGAAGCCCGAGCTGTGAAGCTCTACATTGACGATATGATCCGGAAAGGCCACATTGAACGTAGCACCTCTGAATGGGCTGCCCCCCTCCTAGTAGTCAAGAAACCTGGAGGAGGTATCCGAATTTGCGTGGACTATCGAGGACTTAATGCCCATACCATCAAGAACCGTAACACCCCTCCGTTGATACGCGACATGCTCACCAAGCTATCCAAGGCCAAATTCTTCTCTAAGGTAGACGTTATCGCCGCCTTCAATAAAATCCGGATTAAAGAAGAGCATAAACACCTCTCAGCGTTCATTACGCCATACGGCCTGTACCAGTACACCGTAATGCCCTTTGGAATGTGCAACAGCCCTGGAACATTTCAAGCCTACATCAACGACGTCCTCCATGAGTACCTGGACGAATTTTGCATGGCCTACCTAGACGACGTCATCATATTCAGCGAAACAAGGGAAGAGCATGATGACCATCTACTCCGAGTGGTCACACGCCTGTCCAACGCTGGGCTCCCCATGGACATCCTGAAATCTGAATTCTTCCAAGAAGAAGTCAAGTTTCTTGGGCTTATTATCACACCGAACGGTATAAAGATGGACCCAGAAAAGGTCAGTGCTATACAGGACTGGCTTCTACCCAAGTCCCTCAAGGATGTCCAAGCCTTCCTTGGCTTTGCCAATTTCTATCGCCGTTTTATATATGGCTTCTCTGATATCGCCAAACCTCTCACCCATCTCACCCGCGGAGATCCAAAGCTGTTTCAAATGACCCCCGAAGCTTCGCGAGCCTTTGACCTGCTCAAGCAGGCATTCTGTAGCGAGGTGGTCCTCGCCCATTTTAACCCAGACCTCAAATGCATCCTGGAAACCGACGCCTCTGACTACGTCTACGCTGCAGTGCTCTCCCAAATTCAAAGCGACGACACTATACGCCCTGTCGCGTACCTCTCCAAAAAGATGACTCCTACGGAGTGCAACTATGAGATCTACGACAAGGAACTGCTGGCAATAGTCCGCGCCTTCGAGGAATGGCGCCCGGAGCTCGCAGGCGCCGCCGACACAGTAGAAGTACTTACTGACCATCGAGGCCTCGAATACTTCCGCTCTAAACGCCACCTTAACCGCCGACAAGCCCGCTGGGCCGAGTTCTTAGAGGAATTCGACTTTAAAGTCAAGTATCGGCCTGGAAAACAAGGCACGAAGCCAGACAGCCTCACCAGAAGGACAGGTGACCTGCCTGAGAGTGTCACCGACGACCGCGTCCAGCACCAGTGTCAGACCATCCTTGGCGACCACCGGTGGGATGGAGGCAGCCATGAAGCTATCCGCCTTGCTGGCCTCTGCTTAGGAGAAGCCGAGTGCGACCTGCCCTCTATCTTATCCCTCATGCATGAATCCGGAGAAGGCATGTCACGCGTGGGCACCGCCATGGTTAGGCTAGCCCGCCTCACTCTCCAAGGACAACATGACCCTTACGACGACCTTGTAGCAGCCGATGAAATGACTACCCAAGAAATTGTCGATGCCCTCTACCCTACAGACGCCCGCCTTACCGCTATCCGCGACGCACTCAACAACGGCCATCGACGTATCCCTCACCACCTTATTGCTGAAGGTGTGCGGTTGGAACTGGGCGATCTTGAAACCAACGCTGAGAGAAAGCTTTTTATGCGCTATAACCGCCTTCTTGTCCCATTCAGCGAGAAACTGAGGACCCGCATTATAAAAGATATCCATGACTCCCTGCCAGGAGGGCACGGGGGTCGCACCACAACATACCAGCAGGTGAGCCAATGGTACTATTGGCAAGGCATGACCGACACTATCGCAAGGTTCACTAACAACTGCACCACCTGCCGGCGCTCCAAAGTCAACCGCCACGCTAAGCATGGCCTCCTGCACCCATTGCCTGTGCCAGAGAAATACTGGACGGACATCTCTATCGATTTCATTACGCCGCTGCCACCCTCAAAGTGGTGCGGCCACTCATACCGACACATCATGGTGGTCGTGGATAGGCTGTCGAAGAAGAAGAAGTTTATCGCCATTGAGAACATGGAGGTACTAACTATCGTCGACAAGTTTCTCGAATACATCTGGAGAGAAGAGGGCTACCCAAAGACCCTAGTTTCAGACCGAGGCCGCCAATTCACATCCCACTTTTGGCGCCGCCTTTGCGACCGCGTCGGCACAGCACCAAAGCTCTCAACTGCCTATCATCCTGAAACAGATGGCCAAACAGAAAACGCCAACGCGGACTTGAAGCAGTACCTGCGCTCGTACGTGAACTACCTGCAGGATGACTGGGCCCAGCTCCTACCTTTAGCTGAATTCGAAGCCAACTCCGCTATAAGCTCCGCTACTGGAGTTTCCCCATTTCAAGCAACAAAGGGCTACCAACCTCGCTCCGGCCTAGAACCAGCCCCACGCCATCACTAACGCCACCCCAGCTGCAGCACAGCGGCGCGCTGCTGACTCCCTCACAAACCGCATTGACGCAACCCGTCGGTACCTCCGCGATGAGATCGCCTGGACCCAGGAACGCATGAAAGACTTCGCTGATGTCCACCGCCATCCAGCCCCCCGCTTCGCTGTTGGCGACTGGGTGCTCCTCAACGCTAAACATATTAAGACCGAAAGGCCAGTCAAGTCGCTAGACCACAAGAATATGGGTCCCTACCAGATTACCCGTGTTATTGACAACATGGCCTATGAGCTAGACCTGCCAGATAGCCTTAAGAACATTTTTCCCGCTTTTCATCCGTGGCTGCTCCAACCATATGAGGATGACGCTCTACCTGGACAGCCCAGAGCTAACGACAACGCTCCCCCCGAAGTCCATTTGAACGATGAGGGCGACACAGAGTATGTTATCGCTCAAGTCTTAGACTCCCGCATACGAAATACAATGAACGACCCCTATACTGGCCGCCGTGGTTGCCTCCAGTACAAAGTTGAATGGGTCGGCAACGACCAGTCTGAAGGCTGGCAACCCTACTTCAACCTGCGCGGCAGCAAGGAGTCAGTCCAGGACTTTCACGACCGCAACCCTGGGCGCCCTGGGCCTCACGCCACCTTTCATGATTATGACGACAACGGGCAGCTTGCCGTTGCCCTGCTTTGTGTTTTCAATGGAAGTTTGAACGCTCAGTCGGGACTTTGAGCATTTTGGAGGGGGGACGTGTCATGGTTTGGAACCTTGGTGTTCTGAGCACGGACCACGCCGGCGCCTCGGGTGCCGAGGCCCCGCTGCCCCACACATGTATTTAATTCTACCGAAGTTTCTTAGAAACTCGGTACTGCAAAAACTTTGTAATTCAACACAGTTTTAAATATCTGATCCTGTGAGACCCTAACATTCTATTCCCGTTGTCTGTGCACAGTAATTATGGATCATCATCGTGGCGTGGTGACCTTAGCATCTTGTCTTAACAATAGTAACTTTGACAGTCTAGTCCTTGTGTCAGATATTCACTCTTATCTGGAATACTGATGAAATGGGTAATGATCGTGATGATATTGATTATTGATTGTGTTTTTGGTTCTGTCTACGGTTGTGGGCACACCTGGGGGGTGCCAAGCCTTCCTGTGATCCGATTGGCTCTCTCAGATGCCGGGTCGCGCTAGTCTAACCCAGCGTCTGTACGCTCTCATCTTCAACAGTGCTATTATCTGACACACCCCTTCAGCTTGGACGCTCTTCACGCTTGCAAGCTGGGCACTTAGTCCTACTCAAGGCTTACCACGAGATTTTCAAGTTTCTCTTGAATTTCTTCGAGCGGTGCCGAGTTTCTCGCCAGGATTTCCTTAGCGGGGACTAGTCCTAGTTGTTCTAGGAATTCTGGCCAT